AACAGTTTGGTTTCTGTTCTATTTGCTTTGCGCTTTTGCAACGTTGTCTGCATTTCTGCCAAAGTAGAGCAACTAGCTACAAAAGCTATTTTGGTATTGTGAACCCCAACTGACTTCACTGGTGTCAATGGCCCAATGCCTTTTACAATTTGTTGCTTTTTAAGGCAAATTGTATATAATAAACTAAAATCGTTCATAAATTAATTATTTAATAGTACACTTTTGCGTAGGTATGGTATGTTGCTGATTTTTTTCCTTATCAAGGTAAAGTATCTAATTACCAGGCACCGCGGAGAATGGAGGCCTGGGGCGCTATAACCCCCTCAATTTTTGCCATAAATGCAAAAAAATACCAAATCGTTGTTCCATCTGGCAATTTTGGAATCTATCTACATATACATAAAAAACCACTTTTGTATAGACAGAAGGAGTTCGTTTTCATCTTAAGCCTGGTTCCCACTTGGTCGTTTGGGTCGTTTGGGTCGTTGGAAAATACCCAAACGACTGAAAAGACACAGTGGAAATGTACCTGCCAACGACCCAAAATACCCGAAAGACTCAAACGACAGTTGTCGCAGAGATAGAAAAAATTCTATCTCCGCGACCCAAAATACCCACGCATGAATGATTTTTGCAAGTGGAAACCGACAAACGACTCAAACGACTCAAACGACTCAAACGACCCACGCTTTAGTAACTTTTTCTTCAAGAATAGGAGATTTTCTTGTAACCGCGTGTTTGACTAGAACAAGAACAAGATAGCTGAATATTTTACAGAAAGCTTTATGGAAGAAGTTCAAAAATACGAGTGCCATTATAACAATTACTGGAAATAGTTTAAAAATAAATACAAAAATATCAAATCATGGCAAGCTATTGCACTGAAATTTAGTGATCTAACATCGTCGTCTGTACAAAGTCACCAGAGGTAGAAATAGTTGACTTGGCAACATCAGTTGTTGTTTATCAAATGCTATCATCGTTCCATCCACGCATGCCGCCAAAATTAAATGAGCGATGCATGGTGCAAGCAATGAACAGCATCAACAACAAACGACTCGAAAGACTCAAACGACCAAGTGGAAACCACAATGTGTTCTTTGGGTCGTTCGTGTCTTTCAGGAACGACTCTGACGACTCAAACGACCCAAACGACCAAGTGGGAACCAGGGTAACATTTTTGACGTTTTAGACTCTGAAGAGTGCCAGACGAAAAGATCTAGTCTACTTAAATGTTTGCTTTTTTCAAAGCCATTAAGATTTGTAATCATAAGTGAAACAAATTGAATTCATTTATAAAATATTGCAAGTTCTTAAATGAAAATTACTTGATATGAAAGTCATTTTATCGATACATCAAATAAGGTAAACATACAAAAGTTAAAGCCCCGGCCAAACGCTCTCGACATTTCACTCGACAGCGCTCGACAAATGTCGAGCGATGTATTGCTCTTTCAAAGAGGGGTGGCCAAACGCTCTCGACAACCTTCGACAACACCTGAAACAATAGAAATTTTGAACAAATTAGTCTCGACAACGCTCGACAAGGCTCAACAACACTCGACAAGGTGGCCAAACGCTTTCAACATTTGATTCGACAAAATGTCGAGCGTTGTCGAGTGAAATGTCGAGAGCGTTTGGCCGGGGCTTTAAGCGCGGGTATTGAAACAGAAACAACAATATGAATAGATTCCTAATTCCTTTTTTTAGCATGTATCAGTTTGTGGTCCATCAAGCATCGTTACACCCTATTCTTCATGTTTTACCATAGATCTACGTTTTAAGTGTTGAACTATTAAATTAAGTGTTCGTCTCTTGACACTCACAAATCTTTTACAACGCCACAAATTAGCTTTGCATTACCAACAGCTTCTTCTGGCATCTAAATGAAGCGAAAATGTTTCATCTTTACATCTTTCAACAGGACACCAGTTAAATTCTGCGATGATTTTAATTTTGCTAATGAAAAAAGTGTATTTTGATAAACGTGTTATAGCAAGACCTGCTTTCATTCAAAAGTTTTCTGTGCATCAATTTTGCATTTTTACTCAGAAATTTGTACTAATTTTAGGAAATAATGAGAAAGAGTCAGAGTCGCGAACCTTGTGGAACATCACAAGGCTACTTAGCCTTTTAGGTTTCTTTGTCCGAACATCCCAGATTGATGTTTATATCGACATTTCCACCACCCAGAAGGCAAATTAAATTCTGACTGCCATTTCCTTTCACTTTAAGAATTATTCTCTTTTAATATATCGCAATCCTGGGCTTCATCAAATAGTTTTAACGTTGATGGCAATCCTTTTCATGTGGAATGTCAACATCCTTTTAACAACATCTGTGAACTGCCTCGCAGCAAATGCTTTACAAACCAGAGTTCCAATATACAAGGAAGATAACGAAAAAGGAACCAGATATGATTATTAACGGTGTACTATTTTGCTGCTTGTCACTTGCCTGGTTTTCCAAAAAGTGGTCCAACCAAATCTGATCCCCGATTCTCGCTAATTCAATGGTTATATGCTTTTCGTCACAGTCACACGGCATTCTCTGTTGCGCGTATCCTGCGGATATCACTAAAAATGGTTTTCAACCGTGCAATGAGCTTCGTGACATTTTGTTTATATTTTCAAAGACTTCGAACCTGTCTTCCTAGTCAAGACTTTGCAGCGCCAAACATGAAACAATGCCGTCCAGGGAAACAAAAAGACTTTGCAGTAATCGCGTGACACGAAAGAGGTCAAATTTTTAATTAAATCGGTTACACGGCAATAAGAAATACAAGACTTAACAAAATATGTGAACATCTTAACAAAATCTGTGCTTAAAAGGCAATTGGTTGACGCCTGAATCAGTTGTAAAAGGAGAATCACGCCAACCTGGAAGCATTGCATCGAGGCTGTAATATAGAGTTTGGTTACACGTTTGTCCTGTGCCATTTTAAAAACAAAACCTCTTTAATTAGAGCACCCTGAAGTACAAAAGTGTAGGAAACAAAAGACTGGGTGAAAATTTGCTGCTTAAGGGGGCAACAGGGAGATTTTTCCAAAATAGTGTCCCTTGGTCTACGAATATAATTTCATTTGCCAAGGATCAGGGATCTTCAATTGGGGCATTCGTAGGATTTTCAAAATCTTACTATGGATAATGTGCATAAAAGTTAACAGAAACAACACAAAACTAGTACTTGGTTCCATATTTTGGCACCACAAGGTCAATTCCCGTTGCATTGGATAGCTCTTCGTCTTCCACAAAATTTCTCCTCAACACGTTATAGCCTTCAGCATTGCCGACTGGCCCCCTGGGGTTTGTCCTACGCGCACCTTTGAGTGCACAAGCGCTGTATACAAGCGTTTCATATCTTCGTTAACCCAACTTTCTATGCAAATCCGAGCATCGCCAGCGTAATAAGCTTCGCACTTTACGCAGGTGTTTTAAAAATATTTTTGAAATGTTGCGTTTTTAATTAAAGGCGTGAATGTCTTTACCTGGTGATGCATTTACACAGCTCACGTATAATTAAAATCTGTGTAGCGGGGTCGTCAGAGTCACACGCAATCCATATCCACAAACAAATGCAGATTGTCTAGATCACGAACTGAAATCACGTGTTTCTGGTGCTGCTAACAAAGTCAACATTCCTTACAAAACAACATTGATATTTTCCTAGCGATGTTTTTGCCAGAATATCCTAATAATCATTCGTAAGCTCTTAGTACAAGAGGACAGTTTATTTACGGTTCTAAATATTGATGCCAAAAGCAATTTATCTAAAAAAGTCACCTTTCCAAATTACAGGAAACACCGACACATTTCGTATACAAGAAGAAGTTTTGCAGACTGTCCCCTACACAGTTTTTGTTAATAAGTCGCTTTAATGCTGTGTGCACGTACCCACTTTGTTGTTTAAGAATAAAACGGCTGCCATAGAACAGAGTTTCTTTGCGCTTCAAAAGAGAACTGTTCTTTTCCATATCAAAGGGTATTAATGTGACCGGAAGTTTGCACCCACAAATGAAGTTTGAGACATTGTACTGTTCAGAAGAAACAGAGCCATGAAATCAAATTCTTCCTTTGGAAATGTAAACTATTTTATACAGTAAATTAGATAGTGATGCTGAAACAGTGGGTTTCGTGTATTTGAGAGTTATTCGTCTTCAAGGACAGTAGACTTGATTGACCTGCATTGACTGATCTTGGCAAGAACGTGCTATTAACAGGTGAAAGCAAATCAGATATAAGAAGAACGTACAAAGAAAAATAAAGATTAGAATATTTTCTGTGATTTGCCAGTTGCTATAACCAAAATCTCGTAGCCTTGTATTAACGTAACGCATTCAAGAAGTCGGGAAAATTTTCTTGCTGAATTGGAATTGAAGACACTGCCTTTCTTGGATATGTGTACACTGACACTTTCGCGATTGATGCAATTTCACGATAACTATCGTTATTTATGCAGATAGCAACTTGTAAGCGCTTCCGTAACTTGATTCCTTAATTCATAAAAGTTCCTATGATTACGTTTCACTGACCAACGAATTCTTATGGTTGATGTTTTTTCATTTTTTGGCGTACATAAAAGGCTTCATAACATCAACAATGCCTTGCGAAAATTTCATGGAAGTAGCTGCCGTACTTGTTTAATGACAAAGATTTTAAAAGATTTATACTAATTTATTGACAAAATGTCTTCAAAAAATTTCGAAAATTTTTACAAGTGCATTGAGGTTATACCAATGGAAAATATCCTCTAAGTTAATACTTAGCAGCCTGAAAAGGAGTAGTGAAGAATAACTTGCGCAACAAATATTATTCCGTCACCTCATTCACCTCCTAAAAATATTTCACAATCATTGCATATTTGGAATTGCTATTATTTATGATTCTGTTACTGCCTTGGTTTGTAACATATGAACTCTATAAAGACAGCGATTTAGGTATATTTTGACGTATTAGGTGGAAATTAGGTGGAAAGACAGACGAGACAGAAAGACAATGACTTCAATATTTTATCATGATCGAGGTACAAATAAACTGGTTACGGCATCAACACAATGATGACGGATTCAAACCAAATTTTCTGTTAAAAGGGCAACGGTTTAGTTACAAAAAACAGTCGAAGTTTTTTTGTTAACAAACAGAGACAATAAACTTCAAAACGATTATGAAAACAACAGAAGAGAATGGGAAATAGATCGCATTATTGGTAAGTAAGTGTAAATCGAAGCAAGACATTGCCTCTGCAGACGCTTTCAAGCTATCAAGTGTGATAAAATATCAAATATGGTCATCAAGCCAAAATGGCGTCAAGCCGAAGGATCGAGCCCTTTGAAACCAAGTCACAAAATTAGCTACATAACCAAGTTACATAACTCTAAAAATCAACAAGGATGAGTTACAAAGTTAGCGAATGGTTTCTCATCCATTCGCAATATCAAATTATCTTTCAAATTTACGCAAACAGACGGTAAGACAATACACAGAGCTCCAAATGTACAATAAACATAAATTTTGTAACGAAATGTGAACTGAGAAATCTATAACGTGCTTAGGATACTGGCAGACAAGAACTCTACAAATACTCCACACGATGAAATTCTCAGACAAACAGATACGACAAGATACTTCATTTACTGTGGACGAAAAACAAAATAAAGGTTACAGCACGCTAGGGTCGTTTTTAAACAGGCAACAAAACATTGAAGAACATTTGCACTTGCAGCTTTTCACTGCCACAAACAGACAGAGACATAACTTTACAACATTCATTTTACATTTAGCAAAAGAACCTCATTTGCTACTACATACAGTAAGCAAGACGGACAAATACGACAGGATTTCAAGAACAGAGAAAAATGAAGTGAAAAAAATGAAAAAAGGAATAATTAAATTAGCGGTGAACGGCAGGGAAAAGGAATTACAAGATGAATAAAATCTATTTAGAAAATTAAATGACAATGAAATGAAAAACAAATCACAGAATAATTTAAAAAGAGAAATTAATAAAACGAAAAACCGAAAGAAAATCATTTGTATGAATATACGTTGCAATTAATTATATGGCAAAAAACCAAATTTTTTGGGGAAAATGAAGAAAAGCTGAAGATGACAACGACAAAAGTGATCTCTACAACCATATATAAACATGCGCGAAAACTCACTTTAGATGACAGATAAAACATAATGCAGATGAACAAACAGTGTTTACAAATATACAGGAACTGCATGTACGCACACATTCACACAAACGTGACAATTTACACATAGGACACATGGTTTTACTCTGTACACGAGCATTCAAGGAAAATCCAAGGGTTGGATACTGATCAGTACTGACTAAACACTGAATAGAGACTGACAAGAGCGTATAAAAACTTGACTAGAAGGTCGTTTTGTCAGACAAGCAGTACGGCCCAGTTCCCTAAACACAAATGCAAAAGACAAATATACTCGCGAAGGTACAACTAAAAGATTTAAGAAGGCCTAAATGGCGACAGGTCACAAGGGATGACGAACACAAGTCTACGCAAACAGATCTGGCAAATCACCCGTTTCAGGCGCTCTCATTGTGCGATCGCTCGAGGTCTTCAACTGAAATGAATTTGGCCTTGCTGCCAGGATCTTGGGTTGGTGCAGGGGGTGTCTTTTTGATCTCATCAACATTAAACCATTTCGATAGTGGACTGTCTTGCAGTTTTTGCGGCTCCTTTTCTGAGTTACCTTGCAAAAGAAATTCGAGATTCACAAACATGATCAAAGATTCGACCTCTAAGAAATTGTCTATTAAACTTCACACGAGGAAATCCTCGAATGTGAGGCACAATCAGCGATAAACTGCAGCTTACCTTGCCCTTGGTCATTCCCGTCCCGCTGCAGTTGTTGTTGCTGTTGTTGCTGCTGAGAGACAAGTGGGGTAGGCAGTGGTTTGCCTGTTTGTGCAGACTGTGGGCCAAGCAAACCAATTTGCTGCGCAACAGCCTGCAGATTATTCGCGACAGCCCGCGAATTGTGCATCATCGCCTTTGCAGCTTGTCCTCTGACATAGGCTTGAGCCATCGCAGCCTGCATTTGCATTCTGATCAGATTCTGCTGTTGCTGTTGCTGTTGCTGTTGTTGAATGACCTGCGCAGCTTGTAAAACATGGGCACGTGCAGCTTGCTGCAGGAGTTGCTGCTGCACGAGCTGGGCGGCCATGGCAGCTGTAACCGCGGGAATATTTGGTCTGTTGAAGGGCAAGTTATTGGCTGGTGGGTTCATAGCCAGAGGAAGACGCGGGTTGCTTTGAGCTGGGTTTCTGTTGCGTTGAAATTGATGTGCCTGTGAGAATGGAGGCTGCTGAGGCTTCTGGGCAACTGGGCCACGAGGCAGGTTGCCCTGATTCACTGAGTTGCTTTGAGAGCCATTTTGGAGAAGATTCTGGTTCATCAGTGGCTTTGGGGGCATTGAAGTCCCTGAAAAAATTCAAAATTGAATTTCAGATACATCTCATTATTTCGTGGGTGAAGGGGGGGGGAGGGTTTAGGGAAGGACTAGGTAAGTATTTGTGCGTTTAGCGATTAACGAGCCATTCAAAAACCTTGGCAAAAAAGGAAGCAAAGTGGCGTCATGCTGAAATTCAACTACCAAGAATTAAACTATACATAGTTTTTTGCTCTCAAGAGACCATACTAGTTTTGGCGTTTCAACATCGTTGCATACTTATGCCTATTTGTTACTATGCCGACTATGTTACGCAGGATGAGTTACTTGCTAAAACTTGTCCTACGTGACACAGGAGACCAACTGCAGTCTTAGCTGGCCTAGCTCCACTCCATAAAAACTGTAGCAACAAATATCAATGACTTCTTTACAAAAATTGATCTATTACCATGTGTTCTTGAGCCATTATCCAAATGTTTCATTCTGTTTTCATTGGCTATTGCTTTAGAAGATCCAGAAATCGGCCCAGGCGCCATTTGTATACGATTTGATGATGAAAGGTGAGAAACATGCTCACTTTGCTTATCCTTGTTGAAATCAAACGGAGTTCTCTTGACACCCTCAACATCATCATCATGATATTTGGTGAACAGTGACCCTGACCCCATGAGGTCATCTGACCCCGGGGCTGAATTTACAGATAAGGAACTAAAGTCTCTTTGCAATTGCCCAGTTGACTGCATACTCCTGTCCACCAGACTATTCCTTCCAAGAGACTCCTGCTGCGCAGCACCGCTCTTCCGAGGGTTGCCATCAGTGCTTGAGGATTGATGCTTTGAAAATAACGGCTTTTCGAAGTCTCGTGCATTTTGTGACCGCAAACCGCTGTACAGCTGATCGCTCTCAATGGGATTTTGCATCGGATTTTGCGCAGCCTTTTTAGAAAACGGCTTTATGTCGGTATGTGGCAAGGCCTCTGGTCCCCTCTCTTGGTTTAATTTACGATCCAACTGCCGTAAACTTTGATTAGCAAAGTCAAATTTTGACACCGCATCTTCGGCATACAGGCCTGTGTGTTCTCCCTTAAACAAAAACAAGATAATATCATAATACGTTATATTATAATGACAAAAGCAAAAGAATTCACGAAACACTACGTGGACTTGAGATTGAAAAGCAGTCAATTAAAATGCCTTGTTCTGGGTGGCCTCCCTGACCTATATTCTTAATGTGCATACCCCCGTCCATGCATTTAAAACGTCTTACCGTTTCAGACTTCTCTGAATGCATCTTTTTTATGACAGAAGTCGGCAAGAAGGCAGCAGGTACAATCGACTGAAAGAAAAAGGTGATGCACAATATCAAATCGACATGGCACAAATCATCTCCTGACACTAGTTAGCGCATGAAGTACTTCTTTGCAGGTGATGAAAAGGGACATACAAAGTGTATTTTCAATGACAAAAAACTTCCTACATTTCATGTTGAAACCAGTTTAAAAGCCAACAGAAATAGGTTGAAAATGTCTGATATTAAAGGAGCAAAAAGGGCGTTCCTTGAGGAGATTTCCTTTTCGAGACAATTCAAGTTTAACAGGAGTTGTGGTGGGAAAAATGATAAAAATACTTCAGAGATTATTAATCATTTAGAACTCGAGCTTTTTTTGAAAAAGAGCATCACAGAAAGGATTTGTAATTGTCGAAAGCAACTTTAAAATGCTTTCATTGCTTTCGAAAACCAAACATTTATTTAACAAAGAGAGAATTATAAAGTGAAAAAAGTATTGAAAACTTACACTGCCTGCGTGCTTGGGGGTTCTAAAACTGTCTGGTGTTTGCAAACCATTGGTGAAGCTGCAGAGGAATGTACGCTGAATAAGACATTCTGATTAGGGAATCGTTTTAAAGGTTTTAGATGTAAACGTGAAATATGACAACATTGTAAAATCGAAGAGCAGTGATGTTCTCGTTACTTTTGTGAAAAGGGGGAAAGTTGAAGTAGGTGTCAAGACTTCCCGGGGACCTTCTCAATCACTTGGCAACCGATTTCACAATAATGTGAAAAAGCGATCGCCAGTTCACCACAAATGGCTCGTGGCTTATAAATACACCTAAAAATCAAACGGCTAACATGGCCGACAAAACCGAATATATTCAAGCCTGAAGAATTCTTAATTGCAGATGAAATGAAGTAAACTACTGTAATCAGTTTATCCGTTGCAGTGGACAAAGGTACCGTAATATGGGCACACGTGTTTCTGTTTATTTCCATGATGCAACGAGGGTGCAGCAATTAAGTGCACCGCCAAGCATTATTAACACATGTATACATCGTCATGGGAATACATCGTCATGGAAATACATCGTCATGGGAATACATCGTCATGGGAATACATCGTCATGGGAATACATCGTCATGGGAATACATCGTCATGGGAATACATCGTCATGGGAATACATCGTCATGGGAATACATCGTCAAGAGCCGAGAAGCAGTCTATGAAAAACCAAGTAGGAACAAACCTTTCACTTCGTTGATCATTTGCATGTCTGCGTTGTTCGTCCTGAGCCCAACGTTGGTAATGCCCAGATTTGTCCTTATTCATTGCAACATTGTCTTGGTATTCGCTGAAAAACCTCCCTGGGGACACCGATCTTTGCTTCACTGGTTGTTTAAAGAAGTCGGGGGACAGCAATCCTTTGAAAAATTGCAAAGATGGGGGCTAGATATTTCGAAAAAAGGAATGTTGCAGAAACAGCAAACGATGGCAAAGAAGGCAAAGCAAGGAAAACGAAGAACAATGAAATGATCAATGGAAATGTCTAGCTGATGTATATTATGATAGCTAAAATGTTATAGAAACAAGAGAGACAGGAAATTTTCAAGCTTCACACACAAACAATCCATAAAAACATGCATTAAATATGTCAGTGCTTAACTTACTTTCTCCAACAGGTTGCATGAGGGGGGACATCTGTCTACCAGCAAAATAGAGCGGGGACATTCTGCCCATGCCAAGGGGTGACGGCGAGCGGCTTAATGCCCTTTTCAGCTTCTCAAAGCTCGGAGAAGTTCGTTTTGGTGGCTTGGGGAGCAAATGCTCCGGAAGGCCGCTGACCTGATAAAAAACAAGAAGTAAATTGTTCCAGTCTTATCTCGGATAGCTCATGATTAAGCAAGTTTTTATATTTACTTCGAAAACCTTAAGTGCCTATGCAGCGAAATTTGCCATTCCAATATTTTAAAAGAAACCTATAGAATCCTTCGCCCTTCTTCTTATACAAAAAACAGAATTCCGATAAGTTATATGGTTCTTTTTTTATTGAGTGTCAAAGTATGCACATTTTGCAGTTGCATTGCGAAATTTTATTTCCCGCTGTGACGTCACAGTGATGAGTCGAGGCGAAACCGTTTAGTCAGGCCTGTTAAATCACTTATTGGGTCGAATTGTGCAAATTGTGATACTAGCATGAAACTATGGGGAGTTTGATACGCTGAAAAGATAGGATATGGATCCCAGCTGAAAATTGCCCTCTTCAGCTATTTTTAACTAGGGTACTTAGCCCCAAGACACTAGCGGCGATATTATGATATTTCTGCTGTAAGTAAGTACAGTATTTTTAGACTGGGGTTCCTTGCCGCCTCCGTTTCACTGTCTGTCACAGAACTTTCGTTGGCAACAGGGTCCACGCCACGAATTTGAAAGTGGGGGGGGGGGGCAGGCAAGCAAAAGTAGGGGGCCTAGACCCTTCTTTCCCTTTTTATTGCAGCTTTAAAACTACTTTCCTGTCGAAAAAAGTGGGGGACCATGGCCACCCCGGCCCCCCTCGGAAGCGTGGACCCTGTCATTGCTTCTTCATTACCATTTGAAGACTCATCCATACAATATATTGTAGTGACCATTCTTGGGCCATTTTGACATCCCCCTACGTTATCCCCCATGCCTAGATCTTTCTTTATCACATTGCATCATCCTTTCGTCATTATAACTCATCCTCAATTAGCATTTTTATTTTTATTTTCATATATAAGCATGTTAATTTTTAAGTAATTTTAGTTGAGTTCAGATCAGAATTCTACAGATAACACACTGTCTCTCGATCAATCTGGTTCCGTGTTCTCCACACGTTAAATAGGACTTGCTGGGTTTGGAAAAGGCCGGAAAAGACAAGTTTGTCGATGGATTGTTTATTAACTGTCAGTGCCTACGTCTATCGTTGTTCCGACGTACACTAAAACATTTAAAACTTAACAGACAAAACCGACTTTTATACGAGCGCACTAAAAGGATGCCTTTTATGTACAACCGCAGTTTCCTGACTGCTGTCGACCAGACTCATCACTGTGACGTCACAAACTCTCCTTGGTTTTCACAAGTACTACCTAATTTCAAAATCTGATCAAACACACTTTCGCTGGTCAAATTATGACAATTTTGGTGTCAAACGTATCGGAAAAGATGGGGAAATATAACTTTTGAAAAAACAGGAAGTAAAATTTCGCTGCATAGACACTTTGAGAGAGGCATTAAAAAAAGGTAATTCTAGAGAAGGGCATGACTGACAATATCATGCGGTTTGGCTTCAGTAGTTTCCAAATCGCTTTAGTGCAGCAAGTATTCTTTGCAAATGAAAGTCACCTCTCCAATAAAAATTGACAGATTGTCCAACAAAAAGATGCCATACCGTCTTGACTCCTTGTCCGTCTAAATACCTCTGACAACAAAAAGATGTCTATACTCCACTTATAATGAAGATGTGAAAAGGGAAAATGCCAAAAGTTGGCTAGTCTTGTTTTAAAGCAGCTTTTTACTGGTAATTCTATTTCCAAGAATCTTGTATGACAGGGCCACAAACACAGAAAAACTCACCACGGGGGCAGGCTTGTCCGGCAGTTGCCCAGCCGCCTTCATTGAACAGACCAATTTGTCAAAAGCAGTCAGGTCCAATTTGTTGCTCTCTTCTGGCCCCTCAGTTTTGTCCGGCTTTTGTCCGATCGGTTTTGGCAGGTCGGGCTCAATGTCCTTCAAGCTCATTCGCCCTTTGACTTCATTAACGTTCTCAGTGCGAGACTTAGGCCTTTTGGGAAACAGGTCCATCAAAGGAGAAATCGGAATAGGGTTCTCAAATGCATGAGTTGGTGGAGCCGGCTGAATCGGGGTGAAGTATGGCTGTAGCTGCGCCATCGGACTTTCTGGTTTTAACGCTGGATAATAAATTCAAATTCGTGCTTATATCTAACAATGGCGTACAAAGCATTAACACATAATCACAAGTTGCTGAATTATACATAATAATTCTTATAATTAATAATAGTTCGCAAGTAATTGTTGTACACTTCAGATACGGTTGTTTGCCTCTGTCAGTCAATCAAAACAATATCTTATTTGGGAATGAGAGAAAAACAACGAGGCCTACCTCTCATTATCTTCGATTCGAGGCCTAATGGGATGCTGCTAGGACGACTGCCATTCGCCCCAGTCCCCTCCTGGCCTTGAAACCATTGGCTGAACTTGCTTTGACTGCTGATGTCATTCCCGAAATCGTCAGTGAACTAAATCAGAAATTTTAACATTAAAATGGCAAAGAGCAAACACGAGACACTCAAAAACAAGTCAGAGATGTCAAAATAGCAGATTTACAAAGTGATAGCAGATTTACAAAGTGCTTCTATTCGCCATTAACGATAGAGACAACCTTTTATACGCCACCAATACTATCGAACTTGTTACACAACATGTTGCTGTTGTTGTTGTAAATTTATTTCAATTCGATATAGACAATAGCTAACAATATATACATATATGTACAAGGTTAACTAATCAGAATCGAACAACGTGAATAGAAAGCCAGGAACGACACGGACCGTTTATAAATTTACACATACAGTTATTATCAGTGTACTGGTCAATACACTTCAGAGGTTTCGTGAAAATTCAAAACCTATTGTGTCAAAAAGACAAGGAAAAACATACCAGATGTGGGGGCAGATAATCCATCACATCAAAATATGCATCGTCATCATTGAACCCTTTATCAGTCGGTGTAAGGCGCTGGCCGCCATTTCGGTCAGCTCCTTTTGGCTTTGCCTCGTATCCATCACCATTTTCAGGCAACTTCTGCCTCTTGTCTTTAACTTGGCTGGGTGTTGAGGATCGACTGCTTCCCTTGCTAGTTTTTCGCGTTCTTTCGGCCTTCTTTTCACCTTTTGACTCTTTCCGCATTGCTGTCAATCAAAATGAGCGTCATAATAAATGCGCACAAGACTTGATGCAGTAACGTAAAATGGTATGCAAATGCAACCAATCACCACTCAACGACCTTACTAAAAATTAAAAAAGCAGAACGCATAACTACCGTTTCTTTCATCTTCAATTTCTTTCCCAAATCCTTTGAGTTCAATGACGTCGGTCTGACTAGAGGGTCCGTCAGTCATCCATTCAGGCAATTTCCCGCCATGCCAGTCGCCTAATGAAGCAATTTAAACCAAAGGATTAGTTTGGCGGGAAAACAACCACTCTTGGTTACAGAAAGCTTAAATAACAGTACTTCAATAACAGTACCTGCAAGGCAGACACGAACATCCCAGTGACATATATAAAACTGCATCGCTTACACTATCAAATATAAAACACGAACATCCGCATTCAAAAGCTTACACTATCAAATACAAACGATGCAAAACGATCCCAAAGTCTAGTCCCTCAATTCAAATGTTCAATTGAGAAAAAATTCGGAAGAAAGAAGATTGGGAAAAATTCAGTGATAACGACATAAACAACCAAAGGTATCAGAAATTAAAGAGTCATTTAAAATGCATTCTTGAAAATGTAAATACGTTAAATCATAATGCCATAGTTAAATCAAAGCTTTACATTAAACTAATGCATTTCCGCATTACAAAGCCAATTCTTGTTACTTTTTTGTGTTGTATTATTGTCATTGGCTCATTTTACGTCTTGCACTAAAACCTAAAATCAATATTATTTACTTCAACTCACTTACCCCTTTTCCAATTCTCCTTGTTATCCTCTCTGTTCTCTTTAAAACTCCTACTTCTGCTTTTACCCTCTCTTTTATCTTCAATCCAGTTTCTCTGATCTCGTCTATCATCATCATCGTTCTTTGCCTCGTGATTTCCTTTTGACTTAGGCTTATGTTCTAATTCAGACTTCTGAAAAATTGAATATCTTTGCTTAACGTCTCCTAAATCTAGTATTTGTCTCCTAATGACTGATTATATTGAAATCTCATTCTGCTTTACAAAGCAATGATCAAAGGAACTACAAGCATAAAAATAGGCTTACATTATCCTTGGAGGTAGCTTTCTCTATAGTGCGTCTTCTAAGGCTTGCTCTTGCAGTGAGTCGGTCTTTTCCTTCATTAAATGATGCCTTGCTGTCACTACCCAGACCTACCCGGCCCCCTAGCCTCTTCGATGGGCCGTCCTTCTCCTTCTCTGATTCTGATGCAGATGGGACATAGCATCCTTGGAAAAAGCTTCTCCTTTGGGGTGCAAGCTCTATTATGTTATCAAGCAACTCAATCTTCTTGCCAGTGTCAAAGGTAACACACTTTCCATCCACAGCTGGTGAGGCACACCTCGATGACGAAGACTTGTGCCATGCCTGTATGTCCCAGACACCATCGCTACAATCAATAATATTCATGTAACTTCTCCAACACAATTACAAAAGTACTGCCATTATGACCCATATCTACACAGCAGCTACGATCTACATCAGAAACTTCTCATAATTATCATGATAAATAATTATAATTTATGGTATAAAGATGATAGTAAAACTATTGGAGAAAATGTGTAAGATATGTGATCAGGAACGAAATCCAAACAAATCACTTATTTGTTGATATGAATGATTTGAGAGCCTAAAATCTCTGGCTTTAAAAAACATGTTTCATACTGAGAGCTAATTTTCAAGAAAGTGTGTAATTACTCACTGGAAAAACTCTTCTGTTAAGCATTCTGGTCGTTGTAGAGAGGCAGGTGCAGATCTCAGTTCCAAGAGATCTTCCTAAAACAAATGATGAGAAGCAGTTGTAAATTTAAAGGCAAACAAAGGGGCAGCACATGCCTTTTCATCATTTCACAAAATAATCGTCTTTATATCAATGGAAGTTATATCTTGAATCAGACAGTGGGAAATTTCCGCATCATCATCATATACTTTATTCAAAGACAATCTCAAGATGTCATCATATTTCTACACTACTAGTTTGTATCTCGAGGCAGTATCCTAGGCCTACTGCTTTTTCTGCTCTTTCATAAACAATATAACTCACTCATTAAATATCTTAATATTCCGTTTCTTTGCTAATGACACAAGCCTTCTATACTCTCATAAAAATCTGTGGCTTTTAGAATCAATATTCAATGATAATCAATACAAACGTTGAAATTTATCATAACTCACCCAAGACAGAAAAAGGGTAATTGCAATAATTTCTATTTAAAACAGATACTTAGCAAAAAGGTATACGCAAAGCACCTGAGAGTTCTTGTTGATAAAAGTCAAACAAACAACAAGAACTTCTAGTTTCAAATCAAGAAGTAGGCTAATTATACCGTTAGGATCTTGAATGAAACACACATTGAAATTAGGAAAATGCAGAAAAAGATGCCTTTCTTAAATGATACAAACACTGCCTATTAGCCTTGTGATTTAGGGTATCAATAATTTAAATAGCTAATGATTGCAACGATTTGGCTGTTGCATAAAGAAAAAGGGTAATAAATGACACAGTAAGGAAACTTAGCTATATATACATATAACAGGGCAGATTTTTTGCTTTTCATTTTTGCTCTTCAGTGCCTTCTATATTTTCGTTGTTGTTACTTTTCTTAACTATGATTCAGTTTACTTTAGCAGTGATTATCAAGTTTGGGCCAAAGCTCAATAGAATTTTAATGAGTTTTTGATTGGGCCTCAAGTAACTAGTAACAGTATTCAATTACAAAATTTATGATTAAATAATCAAACAATTTAATTGCTTTTCTTATTATTTGCAATTTGAGTGAAACAATTTGCTATTGACCTTTTCCACTGAATATTTAAATGGCTGTTTTAGGGTCCAACCTAATTTAATTATGAATGAAAGACTTTAAGGAAATTTGAAATTAAATAATGGCCCGGAAAGGTCGCTGTGGGATGAAACTAAGTATCAAACAGTTAAAAACCAAAGTTTATCAAAGCCCTTTTAATATACATGTTATAAGCAGCATTGTCAAAACTATTTCCTAGCAAATATCTCCATCAATCGAAACATCACTGCAAAAACAGTTGGCTGCATGAAACAAGCTATAATCAAGAACAAACCAAGAAATAACTTTATTCTTTAATTTTTATAAGAAATGACGGTTAAAATATAAAATACACAAATCTGTTTGAAATATAAGCTATTCCTTTTTTTGAGATGAGCACCTTTCTGATCACTTGCAAATAAATCTTAGATTTTTATAGCAAGACGATGAGATATGCATTCTTAACAAAAGCCTACTGCGCCGCAAACAAAGGGAGTTATGAAGCAGCATACTATTGTCATCCTTCATTTGCTATTGAAAAGGCCATCTTTAAGCTGAAGAACAACATCCCTGTGCTGTGGTGTTGTGATTCATTGGCTTTTGAGGAAAGGCCTCCTGCAGGACCTTTAAATTTATTAAATTTGACAATTACAAGTGAAGCTGTAGTTGTTCAGCACAATGCTTCTGTTTTGTGTTAAATTTTTTTAAATTACACAAGAAGTGGCCTTGAAAATATTGGTATTAAAGAAGAAGCAATAATAGCACAGTTAGCTGCCACTCAGTCACCCCATCTGTATTATCTAATTGAGTTCTCTAATGTAAAATCAAACCTCTTTCTTTATACATATAACACTTCTGCAAATGGTTGTTGGAAACTTCAAAGGGTAAATGTTACATGTTAAATGGTGTATTGCACAAGCCAGTCAGAGCCAGATTACAGTATTGGTATTTTCCTCTGACCAAATCCCAGAGTATTAAATGTCAGACACAACCAGGAAGTGACTTGATATTTAATACAATGTGCAAACAATAAGTGACTTGAGAAAAGATGGTAGTATTAATATGTTACTGTCCTTGAAACTGGGACTTCGACCCCATTTACACTATGCCGGATAAATTTTATCCACATAAAATTTGATCGGGTTGATTTGTGTTTGCACAAATTTTGTCCACTTTGCACTCCAGTTTACACAGTGCCAAATAACTGCAGTCACATTACTTAAATCGTCCACAGAACCCCAAAAACAAAGTCATGGCTGGGCAAGAAAATAACAGCTAAATTCCCGCCATTTTAAAAGGACTTTTAATTCACTCTTCAGAATCATCTGCTTTTCAAATTAGGCAAAATTAGTTTTAATAATTCGTACTCTCAAATAAAATGAGGCTGAAATAGCAAAGAAAGTAGAGAAAGCTGAAAAGGATGCCAATTTTACGTCGACTGACTAAGATGCTGCACTTATAACACAAGTATTTATCGACTACAAGGCAGCCAAAATAGCGAACGGTCTTGATTGGGAAACAGTAAAAACTACATAGGAAGAAATAACCAGTCGCTTTTGAGCAAGATACAATGTGAATAATATTTATCCAGATAAAACCGTTTACACTGTACCACATAGCTATCTGAACTAATTTAATCCACTTTCCTAGGTTAAATAATTTTGTTCAGATAGCTGCTCTCAAATTTTTGTCTAGTGTAAACGCGACTCCTATCTGATCTAATTTTTATGCGGATAAAATTTATCCTGCAAAGTGTAAACAGGGTCATGGTCTGCCTGCCTTTTTAAGCTATGAAACATTATTTTCTGACTACCTCTACTAAATCCAGCAAGAAATTTGGAAACTTTCAAAACAAAAAAGGCAAAAAGCAATTAAGCCTCATGAGGGTGACATTGACACCTCCTGAATTAAAGGTACTTTAATTTTTTAATTAAATTGCTGTTTTTAAACATATACTATCTTATAGAATTATAAATAAATATTTTATTTTCAAGATTAAGAACAAATACACACACACACTAGTCAAAATTATTCAATCTGTTTACTGTTAAAATTTATCTGTCATGTGAATCCAGCAATATATGCTGCGAATGTAGCAATGAAATTTTTTCATCAGACATGTTCTACCAAGAGCTTCAGGTTAGCGCAGATGTTTTCAAAAGTAATGGTCAGAAAAGTGGCAGTCAACAGTATTTTTTGGTTTTAGATCCTACTGAAACAGTTGGAAGTTATGGGCCTGGATATGCAAGGACAATTTTTTATCATAAAGCAAATGACACCAACCTTTGAATACATGATTCTTGGCTTTGTTGCTTTGCCATCTTCTTCAGATGTGATTTTTTCATCTAAAAATACGACAAAATTGTCATGGATGAAGGAACATTACAAGCGACCATCATTTAAAAGCCTGGTATATGAATACATTTCACTCATGCTAGATAGAGATTTAAACAGTGGTATGAATAACTCACAGAACTGGAGGGAGAAAATCAAAACAGTGGAATTCTAATGGACAAGGATTAGAGTGTTGTACAAAATACAAAAAAAGATTAAGAAAAAGGTCTGAGATCTTTGAGAACAACCTTGCTTTCAAACTTTGTGACAGTCACATAACCTGCATTTTGTTCTATATGTTTTTTCTTTACCTAGGCAACCTTGACAAAAAAGAAAGGCTTTACAAGGAAACTTTATCAAACCTGTCCTAAAAAAAAGCTCCCTAAGTTTTTTAAGGTTCCAAATGTGAATAATAATTTCCAGAGAAAATAATGAACAAAATCAAATCAATAGAACTGTTATATTCCATCGTTTCTCGGGAAATCAATGTGGTGCTTTTTTCACAGTCAAATATTATAAGGCATTGATAGAAACATAAGAAGTACTCGATCAAAGAAGCAAATATTTTACAGGTATTGGTATATGTTATTTCAATTCACAGGAACTTATACCATATCCTATGAACAAAGTTATGTCTGTGGCTAAACTTTAAGTAATCACAACGAAAGAGTAATGGGTGAATTAGCCTAATTTCAACTTTGCAAGGAGAACTCAATCAAAAAAGGTAAACCAGCCTGTTTTCACTGCTAAATTATCTTTACTTGCAGAGAGACATAAGCTCTTTGACAGAAAAACGAGTTGAAAGTTTCATATTCATAAATGAGAAACAACACCAAGAATTATTAATTTTGGTCCTGTGTAATTGCAAAGACAACAAACTACTTCGATAGTAAAGTTTTACATGCCCCGACCTGTTTCTTGAGAATTTTCTTTATCTTTGTTCTTGTCTATTTCTTTACCTGCATAGGAAGGTTAAAAAGTAATCAAATAAGTGACGACTCTTTGAAATGAAAGCAGTGCAAAAGTATGAACAAATCTGACGCTGGCAGTCAAGTCACGCGCAATAAGGACGGATAAACGCACCTTCTGGCTGAGAAACTTTTAACGTAACATCTTCGGGCGAGTTTTGAACCAAAATATTAACGACACTTGTGGCTTCTGGCATTGCAGACATAAAGCTACAAACTGGACGACAAAAAACTAACACCAGACAACAAAACACGAACTTCACGACGCACTCATCTCCTGTCAGCCATTTACCCTTCCTCTACTACTTTTACAAGCGTGTGTTGGCATTCTTCATTTCCAAATGTTGTTGTCATAAAAAAGGACTGGAAACGACACGCCGTCGCGCGTGTGAAACGCGGTTCTGAGGTCTATCTGGAATTGATCAGAACAAAAGAACACGACAAATGGTGTCCCGTGGCAATAAAACACGATCCACCTGGGAGCTTCTTGTTTGCGAAGTAAACACATTGATGACTAGAAAATAAATCGATGAGTTGAAGCTATAAGACCTACAAGGCTCCACCACAATGGCGGAAATCCAGTTTTCAGGGGCGGCGCCAAGAAATTCAAAGTGACGACCATGCTGCCAATCTAAGGAGCGAGTAACACTGGTCTATCAGGGGGCGGATCTAGCAATAAACCTGACTGAGTTCCAGGCCAAGGCTAGGGACTTTCAGATAATTGTGCATAAGACAACTATATTATTTCATATCTATGCAGTAGGTTATATCAGTGGAGTGGCGTAACGCACGGTGTGCACCTTGAAGCACAAAGAAGCCCCAAGAAAAAGCCCCAAGAAGAAGCCCCAAGAAGAACCCCCAGGAAGTTTCTCGAAAAATGAATTTTTATATTGTTTGTGAGTAACCATATAACAATGCTGTAAGATATACCATGCCAATAAAGTTTCCCTCTAATGCGGATCTACATCGTTATAAAATTTTGTATTTAATTTTCGCGAACATAAACAAATTTTTAAAATCAAATTGATTTCCTCAATGAAGCAGTTTAACAATGTTAATCTTGATTTATCTAGACATTTACACTTTAAAAAATGCATCTGCCTTTGCTGCATGGAAATCCGGGAAAAGCTTAGAAGAAGATCATAGAAAATATTCTAAGCAGCCGAATTTATCGCCATATGTTGTTGTATGTTATTTTTTGGGTTTTGATGAAAAACCTCAAAGAGTGGGTAATTAGGCTCTAAAACTTGACTGCCATTTAGTTAAGTAAAGGAGCCCATAAACACCACTTTCAATGAGGGCCCCACACTGCTCCGTTACGCCACTGGGTACTATCCACTCACTAAATCTATATTCTAGACAGGGTGTCACTCGAGGGGGGTATGGGGGATGGTTCATCCCCACAACCACAAAAGTAAGACCTTTTCGCAGGGCAAAACTGATTTTTGCAGGGCAAATGTTTTCTATCAACGGATCTGTTTTGTTGTTTTTCTGATGACTGTAACAAGAAAGTAGGTTATGCTTGTAATTTGTCTACTCCAAAAGTAAAATGATATAGACTACCAGTGACACGAAGTAGAAATTGCCAGCGTGATCTTGGGCTGGGTGGCAGGACCGTAAATCCCGGGGGGGACGGGGGGGACTGGACCCCCCCAAAATCTGGAGCAAAATGATTTTTTTGATAAATTATCAACATTTTCTCTGAAAGAAACAAATCTCTGGTTAACGCAGTTTGAGCCAAACTACGTTTTTCTTTGTTATTGCAACAAAACTCAGCTACTAAGTCATGGTGTCAAGTGCAAGTTGACTTATGCTGATAGCCGTTATTTTTGTAAGCAGAGTGGTTTTTATCTGTTTTTTACCGTTTTATTTTTGAAAACAGAATATGAAATAAAAAGAAAGCAAACTGATATTTTATTTGACCTACTACCAACTTATTTACGCATATTTCTATTATTTGTTTGTTATTTGCTTTTATTTAGTAAATCACTTTCTGTATCATTAGAATGTATTCATTTTTGATGTGTATACATGGCCTACTTAAAACACTCAAAAATAAGGAAGACGCACATTTCTGTTCAGGAAGTAAAATTCTACCAATCAATGCAACATCATCCCTACTTTCCCCAACGTCTGTCACTAAAGTTTAAGCAAAGCTCTTCCCCTACACAATTTTGCTCAATAAACAATAATCTGTGTTCTACTGAGAAACGTTGACTTTTCTATCCTGAGTTATCTAGTATTTTATTAAATTTAGTCTGGGAAATGCTTTTTTAGCCTTTCTAGAAGGTATAATTTCAAAAATTTTCTTTTGCGTCGGACCCAACCATGGTGGGTCCTCCTACGTCACTAAACTTGATTCTAGCCCCCAAGGTTCAATTTCGTGGGCCGTCTCTGAAAAATTTTATCTATCAAACTATACACACAAGTCAGATGTACTAAGTCTTAAGAAATCCCAAAATCTTGACTTTTGTTTTTCAAGTCATTCGCCCCTCAACTGTTTTCATAACCCATACCATAAATTGCTTGGTGGTGCCATGAACCACGGCACACTTTAAATTGATTTGCTCTGCTGACCCCCCCTGTTCACATGACAGATTTACGGCCCTGCTGGGTGGAATAGATTTCTAAATTGATTCTGATTTCCTTTCACCTTAAGAGTTACACCCATTTCTATGATCACATCTTTGGTTGATATCTGTGTATAATTCAAAAACCATACTAAAAAGACAAGCACCGCTTGCCAGAAAACTAAGACACTGTGAACAGGGCTATTTGGGTCAAAATTTGATGGAATAGTTTTGCATATTTGGGTCTAGAATTACTTTGACTGTAACCAGAAGCGTGACTTTAAGAAGGGCGTCGACTCTATATACGGTGTATTGTATAAATTCCTGTAGGTTTTCAAGCTTGTGTTTGCCAGATGAAGATTATGTCATCGATAAATCTTTTCCAAAATATTTGACTACAACTCATCGGGGCATTGCTCAAGATATGTTGTTCTATTGTTGTCATGAATATGTTGGTATAATTTGGGCCAAAGGGTTTCCCCATTGCGGTGCATTTAATAAAAATAAAATTTACCAATACACTCTTATTTATAAGAGCCAGTAAATTGAAGTTCAGGTTGGTTGCTCTTAATTTTTTCAAAAATCTGAGGCTGAATTGTTCTTAACTTGTTCTTAAATTTATTGGGTATAAGCAGTGCCATTGCTAGCTTTTTCGCTTTAGGGAGGTGTTCAGGTTTCATTTGCCAACAAAGTAAGTGTGACAACCTTCAATTGCCGGAAAGTTTGACTGTTCACCGAAAAAGCATCCATACATGGCTAAAAATCCTCATTTTTGAAATAAGACGTTGTTCAAAATTGCATTTTACAGTAGATTAACCTCAGCTTGTTCTTACCATTATCTTAACTTTTGACCAATTTTGAGGCTCATGTTTTTATAAAATTATCGAAAAGAAGATCGAAAAGAAGAACATTTTTTGCGACCACGTCCTTTAGATTAGCTTAAAATTCAAAATGCAGTTCAGATTTTGCTACAAGAATGCGATTGGCAAGGGGGTGGGGATGGGCGTTGCCCACTAGAATTTGCACCAATGCTTCACCATTCGGTCATCTTATTGTCTTTTTACTTATCTTTTATCAAATTCATATTTCTACACGATGATCAATGATTTCTGGTCTTCCTAGGATTCGTGTTTCATTTAGAGTTTACTGAGCTCTTTAAATGTGTTTTTAATTTTCGTTGGAGCTGATAGAGTGAGGGTGCCCAGAAAAATGGAATCATATTTTGTATAATCAAGCTTAAATTTTGAGGTATCGAGATTTCTATTGTTTCATGTGTTATAACTAGAAATTGCAATCCTCTGATTATACTTGCTCCTGAGCATGGCCGTCGGGAGGCAAGCCTTGTTGGGGAGGGGGGTGGACTACAAATTTACCTGATTAAAAAATTATTGCCTGAAATTCTTTAGTTGCTGCCACAAACCTCTGCAATACATTTTGCCAATCTAACTCTGCATATAATTCGCAACTTTTATTTTAAAATGATAATAACGGACTTTCGTAATAGTTTTGTCAAATCTGTTAATCGGGACGGGCAGAGGATATATCTACTACCCGAGGCGGCGCTGGTTGCCGCCGAATGAGCAGAGAATCTTCAAATTTTGATGCTTCCATTTCCTTGTAAAATGCACTCTTTTAAGCAAATTTCACTAAAACAATCCTCCTAGTCCTATTAGAAATTATTTTTTTGCAAATAAATTGAGCAGCAGATAAAAGCAACTGGTACAATTTCGCCGTGGTCTTGAAAAACACCATGTTGTTAGTTACTTCTAAAGCTAAGTAACAAGCAGCACTGGTTGTCAATTTAGATCCCTCTTTCCATCTTAGCTACCCTGGGTACCAGACTCAATAGAGACATCTTAGCATGCCTTTTGAATGTTAAAAAAATCTGGAGCTCATTGCTAATTGCAGTTGACGCTTCTGCCGAGAAACTTTAGGGGAAGTGGACACAAGACACAATTTTACCTATATTGAAGTCTTCAAATCATTAGTTCGTTTACCTTCATCCATATCAACGAATATCACATATAACCAACGGAGCAACTACCTTTGCTTGATTATTTATTGATTTTATGACATGAAGGTATCTGAAATACCTAAAGCGTTTCTTCCATCAAGCGGATTTTACCTGAAATTTTCTATTTAGATGCAATTGGGGAGGGGATGTGACAACCCCCCTAACCCCGGTCACGACGCCTCTGGCTCTCAGAGCACTGCTATATCGATTTGTTTGTGTTTCATGACCATCGATTTATCAAAAGAGATGATCTGATTAACGCTTGCTTTCTTTGGCATTGAGAATGCCGTGTTTCTAGTTTTCGAAGCGCGAGCAGACTTTCCACTCTTACCTATCTCCTTGAAAGAATCCTTTTGAAGAAGACAGTCGGGAAATTGAAGATGTACTTTAAAACTTTTGCAAAACTGCAATGTAGTTTTAAAAGAGTTTAAAATGTAGTTTTAAATGAGGGTGTATTGAAGCCAACGACGAAAAGCTACACAGAAAACAGACGCATATAAGAACTTATTGTATTAAAAACCTGCAGGCTGAAGTTATAAAATTGAACCATTGTCAGGCAGGAACCCATCCATCCTGAAATATTATGAATATGTTCTTATTTGTAGAAATCACCCAATTGCTTAAAAACTCTTGTTACTTTGGTACCGAACCCTCACCTGATATTGTAGATGTAGATGCTCAAACTCAGTAAACACATGAAAGGCTTGAAGGTTGAATTGAAATAAAAGAATCAATTCAAGAGCCTAAACAGCCTCTTTTCCTATGAAATACCCAATACATAGGAACCCAGTAAGGCTTGCAAAATTCGAGGTTCCTATATGCGGGTTTTTACTGTATTGGCCTGTGGAAGACCCAGTGGATTATGATTGTTATATTGCATTTATATTGCCACTCGTGTTACCTGTTGGATCAAAAATCTAAAAACCTTTTCACGAGCCACTTACTCTCGATATTTGATTTATATTCTTCCATAAAAAATCTGTTCAGCTTAAGTGCCAAAAAAGTAAAAGACAATTTGCAGGTTTTACAGTTCCCTGGGATTGTTGTTAAGAACATTGCACGTATTTCTTGGTAAATTAATTTTCCTATACAAAATTTCTCTTGTATCTGTAAGGTCGAAATACAGAAATAAGTGGGAAATATTATTCTATTTGTAGGCTTATGAGGTTTTATCTAGTTAGCTGGTAGTCATATTTGCAGGCACCGCGGAGCGTCGAGAAAAGTGAGGGGGCTAAAACCGTATAAGAAGTGGCTTTACCAGTAGTTTATTACTCAATATTTTGCATTTTTTTGCAAAGAGTGGGGCCTAAAGCCCCCTAGCCCCCCTGTTCCGCGGTGCCTGATTTGGTAGTTAATAATTTAAACGAGGCGACATGGGAGCGAGGTTTCTTCCTGTTGTTTTGCGCGGAGAAAAATGGCTACCGGCAACTCGAGTTCTGGCGTCCCTTTGGGTCTTCAGCAAGCGTTAAAAGAGTTACATCGGATGCTCTCACAAATCCAGGTAATTTCTGCGAAATTAAAAAAAATCTCATTTGAATTATCGGGATCGGATCAAAGCCAAGAAAGCACCTCGAATGAACACGAATATTGGTGTATTTACCACCTTTTCAAAGAAAATTGTTGATATGAAAACTAATTCTATTGAAACTTTGAGTAGATTTGAGTTTCACTCTCATCTACACATCTCATTTTTTGCAAAATTTATTATATTTTATTATGTTTCTCAAGTTCTTTTACTGCATGATATACAAATTTATGCCATTATGCATTAGGGTAGTATATGATTGATATGATATAATATGAATAAATATTTATAGACGAAAAATATGCCCTTCTCAGCATTTAAAAATACATGTATACAATCTTATAAAACAAACAAATAAAAATAATTTCAAAGGCAATGTAGTATCTGAATATGTTAATATTGCTGTTCTTCCAGGGGGTCGTGTTTTGAAGCTAACGTTTTTGGTCAGCCAGTAGGTGTGCTTTCAATTGTTTTTTAAAGCAACAGAGAGTTGAGGCCTCTTGAATAACAGCCGGCCTATCATTCCAAATTTTCAGAGAGAAATATTTAAAGCTTTTTTGCATGTTCTGTATTTAGTCTTGGGATCTGAAGATCATGGCAGTTTCTTATTACATGGCTTGAGTACATTGATCTTTAACTTGAGTACATTGATCTTTAATCTTATAGGCCATAACTGACCAATCAAAAGCAATAAGATTATGGACGTTCAGCCAATCTGGCACTTCTGATTATTGATTGGGCTCTATTTTGTAATGGTTGGAGAGTTTCAAGTTTTTTTGTTGGAAGACAGTCCCAGATTACATCTGCGTAGCTTAGGTGACTCTCATCAATAGCGTAATACACATTGTATAGCTTTTACTGAGTGAGAATATGTTTCAGTTTCTTAAGTGAAGCAAGTCCCCCACAAATCTTGTCCTAACAGTTTTAAATTGCTCGTCCCATTTCAGACTTTCATCAACCATTACTCCTAATGATTTGGTCTTGGAAACTCAGTTGATCTTGGAATCATTCAATTTTCATCCATTCGGCATATTTACAGCTTTAGTTTTCCGAGGGTGGCCTTTCCTCAAATACTCTGTTTTTGAGGGGTTAGGACTTAGCTTATTTACTCTCATTCATTCAGAATGTTAAGTAACTCCTCTTATGCATCCATAAGTAACTCCTCTTGTGCATCTCAGGAGCATGGTTCACAGCCTTCTTAAGTAATTCTGCTCAGTTAATGGACAACAGTCAGGGGCTAGATTGGTAACTTGTGGTATACCTCAAGGATCATGCTTGGGACCAATCCTGTTTATCATGCACCTAAATGACTTTAAAAAATGCTTAAAATTCTCTAAGGCTAGCATGTATGCAGATGACACACATGTTACATTAACATCTAGTCTCATTGGAACCAATTTACAAATGCCCATAAAGAATTATAAAAAAACATCTCGGAATGTTTTCGGATAAACAAACTAAGCGCAAACCCGAAAAAAACTGAATACAAGATTATTTGCAATCCACGGAGGACAAATAAAGTTGAAATCTCAAAACCACTGCACCTTAATGATTCGGAAATAAAGCGAGTTGCGAAGACCAAATCATTAGGGGTTATGGTGGACGAATGGCTAAACTGGGATGACCAATTCAGCAAAGTGAAAGGAAAGATTAACAGCGGTCTGATGTTGCTGAAAAACTGAAAAATCTTATTTCACATTCTCAGCTCGACCATGTGTACCGTGCATTTATCGAAAGCCGTCTGAGATATGCTAATGTTATTTGGGGAAGTCTTTCTAAATCAAAATTGAATACACTCCAACGTCCGAGGGACAGAGCACGCTCGACTATTGATAAGGCCAGACTAAAAGACACCTGGTCTCATAACTGGCTGACCGTTGAGCAACTAACAAAGTTCAATCAATCAGTTATGACATACAAAATAATCAGCAGACAATGTCCCGAAAGCCTTTGGGATAAATATCATCATAGGACCCAGCACTCCAACTACAGAACGAGGAATTGCAGGGACCTACAAATCCCAAGAAATAACCTTGAATACGTCAAGAAAGGCTTTCACTATTCTGCTCTGAAAGCCTGGATCGATATTCCCATCAATATCAGAGAGCTCTCTACACTTAGTAAATTCAAAAAGCAATTTAAAAGTTATTATACGAGCTGATCGCAACATAAAATACGACTCACTGGAAGAGCAGCTGCTATAAGCTAGATTACTGTGCATAATTTAGCTTTAACTGGATATAAATTGTATTAATGTAACAAGGGTATTTATTTTCTTATTTAGTATTTAGTTGTAAGCCGAAGGGATTTTTGTGTATAAAGAATTTAAAACGAAAATGAAAATAGCTAGTTTCTTGATGTCATTTGATACTAGTGTCACATTAGTATCATCAACATAAATATTTGCTTCGAAAATTTTAGGCTTCGTTTTAAATCATTTAGATATATGATGAAAAGAAGGGGGCCTAAGCAAAAGCCTTGGGGTATGCTGCATTGAAATTCTCTCGCCTTAGATTTTTTACTGTTTAGGGAATATTATTGCTGTCTATCATAAGGGTAAGATTTGAATCAGTTTCCAGGGATCCAGGAAACCGGTTTCCAGGGTTTTCAGGGATATACTTTTTTGCAGATCTTAAACTCTCAGATTTTTTTTTCATTAATATCAGAGCTCAAAACGATAAGCAATATTTTTTACAGCTGCATTTGATCATATAACCACTGATACCGAACTACAATTGCCATGTTTGCTACACAGTTTTTCTTTGTTAAAAGTCAAATTCATCATGCTGCCGAGCTTCTTAACGCTTATTCCATTTCAAATATATTCATATGAACTGTGTAGTAAACTTTCTGCCTGCAGGTGAAGAAATTCCAACCAATTTTTCACATTGCACTTTCATTAAAGGCATTGTGCCACCTCTCCTGTCCACCATTGTTCTCAGAATCTCTTTTCATGGCGTGATATTCATGCATCATTGGATTAATGCACAAATTACCAATTAGAATGAAGAACCATAATAGGAAACTTTCCCTGAATGAGTTGCTGTGAATTTTGTTTTGTTTTCAATCGTCTAAGTCAGCTTCGATGATATAAAGATAAGGTGTGTCGTATTTACCCACAGTAACTTATGTCGGATGCTTAATAAGCAGAGGCTTTTTAAGAAACCCTTTTTAAAGGCGAGGCTTGCAAGTAAGAATAAGCCCGATCTTAGAGGTGACAGACTACTTTTAAAATGCTTGTGCCACGCCAAAGATCTTATCAAAAAGTGCCACATATTCCAGTCTGGCATTATATAAAGTGTGAAGTGCTATTTAAGTGCAGATATAGAAGTGAATTTACTTCCATAATACATATTATACCACATATTTTGAACATTAATAAAGATATTCAAGAATACCCAACATTTATTTGATCAATTAAACTATATACTAAAATATACTTCAAGCCAATATGTAAGTAAACTAATCAAATTGATGCATTGCATTGATCAAAAATACATCATTTTTGTTAACTTTTTTAACATTAGATTTGAAATTGAAATATAACATAATGTAATATTGAATGATGTTTTGTAAAATCAAAAATATGTTCTTATCAAGGCGTCTTTTGTCTGTATTGGATGGTATAATCTGCAGCTGAGTCAAAATACCACACAAATCAATATTTAAAGTTTACAGTAATCATAAAATCTCAAAGATAACCATAAGATATCTCTGATTATGCCAAACAATCAAAATATTTTAAAAATCCAGATATGGCCAATGCCAAATTTAAAGTTTGCTAACAGACTTTCAGATATTTGACTTGGTTCCTAAAGTAAAGAAACAGGACAATGTTAGTGGTTTGTTACAAAAAGTGCATGAGTTCATTTGACTATACCTCAGCTATAGTTTGTTGATTTGAATGCTTTGCTTTGTGTGACAATCTCACAGTATACTTTCAGATTTGATGGACAGTATTGAGATATCTGAAGATAGAGTTGTTGTCATTATCTTTGGTGTCTTAATTTCTTCCTAAAGGCTGATTTTTTTTCTTTTGCAGGAAGAAAGGGGCAGGAGTGCAGATAATTTGAATAATATTAATAAAACACACGAAAAGATGAAAAATGACAATAAGGGTATGAAATTTCACAGAAATTTATGGGGCATGTGAACCAACCCTCATGTTTGTTCTGAGGAAGATCCAACAGTTTTTGGGTGTGCAGTGATTTTGGATAAAATGGAGTTTTGTTTTCAGGCAAATCTCATGGAATCATTGTCATTTTTTCTATTTCTTATTTGAACAGTGCATTTTTTGGTAACATAGTCAATCTATCTGCCATTAGTGATAATTTTGTTTCCTGCAAACTAAGTCCTTTGTATCTTCATTTCAGTTTCATCCTATTTCAAAAATAAACTCAAGGGTCTGTATAACACAGCAATCTCAGATGCTAAAGGAGAAATAGAGTGAGTTAGAAATTCTTTCTTTGTTCAGTTCAGTTATAGTTTCCAAATCCCAGTGCATACATACTGTACATTTTCTAGAGGTGCACATATACAACCTTTTAGCATAAACTAGACAGGTATAAGATGGTGCTAAAAAGTAAATTGTACAATAATTATGCAGGAAATCAATGCAATAAAAAACAGAGAAAAGAATCAAGTTTGAAATATACGCAGAGAATTAAACAATGGAGAAAATTCTTGCAGTAGTTAAATCTAATCAAGGAACCCTCTAGAGCATACCCTTCCCTACCTTTTGCAGATTTTATAACTACAAATATTAGTATTAGCAGTGTGTCTTTGTGTATGCAGTGACAAACAAAGAAAACCTTTCATTGAACCGTCTTCATTTTATCAACAGCCTCATACAGCAAGCAATGGACAAAATAACAGAGATAAAAATAGCGCGAAATGAGAAGCAAGGTAGAGTTGTTCTGCCATTTGATTTCTTTTGAACTATGACATGGCTTGACGTTTTTCATTTGTAAATCTTTGTACTTTCGAATGTTTGTAAAATCTTAATTGCTGCTATATTTTTACCCTTTCCTATTTATATTTGCAAGTTGCCAGACCTCGTTATTATAGGCCTGGCAATCGAATATTTTATTTGCAAAAAGAAGAAACTAGGATATTTTTCAATGAAAAGGCATTTTCAGGGTCACAAGAAACCCGCTTTGAAAGCAAAGTATAAAGTAATGAATGGTAAATGATTTTTCATGTTCTATCAACATGAATTATTTCCGCAACGGTGTAGGATACATTTAATAGCCAGGAGAGTACCTGGAGTTTTCAAATTTTTGTTTTGTTTCTACTTATTCCCCTTAGGCCCAGAGTCCTTTGTGAGAATGTATGCAAGACCCTGTCTGAGTGTCACCTAGAAAACTGTTTTGCTACACTATAGCTATTTCTATCTCTCCTATTAATTTGATTCCTGTTTAGGTAGCTCCAAATCAGGTTTTAATCAAGAGGAGCCCAGGTAAAACGTTTTGTATTAGAAATATTTCTTTATGCACCATTTTTAAGCGCATATTGCTGTCTTTTTATGTTAAATTTATTTAAGATTCTTGTTTTGATGATAGGAAACTTATTAACCAAAGCAAAATGATTCTAAGTACTAAAATAAATGACTTAAAAATATAATATTCTTGGCCATGCACTAGTTTGTTAAATTTTGACATTAAATAAAGGGCAAAGGTTGACTGATTGGTTTTAACCTTCCGCTTTCCCTTGCTATCTTCAAATTTTGTGATGCTAAAGATTTATTTTGTTTGTTGTTTATGTCAATTTAAATAATTATTTCTGCCTGCTATAACGTTGTGTCTGCTTGACATTATGATGTTCCATAACCTACTCACTTTAGGAAGGGAATGAGAAGGGGTGTTCTTATGTCAATGCTCCAAAAAGCTGCATCAACACTTCCAACCTGGACAGGACGTCAAGGAGAAAGGTATGTCGGTATGATGATTATTATGACGATTAATGATGATGATTGATGATGTTGATAGTAAAGATGAATGTGAGAAGCACTACTATTTTCAAGCCTGTTTATTTTTCATCATTCATGATACTAATGATGACAAAAAATATATTTATACTTGTTCAACAAACTGAATTTGCTGATATCAACCAAGGACCTGTTAACCTAGTGTTCCTGAAATATATAATTTACAAAAGATAGTTTGAAAGTTATTTCAATAATAAAGTTTCAAGAAAATGTTGAAAGTCAAAGCCAAAGTCATTGCAGTAACTCTTCAGTATTGATTTTTCACATGTAAAGTTCTTGGGAAATTTATTGAATATTTTTGCACCGTGGAATGCAAGCGTTTACCATCCTGGTTCAGATTACTTTCTGAAGCAATAAACTCTTTGGTCATTTCCACCGGTTGATCTGTAATGCCTTGTAATTCTTCCTTTGATAGTGCTCCAGCTCTTTGTGGATGCATTCCTGCCGATTCTGCCTATGTCTGTCGTCCTTCGGCTCACGTATGTTGCTCTCGTTTTATTTTCTTCATTTTTTCGAAGCTCTCGTATTTACTTCCTATTTATCAAAACGGTTTTTTCTTTATCCTGAACGTAATGAACTCAAAAACTGTTAGTCACTTTGTCTAACGGCAACTTGAAAATGAGGCTTGACCAGACTGGGCTAACAAGACATATATGCAAACATTGTAACTTAGATAGTAAGTTTAGGTCACAAACATTATTGCTAGGTTTAATTTTTGTCAACTTTAATTTTAAGCAAAAATTGTCAGTGAGACGTCTAGAGGTCATTGAATATTATTAAGTCGATTTCACAAACAGATAATTTGGAGGTGAATTTGCATCAGCTAATAAGATATACTGAGTAGAGCAATTTGGTCATTGTATTAAGGTTTTTGTCGCTTGCTTTTTAGGTAGCTGCGAGAGTAAAAGGGAGTGATGGGGAGGAGCAGTGGATTCTTGCAGAAGTCGTTGCTTACAATCCGTCCAACCAGAAGTAGGTTTAACTCATTTTATGCTGTTTACTGGTTGCTCTTAACAAAGAATGTTCAACATGTGACTAGAGCGCTTTTCTTTATCCTTCACCTTTGAAATATTTTCATCTGAGGATGCTTCCCATTATATATTTACCGTATATCCTCAAATTATCCCCCTAGGGACTTATTTATTTTTGATATTTTTGGATGGGGGTTATTCGAGAGGGGGTGGGGCTTATAAAATTACAGTGGACTTTAAGAAGACATTATTGAAATACCTCGTATATTTTAGTAGGAATTTCCTTATGAATATTTAATTAATTATTATTAAAAGTGTGAATTTTTGTAGTAATTCAATAAAACGCCAACGGCAATCTCATATGACAAAAATCAACAAATCGAGAGGGGGCCAATTCGAGGATTTGTGGTAGCAGTGGGGGGCTTACTCGAGAGGGGGGCTTATTGACAATTTGTAGTTCTAGGGTGGGGGCCTATTCAAGGGGGGCTTATTTTAAGGGGGGGGGGCAATTCGTGGATTTACGGTATGTATCAACAATCGGCCTGTGCTCAACTAATACTCCATGACAACGGAGTGCTGTTTCACCAACCAAGCCCTTTGATCAAATTTCTGTTTGTGAATTTAAGAATCAAATAATTTTATACAGGTATGACGTAGATGATATCGATTACACAGAAGAAGACGGAAAAGCAAGCCAAGAGTAATTCCATTGTTTATTACGTCATCCTTCCAATTCGTACCAGTCTCTTTTTCAAATCGATTGTTAAGCTATGGATCCAGTTTTCGAATAATTCCAAGCTTTATTAGCGCAACCGCTTGGCTTTCTGAAAGACTCCATAGGACTTTGTTCTTATTTCATGGAACAAATACGACCTTCGTACGTGTAGTCCTCCACACTCTTAAAACATTCTCAGCATGTTGATTTTCTTTTCGTGTCAATTCTACCCTACAAAAACGAGACGATTTTCTTTGCCCGAGGAATTTTTCCAAATGATACTGCTATTTGCCCCTACAGTCGAAAGGAAAAGACATTGGATTAGGATAAGCAAATTTGTGCCGAGAACAACTTTATGCCTCTCTGGTAGCTTGCCTTTCGCTGTTCATAGCTTCCATGTTATGCAGAAATATTCGTTATTAGTTGCATTGATATATTGATATCCAATGAAAAACGATTGAAAATCATTGCAGGCGACATCACCTGAGCAGACGGCGTGTTATTCCGCTGCCTCTCTGGAAAGCAGACCCAAATCGGAATCCAGAGGCCATTTTCCAGCCAAATCAGGTTTGAATTTCTACATTTCTTGGGTGGACGCAAGCTGCCAAAATCCAACTCCAAAGGCCTTCTGTTTTGATACGTGTTTACTAGCAGAATCTAGCATTGAATATGATTGGTCAAAAAATCCGTTACTCAAAAAAGACCAATCAGATATCTTGTCATTTGCAATCAATACATAATTCTGTCTTGCCCAATTGCCCATCAAAGTAAAGCTTTCCACTTTCACCGTCAATGCCCATGGCTCATTCAGTGCCTCTTGTTAAACGTCCTGATCTCGGTAAGATCTCTTGATCGAAACATAAATCTCTAAACATTAGGCATGTGTTATGTGTTCTGAATACGAGAAATATATTGTGTGTTCTGAGTACGAGGCATGTACTGTGTGTTCTCTTTCAGCTGGTGATGGCTCTGTATCCTCAAACCACGTGTTTTTATCGAGCGCTCATTCACGAACCACCAAAAACAGTAAGTTTTAGAATGTTTTCACCATCATAAATTTAACTCTGAATGCAAAACTGGAGTTTCGTGACAATCTTATAAGGAATTTTCAAACCAACAATTTCGAGCGAAAGGCCTTATTATGTTTGAGATCAATGTTATGTATTCTGCACTTACATATTCAATCATAGTTCTCGCATCTAATGGTGTAATAATGACAAGGAAAACAGATTTTGAAGTGTTCAAGGAGGAATTTTTAATGATTCTGAAATTTATTTATAGCCTTTGATTGCTCATTATAATTAGCTTGCTATCGAAAACTATTCGTGAGGCCATGGTGAGTGTGTTCCTGCATGATTCATTGAACTTGCCCACTACTTGTACCTAATGTTAAGTTAATTGCACCCAGTGCATCCCCGTAATGTATACACCATACTCACATAATTGTACCTAGTTAAGCTTTTATGGTTTTTTTGCAGACCCAAGATGACTATTCTGTGTTGTTTGAAGACACCTCGTATGCAGACGGGTATTCGCCACCCTTAACTGCGCCGCAGCGTTATGTCGTCCAATACAAAAAGAAATAACTTTAACGTTTCGACTTTATATAACTTTATAAGATCAATGCTATTAATTATTGTAATCATGTATGTTTCGTGATTTTCTTGTGGGGGTCTGTGCCTAAAAGCTTTGTACAAGAGCATAAACCTTTCATGTCCGATTCGCAGAGGGCATAATTTATGAATGATATGTTCAGCAACGCCTCTCGCGATCATTCACCAGAAGAAATTCGTGATTTTTGCATTTTGGGGAAGCCATTGAAGCTGTCTTTAGTATGAAATAAATGTAGTTAAGATGACGTATTTGTCTTTGTTATACCCAAATCCTCACAAAAAACTAAACTCTCGGAGATTTTTAACGATGATTCTCCAGAGTATCCGTTCTCGATTTCCTTTTGTTTGTGTATCATTACTCCAAAAGTAAGAGATGGTGTCTAAGATTTCATAATGTTGAGATTTTTCAGGTTATAAATGCAACAGTACACATTCAAATGGAGCTTCAAGAGTTTTGAGTCAAATTTAGGGGGTTCAGAAGAATTTTACCGATTCCTATATAAAATAGTCGTTTATATTTTACCTTCCAATATTGTACAATCCATTCTAAATGAATAACATTACTTGATGCCATCCATGTTAGTTAAGAAATTATTAAAGCTCTCAAATTGTTGTGAACATTCGAGACAGAAACTCGAAAATTGCTCTTTTGATGAATGAAAAGTCTTCCCTTTTCATTGAGAAGAAAGCTATGCCAGTAGATTCTGATTACCTGCTAAAGTTTTAAAATTACAAAGAAACATAACTGTGCCTAAGTAAGCCTAAGTAAAAATAATAATAGAGCCTAAGTAAAAAAATTGTAACTCATTTACTTGCGGTATCCTTTCTCCAAACAGCTTTATAAATATTTCAATTTTAATCATAATGGACCAACAGAGTTGAAGTTGCGGAGGAAGTTACATTCCATTCCCCCAATGTATGCCCCTCCTGTGAGCGATGCCTCATCAAGTATTTGAATCAAATTATCAAACGTATCCAGTTTTATAACCTAATAACGCCTTTACCTTCGACACTGGGTTTCTTAAATCAGAATCTGAATGATCAAATGTGGTAATTAAAGTTTGAAAGGAATTGAGAATTACTTGTCAAAATATCGAAAAAACCTTCTATGGGTACTACCTCATGTATCGTGCATTAGGTATGACTTGCAAACGCCTGTCCGTTTTAATGATGTCGTAATAGGTTCTCCACAAGAATACTAGTACCCTTCTATTAAACATGTAATTTGCGTTTGTTAAGAGTAAGCTACCAAGGGTCACAAGTGATTCTGGTACCCAGGCTTACAGCAAGCTAGAAATTGAAGAAAATCATATTGAACGAAACTGAGTAAAGGCTAATGCTAGCTGGCAAATTGATTCCTACCTGAAATGAAATTATATTAGGACAACCAAAGAAAAATACCAAATTCCCTCGTTTAAAACAATGTTGCAGATTTAAATTTAAAATGCTTCTGCCGTGGTACTAACGTGTTCTACCCCTATCTACAAATATACCCTAAAGTCGAAATATAACATTTCTTGTTGGGAAAAATTCCACATAGAAATTGTATTGTTCAGGTACCACATAGAAATTGTATAATCCAGGTACCACATAGAAATTGTATAATCCAGGTACCACATAACTTACGAAGACAAAATGGCATAATGCTTTTCTAACTTATCTTGTTCAGTATTCCAATATACCATTATTCGTTTGGATTAGAGTTTAGCTAATTCGCTTACATCGAAAAATTGCGCTTTGGAGATTGCAAGTTATGTTAAGCAAAATTTGGTTTGCATATTCGTCATATTTTAGCTTCTCTTGGCTTTATGAATTTAAGATATTGGGTATTCTATAAGCAAAGAGACGATGAAGTAGGTTTGTATAATTATGTTGTACCAAAGTTGGCCTAGCTAGAAAGGGCTGGAAAATGGCAATGAAGGCAACGGGCACGGAATCCCTAGGTAGAAGGAATGAGCCTGGAGTAAATATCATTTGTCAATTTCCTTTACCAACAATACAGTATAAGTTTGTCAAGAGATGCTAAAACCATCTTGTCAGAAGCAATCTTACTAAAGTCAATTTATTTAATCCTCGTCGCTCAATGGTTCATATTCAATCGTAGGAGTATAATTTTCATTACTTAAATCTCCAGTTTCCGAAGTTCTGTTAATCGAATAATCTATCAATGTAACGTGATCATCATGGGGAATGACCACATCGTTGTTCAGAAGACGCTCTGTGAGATGACTGAGGTTATCCCCATGCTGAGGCAAACCATTGCCAAAGTCGGCTTTCGTGCTTGGAGAAGGGCAGGCACTACTGGACCGTGATCCTTGATGGGAACCGGAACGAGAAGCGGGCATCGAGCCAATGGTGAAAGACAAAGTTGAATAAGGGAAAGCCACCCCGCCCAGATGTGTCTTTGGAGAGTTTTGGGAGGTGACAGGAATATTCAACGAGAGCACAGAATGCGCGAATGATGGGGGAACATCAGGTATTTCGCCCTCAGCTTCTTGCATCTCTGCAGGACTAATTGGAGAGCCAGGGGGTGAAATAGGGAACGTTTCATAAGCAGGAACAAAGACAGACCTTTCTGCTTGATTCACATCAACTTGTTGCAAGCCTGACTTTGCAGCCAGTACTATTCTCGTCTCAAGGTCTATATCAAGTTTCTGATTATCTGCAATGTCATCTTCCACTTGACTTGGTAAACTGGATATGTTAATAAACTCGGAACTATAATTGTCCTCAGTTTTTTCTGTATAGGCTCTTTCTTCGGCAGATGGATCACTGAATTCCCGTTGCTCACTTATGTCAACATCATAACCTTGCTGATAGTCACTATCCTCTGCTGCTGATACTGACTGCCCTTCACAAGCAAACCCTTCTGCTGCAGGCCACAGGCTCAAAAACGGCTCCGCAACGTCTTCCTCTGCGCTTGGTGACTCATCAGCCTCATTCTGTATACTATCTATTGCTGCGCTAGTTTCTTCGACATCCAAAATCGTTTGGTTCTCATTAAACACAGTATGCTCTCCTTCTTCTTTGTCTTTAACCAGCTTGTTCTCTACAATATCGGCTGAGAAAGAAACTCGCTTATCTGAAGACGGGGTATCAGCTGAGGACTCTTGAGGCTGTAATGGGGAAGACAATGACCCATCTGATAATTGGGAAACAGGAGAAGAATGTGCGGCAATAGGAGCAGATGTCAGTGGGGTTGCTTCATCTGGTAATACGTCTGTTTGCTCCGGTAATGGGACGGTGCCCCCTGGGAATTGTGCAGTTTCCCCTGGTAACTGGTCCGTTTCCTCTGCAAACTGGTCCGTTTTCTCTGGTAACTGGTCCGTTTTCTCTGGTAACTGGTCCGTTTCCTCTGGTAACTTGTCCGTTTCCTCTGGCAACTGTTCAGCTTCCATGGTATCTGTGTGCGTCAAAGAACTAATTCCCTCAAACACTTTTGGACTCCTTTCAAACTCGCCTGCACCAGCTTTTTCTTTGCTGTTAGTTTTCATTTCATTTTTACCCCCAAAATCTGCGGGAACATTGTCTAAACCACTGATTATATTCTGCTTTTGATTAACTGCTTTGGTTAATACATCAGTACTCTTGCTAACTTCAAATGTTCTCTTGGGCAGGCTTAAATCTAGTTCACTCAATCCTATTGGATAGTCTTCAATATTCCATTTCCTTCCACAATCCGTCTCTGATTTGTTTCTCAACGAACCCCCACCTTTCTTTGGTAAATTTCCTTTATCAAGATTTTCCTGATAACCACGCAGGCTTTCCCTCATTAGTTCAATCTCAGCCTCGTCTGCAGAAAGCGTAGCCTCGGAATCAACAGGACTTGTAGGCTGATACCCAGCATGAGTGTCGGTGGAAATTCTAAGAAGCTGGCTGACATCTCTTCGACCTTCCCCACCAAAACTAATGTTTTGGCTCACAACAGGTGAATACTTTTCTTCGCTTGCAGCAAACATAACTGGTCTGGAGCCATCATTTTTTGGTGAGCCACCAGGGCTCACCTGATCAATACTTCCCTCTGAACAGATAATGTCTTTAATGGGTGTATCACGTGCTGGATCTGTGTATGGGATAGTAGGAGACATTAAAGCCTCGTCGTGAGTGTTGCCACTGTCTTCCTTGGGAGATTTTCCAGTTACAATTGTTAATGAGCTAAATTTAGCACTGTCTTTGCTAACAGGTGCTGCCTGTGCAGAAGCAAGCACTGAATCTTTGCTATCCATTTCACCCTCGTCTTCTTTTTCCCAAGGTCGGAAAAGAAAGGATGCCTTCTTTGATGAAGCAGACGATGGTGACAGAGGGAGTGTGGGACTAAGATGAAGTGCAGTTAGATTCCGCAAATCTCCTAGGGACGAGGAAAGTTGCTGTTGCTTTTCCGAGAAAAATGGCTTGTGTATAACAGAATCAACAGATGATGGCCTTGTATTTTTTGACTGGCTTTTTATCTTATCAATTGTGTTGAACCCTTTGGAAATAAAACTGTTTTGCTCATCTCTGAGCCGCATAAACCTGCTGGCATCAAAGTCAGTGAACGCCAGTGTCTTCTCATGGGGCGAAGACCCTAGCTCTTGTCTGGAACCGGTGATTGATAGGTTGAATGGAGCCTTTTGTACAATACCTGTCGATATTCCATAGTTAAACTCAAGAGGAATTTGATAATTAGATCGAGCCCCTTTCTGAATACCACCTTGTTGACCTTGAAGTATGGCTCTAGCATCATATGTCTGATCTGACTGTTTGTTCCTGTCAGAAGTGTTTCCAATCTCAGCCCTGAGATCATAATTTCGAGCTGCCTGTTTTTGAAGTTCACCCTTGGCTGATCTCGAGCTGGTCCTGATATTAGAACCTGGCAACCTCTCTAGGCCAGGAGAATGGCGGTATATAGAACTCTCGGGATGAACAGGGGGGCTTGCCGAGTGAACATCTCTGCTAGTCTTTCTTCCATCAATATGTCGCAACAGTTGTTGATCAAGTGTAGGTTGGAACTCTCTTGAGAAATGTTGCATACCCCCTGGGGTGACACCAGGCAAGTAGTGCAACAGGCGTGAATCCATAGTAGCAGAACTGGAAGATTCTACAGCTTCATTATTGGGTTTATCCATTTGCCTTAAATGCCCAGGTATGTTAGGGTTGCCTTTTTGGGAGTGGGCAATAGAATCTCTTCTGTCAACAAATCTTTGGGCTTTTCCTTCCCTGCCTCTTTCCATGTAGTCGAAACCTGGTCCCTCGCGCCCATGGTGCATATCAAAGCCAACCATCGGCTTCTCAGCAACCCTCAACTGTCCACCCATATGCGCTTTTGTGTCTGCAGTGAGGACATTTGGTTTTCCTTTCGCTTCAGATAAAGGGTTTCGCCCCACTGCCAAATTTGGGATTGAGGCAGCACGCTCTAGCATTTCACCATATGTTCTTGGTCGCACTTCCTTGACTGACAGAGGGTAATGTGACTCAAAATATTCTCCAGCAAAGGGTCTTTCTTCTCCTTGGCTAGACACTGATCGGTGCTGAAAGTGTCCAGCTGGGCGCAATAATATGTCACCCGGATTTGAGTAAAGAAGACCTTTATGCTGCATTCTTTCTGGCACATTTTGGTACTCTAACACACCTGGATATGGTGGTTCACCTGGACGAAACACCGGCCTGACTTGAGACATGTGCTCAACATTAGATGCTGCCTGAGAAGAAACGACTGTAGGGAACCCAAACTGATCTTGTCTTGAAAAAGGAAAGTGAGAACTGTCTCGGCCTTTCGGAGAGGTTTGATGGAAAGGATGTCCAGCTGAGATTGGTGCAGATGAAGCTCGCGTGGGAGCGTTTTCATGTCCAGGACCAACCTGAGAAATGGCACTTGCGAAATGCTGTCTTGCAGATGGAGGATTTGGGGGCAAATGGCCAAACTGCTTCATGTGATGCAACTGTGCTGACATTAACGATGGTTGCCTTCCAGCAAATGCTTGAATGACGGCACTTTGTTCTATTGATGGGTGTGATGCCACAGAAGTCATAAAGGGGTACTGCTCTAAATGCCTATGAGTATCACTATGGTATTGTTGCTTTGTGTCAGTCAATGCTACTGAAACCTGTGGTGCTCTTACATCGCCACGATGTTTGTGATACTGTGATGCCCCTTTAAAGAACTTGCCTTGCTCGTCTTCAAAACTGCCCATGTCCTCTTTATTCTTTAAGTCACTGTCAAGAGTTCTTTCTAAAGTCTCCTTGAACGCCCCAATCTCTCCTTGCAGTGAGATTCCTTTCAGTACAGATCTAGGACTTCCTGCGTTTTCAGTGCTGATAATCCGACTGTCTGCTTTGGTCATGAAAACAGGAGTCAGTGGAGGTGGAAGTGGACGAGCTGTCAGGTCTTCTTTCACAACAGCTTTGTTTGGATATGTGCACAGTAACAGCGAGGTTGGCCTCTCACCCCCTTTGTCTGTCGTTCGTTCCACTTGCCCATCATCCATTGATTCTGTCATCAATGAATCGGGCAGTTGTGCATCTTCTGAAAAAAAGGTACAGGATATTAATTACGCATTTTTACCTACCAGAAGGAAAAGGGGGTGGAGGGTGTTGAAAACCGACATTTACTAACGAGGAATAGCTGAAGACAGTTTGTCCCTAATTCACCTACAACTCTATTTCCCCAATTCACCTACAATTCACCACAGGTAATGTACCTAAAATCAAAATGGGGTCGATTGAAGGTCGACCCCATTTTGGTCGATGTACATTTTAACTAGAATAAGTGGCAATAATAAACTAGATATCAAAACTGGCAAAATACTAAATCTGTACACTCCTCAGATTTTTGCTTTGCTTCCCCTCCTATCCTTTTCTCACCTCTCTCCTATTCTTCTCCTCTCTTCTCTTCTCCTCTCCTCTCCTCTTTTCTCCTCTCCTCTCTTCTCCTCTCCTCTCCTCTATTCCTCCCTCCTCTATTCTCTTCTCCTCTCCTTTATTCTTCGCTCCTCTGTTCTCCTCTTTCCCCCTCTCCTCTCCTTTATTTCCCTCTTCTTTGTTCTCTTCTATTCTCTTCTTCTTTCCCTTATTCCTTGCTCCTCACCTCTCCTCTATTCCTCGCTCCTGTCCTTTATTTTCCTCTTCTCTATTCTCTTCTATTCTCTTCTTCTTTCCCTTATTCTTTGCTCCTCTGTTCTCCTCTTTTTCCCTCTCCTCTCCTTTATTTTCCTCTTCTCTATTCTCTTATATTGTCTTCTCCTTTCCCTTATTCCTTGCTCCTCTGGTCTCCTCTTTTTCCCTCGTCTCTCCTTTATTTTCCTCTTCTCTATTCTCATATATTCTCTTCTCCTCTCTTTTAATCCTCGCTCCTCTGTTCTCCTCTCTTACCCTCTCCTCTCCTTTATTCCCCTCTCCTCCATTCTCCTTTATTCCCTTTTCTCTCCTCTCTCGTCCAACTTGACAGACCCACTCTGGAACTATTCTCATTTTGCCAAAATCTAGCGCATGCTAAATCAGTACTAAATAAAACAATTTGCGCAAAAATGTTGGCAAGCAAGGGGGTAAATTTCTGTATTATATTTGTGTTCTTTCCAAATCTTAAAGCTATATTTATCATAAATTTTGAAAGCATATTGATAAGGAAAAAAGCGATATGTCGCAAACATTTTCGTCATCATTTTCGTTCACAATAAAAGCCAAGGTCTGAAAAAGTATATCGTACATCTCATTTCTAAAAATTCAATTCGCATGGAACGAAAGTAGTCTGTGATACAAATTGATCGATGCACGATGAATCAGCTCCAATTCAAAATTCATAGCAACTTCTCAAAAAACTCATGACAACTCCTTATAAAAAGAGGCATTCGGTTAAGCTGCCTTTAAGCATATTTTCAAAACGGTTCTGGATATTTATTCATAAATTTTGACTAATTAACAAACCGACCATCGCTTAAAATAGTGTGACACGCCCCCGAGGCCACCCCAAACACCCACACACTTGTTTATGTTATTGCTGAGGACTCTCGCACCCCTCTCCTCGTTAGAATCGCAATAAGAAATCATAACTGTTTTGATGAGTTTGCCCAACTAACCCCAAATAAAGTAGAAAAAAGAGTGAAGAACAAAAACCAACCCATTACTTCTTAACAACTACAGAGCTTGCAATCTTGAAACAATCTTGAAACAACAAAGTCCAAATCACGGTCCAAACCAAATGCCTGATTTATTCGAAAGAGATTTTATTAAAGCATGATGACAAACCTGATTCATGAGCGTACACCAATCTTTCTTCCTTTCTTGCTAGAATCATTTCCCCACCAGCATCTGTCTCAGGGCTTCTTGGCCTTATCAGTTTTACGGCTTGGCTCCCAACAGGCTCTTTCTCGACACCTTTGCTTACAAGTGCATCTTCTTTCGATACTCCTTCCTTCGTTTCTTCACTTTCCACAACCTCCAAACCTGCCGTGCTTTCGAAAATGAACTTCTTCGTCAAATTCTTGGCATTTGCGTCCTTTTCAACAACATTTTCATCATCTGCCTGATCTGCTTTCCTAACTTCATCACTCTCCATCATTTCAGCTCCTTCTTGTTCTTCTTGCTTGCCACTTGACTCGTTTTCATTGGCAACGTGATCATGATCATTCTTAACATGTTCAATCTCTACCGACTTCTCCTGTGCAGTGTCCTGCAACGGTTGCAAGTGCTGCCCAGCCGGTACCCCATCTTTCTCTAATTGACCTGTTCTCTTTGATCGTCTTCGCTTCGATGTCATCTCATCATCTAGCCCAGAGGCAGCCCCTTGGTGCGAATATGAACTGATACTCTACAAGTAAAGAATTTGCCGGTGTGAATTTTCTAGAATTAATTTTTATAAAAATTTATCTACATAACAAAGACAAGCGGATTCCCCATGAACACATACGATAACAGACAGCTTAAAAAGCGGACTTCCTTAAATAAGGGACATCTTAAAAATTGACAGCTTTAAAGAAAGGGCACCTTAAAAACGGACTTCCTTAAAGAAGAAACACCTTTAAACAGTAGAAGCCTTGGAAGAACGGTATCCATAAAAAATTAAACCCTTAAAGAAGACACACCTTAAAAAACAGACACCCCTAAACGTGGACAAATTGAAGTCAAAGTCTCGTAGAAGCAACCTACATTATAACATATAATTAGAAGAGATACTGTAATGTTTTGAATAAATTAACATATTATTATGACGTAAGGGTACTTAGAGTTAGTTGTAGAGCACGAGGCGAGGGAGTAAACCGTGTTACATGTGAGCACATGATTAGGCCCTTTTTAACAACATAACATTTGGCGACGAGGATTAAAACAAAAAGCAGATAACGTGGAGGGAAAGCACATGCCATTTCTGTTAAGTTTCAGAATTTAAGATGGCGACGGCAGCACGATTAGATTTATTACCGCTTCCACCGTTCGACCCTGTGTCCGACCCGACGTCCATAAGCCAACGATGGCAACATTGGAAACGCCGTTTCGAAACATATTTACTTGCCGTAAATATAACTGATGATGCTCAGAAACGTGCCTTACTGTTGTACCAAGCAGGTGCCGCCACTCAAGAAATTTTCGATTCTCTCCCAGTTGAGCAAGATGAAGCTACAGATTACAAGACAGCGTTGGCAAAACTTGACACTTACTTTGCCCCGCAGAAAAATGTCGACTTTGAAATTTTTCAATTTCGCCAAGCCAAACAGAAGATTGGAGAAACTACTGATCAATTTGCTACACGACTTCGCAAACTTGCTACAAATTGTGAATTTACAGATTTAGATAAGGAAATTAAATCTGCGATTATACAAAACTGCTCGTCTAAGCAACTCAGAAGGCTTGCTTTGCGGGAAGAGAAGCTTACACTCGCCGTGTTGTTATCAAAAGCACGTATTCTGGAAGCCAGCGATACACAAGCTAAAGATATAGAAGAAAGTCTCATGCAGGTAGAAACTGCCCAGCTGGTTCATAAGCCTCAGCTGAAAACCTGTTTCAACTGTGGTTTTTCATGGCCTCACCGTACTTCCCCTTGCCCCGCCAAGACTCAAAGTTGTCGCAAATGTGGGCGTGTTGGACATTTTGCTAAAGTCTGTAAAAGCCGCGCGAAACAACCGCGTGCCGTTAATGACCCGCTTACGCAAGACCATAAGAAAGGAGGTCATAAATTCGCAAATCAAAAAGGAAAAATACATCATGTACATGGAAAAGCACCTCAACATACACAAGAGCCTACTCCAGAGTCTAGCAGCGACGAAGGTTATTTGTTTACGTGCGATGATCAACGCGAAATAAAGATGCCACAAGTCCGTGTAAAAATTAATAACACCCCTGTGAAAATGATTTTGGATACAGGAGCATCGATCGATATTTTGGATGAATCAACATTTCATCAGGTCAAGGCAGCTAAGAATATCCATCTTTCTCATTCAACGACAAAGCTTTTTGCATATGGTTCTGAACAACAGCTTCCAGTTTTGGGAAAATTTCATGCCACGATCGAAACAAAGGACCGAATCGCGCCCGTTTGCCTACATGTGGTTCGGGGAAATTCTGGATCTTTGCTCAGTTACACAACGGCTGCTGACTTAAATTTGATTCAGATTAAGCTAAATGCAGTGAAAACAGGACAATCTACCCCTGCCACTACCGAGAATTTGGAAGCCAAATACCCGAAACTATTTGATGGAATAGGAAAGCTTAAAGACCGTGAAATCAAACTGCATATCGATAGCACCGTTCCGCCGGTGGCTCAGCCCGCTCGACGTATACCATTTCATTTGCGGAAGAAAGTGTCGGAAACTCTGCGTGATTTGGAAGACCAAGGCATTATAGAAAAAGTGGCAGAAACAAGCACCCCCTGGATATCACCCTTGGTCGTGATTCCAAAAAACGACGGAACTGTTCGCTTATGCGTGGACATGAGAATGCCTAACCGCGCGATTCAACGGGAACGCCACCCTAGCCCTACCATCGACGACCTTATACACGCGTTAAATGGTGCTACAGTTTTTTCCAAGTTAGATCTTCGCTCTGGTTACCATCAACTCGTTTTATCAGAAGAAAGCCGTCACATCACTACTTTCGCTACTCATAAAGGGTTACGAAGATATACACGTCTTAACTTTGGAACGTCGTCAGCAAGCGAAATTTTTCAGAACGCCGTTTACGAACAAATTCGGAATATTGAGGGTGCCGTAAATATCAGCGACGATGTTATCATTTATGGTAACACCCAAAACGATCACGACCGCGCGTTACATGCGGTATGCAAACGATTCCAAGATATGGGGTTGACGTTAAACAAGGCAAAGTGCGAGTTAAACAAAAAGGAGATCACGTTTTTTGGCTATGTGTTTTCTGACAAAGGAATCTCTGCCGACCCCCAGAAAGTTCATGCAATTCACAACGCCCCGCCGCCACAGTCAGTCAAGGATATTCGCAGTTTCTTAGGGATGGCAAACTACTGTGCAAAATTTATTTCACAATTCAGTGATATCAGCGAGCCCTTGCGAAACTTAACAAAGAAAAACAGTGTTTTCCGGTGGACCCCTAAGGAACAAAAGTCGTTCGATGACATCAAGTTGGCATTGACTAGTGACAAGGTGATGGCATATTTTGACCAGACAAAACAGACTGAGTTGTTTACGGATGCTTCGCCTACAAGCTTTTTTGGCTATTTTATCGCAAATTACACCTGGCCAAGAAGACAGAAAAGTCGTAGCCTACGTAAGCCGATCGCTCTCAGATGTAGAAAGAAGGTACTCGCAAACTGAAAAAGAGGCATTAGCTATAGTATGGTCTATTGAACGCCTTCACATTTACTTATATGGTGCAAAATTCAAGCTCTTTACGGATTGCAAGCCAGTCGAACTTATTTTGTCTAACCCAAAATCACGACCAATCGCTAGAATTGAACGCTGGAATTTACGTATTCAGGTTTACGATTTTGAAATTGTTTATAAACAAGGAGCTCAAAACCCTTCGGATTTCTTGTCAAGACACACCTTTACGGATACAACTAGTAAATCTCAGTCATCAACAGCCGACAAATACGTCAATTTTCTCGCTCGTCATGCTGTTCCGAAGTCTATGGACTACAAAGAAATTCAAGATGCCACATTCGCAGACCAAACCTTGCAAGCTCTCATACGCCTTATTCATGATAATTCGTGGAACAACATTCGAAGTTGCAATCACCTGACGTTGATAAAGAGGAATTAAACTTATTTGCTAAAATAAGAAGCGAATTAACTGTCAATGATGATGCAAGCCTAATTCTGCGAGGATCACGAATTGTTCTTCCTAAATTTCTCCGCCATAGAGCAATAGAAATTGCTCACGAAGGACATCAAGGGATCGTCAAAACCAAACAACTTCTACGAGAGAAAATTTGGTTTCCTAACATCGATAAATCTGTCAAAGATGTGCTTGCAAATTGTTTACCCTGCCAAGCCATTGGTCCGGAAAATAGGCCTGCCCCATTACATATGAACGAATTGCCTCCGAAGCCCTGGCATACTGTACACATTGATCACTGTGGACCGTTTCCTACCGGAGAATATATTCTCGTGGTCATCGATGCTTACTCTAGATTCCCAGAAGTGGACATTGTGCATTCCACATCAGCCTCTGCGACAATTGCTAAACTCGATCGAATTTTCGCAACACATGGATTGCCCCACATAGTTAAAAGTGACAATGGCCCACCATTTAACAGTGCTGACATCAAGGATTACATGAAAGAAAATGGCATACATTTTCAACCCATAACACCGTTGTGGCCCCAAGTCAATTCCGAAGCTGAGAACTTTAAAGGGCCACTCCAGCCCAAAATTTTTATTTCAGAATACGATGTAATCAGACCTCCTGAACACGAATCTGTTATTATTTTTTTCATATCTCTATCCGTTTTGTAGTTATTAGCGTTTGTAAATTGGTCATTGAGTTGAATTGTTTTTCAACCGTGTTATCGGAGATCTTCGGATTGACGTCACAGGCATTTTCGGTCTCGGTAAGTTCGCGGCAAGTATCATCGGCTGTCCAAAGGGTCAACGAGAACGTAGCGAAATGGCAGACAGGGCCTAGCAGCGGCATGCTTTTTAGAAGGCCAGACTTTTATCTGGAATCGATATAAAGATAGAAGTATCGTCCATCAGTCTTGATATTCTAATCGAATATGGAAGTTTTTATCGCACGAATCTTTCTGACAGAGAAGTCAAATTGTCAAAGAAGGCCAGCGAGACAGAGACATGAGGATGTTGACAGACTTTCATTTGCTTTTAAAACAAATTGTATTGGCAGGCCAGTTCCCTGATTTTAAAAAGAAGATTCGCGCTTTTTCATCAGCTCTTCCTTTAGTGCAACAGCTAAAAAAACCATCCCGCAATTAATTCGGGAGGAAAGACCAAAACAAAACCAGTATACCGGGAATGAAAGCTGTATGAATTGATACCACATATTCATTAGAATAAAGAGCTTCATATCAACATAACATGACTATGACTTGTTAGAAATAAACCAGGACAATCGAGGGCATGGACAAGAAAGTATACAAACTTTCAAGACAAGACTAAAATCCTACCATTAGTCATGAGTGAAACAACTTTTTCAAAAATTATAAATGTGTTTTTATACTAAAAAAAAGGGATTTGAGATTATATTAATAATTCAACTTTTTCAATATACTTGTGTAAATATAATTTTTGTTTTTAACCTTTAAGCTATTACAGGGGCCTTTTCAGCTCCTTTAAGCTGTCAGAATTTCAACCTGCTATATTTATGAATAATAAACACATGTTTGTATTTAAATTCTTGGCTACATTGAATTATATATTTAAATATCTATACAATCAGGCCAGTGAACTAGCTAGCAATTTGTAATTTCTATTGCACATGAGAAATGTTCTTATAAAAGTATAATGAAACCTAATGTTGTTACTAGTTTGAAATAATAGTTCTGGATTTGCAAACTTTATATAGATATGACCAAATTATAAATAAAATTTTGATAATTTTAAAAATAGTCTCCTTTGTAAAAATGTTAATACAAAAACAGAATAATTTGTTGAGGTCTTTGTGGTAACTCTTGCAGGGAAGAGAGTGGCAAGCTATCACTCCCCTAAAGCCAGTAGCCAGATAACAGGATGCATGTAATCTCCAACCTTCATCTAGCATTATTTTGCAAGATCCTTTCTGCTGATCCATAAAAGAGTTTGTTACCTTTTTATGCCTAGAATAATAAGGTTGACAGGGATAAATACTAACATACCAGTCAAAATTTACTTTAGAGTCATTAAAACATAAAATGATCAAAGAAATCACTACCTTGGACACTCAGGGGCATTCAGAGTATAGATATTTAAAAGGATCAAAGAGAGATTTAGGGATGAAAGGGCAACCACTGTTACTATAGCAAATAGCATCTAAGGATATTAATTTGAAGTAACACAAAGATGAATTTAAATGATATAGGCCATGCTTACATGAATCAATGCTAGAATAGCAAAGGTAAATTTAACAAATATAAATAATTCTGCCTTTAAAACATTAGAATGAGGATATGACACATCTTTTTTCCAAAACCAAGGGTGTAAATTCCATGTTTTATCTTTGGGGTAGTAAATCTTTTGCCCTGGATATTGATCTGGAAAATTTTGAAATTGTGCATCAATTTTATGATGAAATAGGCAGAACTCCAAAATTGAAGGCAGAACATGGTAGAACATTATGAAAAAGGGTTCAGGAGACAAACCCTGGAAAATTTTACACATCTATACCTCGGGCAAAGGTGTAGTGCACAGATCATTGGCAGGGATGTAGTGCTAAGAGGCTCAGTCCCCCTTGTTGGTACAAAAAAGTAGCAAACTTCTACTTTTGGTACTATTTTATGTGACATTTTGCTTGAGAGCCCCTGTTGTACTTTCAATATAACCACATTTCTGACCATTTGGGGGGCAGTTCACAAGACTGGCTGTTAAAAAACTTATATTTAGAGGACAAAGTTTATCTCAAAGCCCGGCAAATTGCGTTGCTTAGGGGGTGCGTGTCACACCTTCCCCAAACCCCCTCCAAACCTCTACACCCTGCAGTTTGGCCAAACGTTCAACATAGTAAAATGATAATAAGGATGAATTGTGACTTACGGGGAAGTTTCCATCTTGTGAATAGGGTTCTTCTTCTAATGCGTTAAGACATCAATTATTATTCAGCTCCCTGGAAATCCCTGAGATGACACGACGATAAGAAATGCCTTCGGTCAGAAATCCATTCACATCTGAAAATTCGTGAAGCATTCCATATTAAAAAGCTTGCTGCGTTGCCAAGATGAGGGTATGCGTTCAGGTTGAAGCTTCCATCTTTGATTTGTCGATTTATTAGTCCATGTTGGCTGGAAGCTTCCGCTGAACATCAATCGCAATGAAGGAAAATAAATAAAACGACAACCGAGATTCCGACATGAATCGCCTTATCCGAGCCTCTACCGAGTCGTGCGAATTTCAGTGCGAACGTATAACAATAGCGCCGAATGTTGAAACAATAGCCCTTTCACACGTCACAAAGTGCTTTTTCCGAAAAAAATTTTGTCGTATTTTTACGGTGATTCTCAACTTTGAGCGTCTATATCTGGAAAACGAGTTAAGCTTTTCGAAAAAAAATTTCACGATAGCTTCTTTTTCTCGACTAGCTACCAATTTATGCAAAAATCTCAGAAAAAATTTTTGGGCTGGAGTGGCCCTTTAACAAACCAATGACTAAAGCCATCAAAGCAGCACAAGTGGAGGGGAGAAATTGGAAGAAAGAGCTTTACAGATTCGTTCTAAATTACCGTGCCACTCCACATACAACAACAAAATATCCTCCAGCACAGCTACTTTTTAATCGCAAAATTCGGATAAAGTTGCCAGACACAGTGGAAAAGAGTCTATCGCCCTTGGACGAAGAAATTCGCAAAAACGACACACAGGCAAAGGCAACGATGAAGCAAAATGCGGACCGGAAAAGAGGAGCTAAGGAACGTAAAATGAGTATTGGCAATCTGGTACTAATTCGACAAAGAAAAAGAAACAAGTTAACATCCAAATTCGATCCGAAGCCTTTTCGTATAGTACGAATAAAAGGAACGATGATCACAGCTTGTAGAAATGGACATTACGTAACAAGGAACATTTCATTTTTTAAGCCAATTCAGGAAAGAAAGGATTTGTAATTTTACAATGATGCGGATGATGAAGAATCATTAGAACTACCTGCGACCGGAGAAGGACAGCAAGAAGAAGCAGACACCCAGAATAACGCCAGATATCCACAAAGAATTAGAAGAAGAGTTCACAGATATGGACAAAACATTTACGATACGTAAGCAGAAAGTACTGTGAGTTTAACGCTTTCACTTATTTTATTCGATTTTCAGAAGTTTAAAAAAAAAATGTTTTGTTGTCGTGTAGACCTAGTTATCTTACTGTTAGAAAGTTTGGACTTGATAATTTGAACTTTAATTAACTTTATATTTTAGCCCCAGACACTAATCTGAAGAAAAGGGGAGATGTAATGTTTTGAATAAATTAACATATTATTATGACATAAGGGTACTTAGAGTTAGTTGTAGAGCACGAGGCGAGGGAGTAAACCGTGTTACATGTGAGCACATGATTAGGCCCTTTTTAACAACATAACAGATACCTGTCTTGCGGCACAGGTCTCCAGTTAGATTGACTTTTATTGCTGTACTTACATGCTTAGATATGCCAAGAATCGATTCGAGGTGGAACTTTCGCTTGTAATTGAAGTAGAAGTTCTTGCACTGGGCTTCTGACTTGGTGCTCACCATTCGGGCAATGGCAGGCCAGTTTCTGCCATGGCATTTAAGTCCTATTCGGGAAACAAGCCGAAGCATTATGCAACTATACAATGAAGAATAATAATTAAGAGACAAAAAATGCTAATTTGTTCTAGTTAATTATAAAACATAAAAAAGATAGCCTGCAAATAGATACAGTGTGTCTGTCACAAGACAACGTGGCCGTACATTTCCTGGGAGAAGAATCAATTTGAAATAAGGTAGAATTATATTGCAATTACTGCAACCAAATATTACGTACCATCTATTGCTTTGGAGATTTCCAATTCTGACCAGCGCGAAGGGTCTACATTTTCAGCTGTAGAGACACCAGAGAGGCAAACTATTAATATTAATCGATGGAAATCATTTCAAAACACAGCAGGGTGCACAATGATCCAAACATAAATAACTTTTGTACTTATTTACAAGCCTTCAACACAACAACGACAATCTCTAGTTCCTGACGCTGATATCATCTCAAGACGCAAAACGGGCCTAAAATACAACAACGGAACGGACTTAAAGAAACATAGAACACTGAATGTTGTTACCTGGCAACGGTTTGCGGGCAAGGTACCTTGCGATCAACTCATCAACCGATTGCTTGCATTGTGATTCCATGTGCGGTGTGACCAGTTTGCTCCCTGCGATTTCACTAGCCGTTGTGACATCGGGCGTCTCAAGAGATTTCTCCGTGTTGGATCTCAATTCCCTTCTCCCTTCAGGCTTTTCTACTCCATCTTGCTCTATCCTGACAGGCTTTTCCTTGTCTCGGCCCTGATCTTTCTGCGATTCTTGCTCTTTTGATCTTTCTTTCTCCCGTTCTCTTTCCTTTTGCCTAAAATATTTCCAAACAAATCACAAAGAGTTCAGAATTTGACAACAAATTGCCTTGAATAACGAGTTAATGCTTGAATAATCACGTTTCGTTTTTGTCTCGTCTCTGCTCACCTTGTTTTGATTGGTTGTGGCTGTTGTAGACTTTGGATTGTTGGCAGAGGCTGTGCATACGTCAACGTGCTCACGAGCTGCAAATAACGCCAGAAAATTTTGTAACCACTTACATGTATAAACAACTTTATTACATTTAAAAGACTATTCGAAACCACAAAGCAAATTAATCGAGACACTTGACATGGAAAAGATAATGGTTTGTCAGGATGTTTTCCTTCGAGTAAGGCTTTTCTGACAATGTTATCACCTGCAAAAGTTAGCAAATGTAGATATCATCTTTAGTATTTTCAAAGGCAAGGAAATTCATAACACAAGCGTAGGAACAAAATTGAAGTTTTGGCAATTTGGTAAATGGACTGGTTGTATATTCAATTCCTTACATGAAAAATATAAGCTTAGATGTTTTTAACCTAAACTTTGTCTTTTGTCAAATTATCTTCGAAGAAAAATTCGACTTCAATTAGGAAAACAAGCTTGTTAAATACCTGTCTTTGCAGCCTGCCAGTCTTTTTGCTTGGCTTCTTGGACGTTCCTTTGAAGTTCTCCTTCTTTTTGTTGCGATAATAGTAAAGGACACATTCGGAGACGGTCTAGAATGACAAATCATCCTGCTGTTATAGCTCTCGTAAGGACCGCAGCATAGCAACGATCCACCTCAAGAGCAGGCAATGAGAGTGCACAGAAGCTACAGCTGGAAAGCGCTTACCCAACGCTTGGGACTGACGCGTTTTCGGCTAATAAGAGGCAAGGCCGGATCATATCTCTGTCAAAGTCAGTTGATCTTCACTTTCAATCAGAGAATTTCGAGTTTCATTGGAAGGATGTTGGAAAACTGAGCAAAGATACCAAAACGATGAATTTCGATGCATTGACAGAAATAGTGGTGAAAATTGTTCTCAGATTATCTTACAAAAAGGGAATTTTCTCCTATGAAGCAAAAACGATTTCTCTAGCGAAATATGAATTTCCCTTAGGAAACAAGAACGACTGTTTTTTCACAAAAATCACGACATGAATCTTATGAAAAAAGACATGAATCATTCAAAATGGAGCATACCTTTCTCTTTAGGCCTTCTGCAATCTTTTCGAAATCTTTCGGGAATTGTGTAAATCTGAAAGATACAAAAGTTGTAGGTGACACAATTCCTGCACTTGTGAAAACGTCGAGAAAGTGAATTTTAAAATGAAAGTAAAGGCAGAGAAAAATTATAAAACTTTATATTGTTATATAAAAATGAGTGATCCATTTGCAGTTAAAAATAACAGCATTCAGACAAGGTAAACTCACCTTTCTTTGAAAATCAATTTTTCTTCCTCGCACCAAATATTCTTGAATTTCCTTTCCCGTTCAAAAGCTTCAATATCCCTTATCAATCCTATTGAGGAAAAAAACCAGTCAACAAATTGAATCATGTAAAAAAAGGGGCGTCGACGGGAAAGTTCTACACGAGGACAGTTAAACGCCTCAGTGTCTCTTTCAAGCTATACCCTTGGGCCAAGCCAGCCGGTTTTTGGCCGTCTTAACATAAAGCATCACTTTATAACTTTATAAAAGCCCCTTCCTTATAGAAACAGTATCGAAGCTTTAGCCTTCGCTAATCAAGCAAATACTTAGCATATCAAATTTACATTACCGTTTTTGTTTGAATATTGGATTCTCCGTTCGTATCTGTCGAGCAACTTGGGTGGTTCCACTGCGAGCTGGTGCATCTGCTTCTCTGTCGCCTGCAACACATTGTTTGGGTGTCACATATTGTTTGGGTGTCACATATTGTTTGGGTGTCACATATTGTTTGGGTCAAGGAAAACTTAGGCGTATCACATAAAGGAATGCAAATACACAGAGGACTGGCACCCGTGGAAGATAGCCCGGTGATGACGTCATACTATATGCAGTTACACATTAGTATATCTAAGATGTTTCTCGTGCCATTGTGCCTTGTATCGCAGCTAATTTGAATGCTTGCATATTCCTGCATTTCTGCTACAAGCCACTTTCATTGACAATTCATGTCTTGAAATAAAGCAGGGGCAGGTGTGCGCATGTCAAATGTTGTCATTAGATTATGTGCAATTAGACAATAACATCAGGTTTCAAGCAAAGAGGGAAATTTTGTCAAATAGCCAAAGACCAGAGGATGCTCAAACAACTGAAGACAGTGTAAAAAGTGTTTTAACACTAAAGGCAATTTAGAAAGGCCAATAACACCATCAGCAGATCAACCTTCTAAACAATAAGTGGCGGTTTTAAGGGGGGTCCAAGTGGGCCATGGCCCCAGGCACCGCACTTATGATAACCAAAAGGAGCCCCGCAGATGTTTTTGGACCCGGGCCCCGCAGTCCCAAGAACCGCTACTGTAAACAATGTTTGCTTGCCACAAAGATACGTATGATACAAAGAGCTAGGTGATTATGCGCGTTTTATCATGTTCCGCCAACCTACAAACAATTTCTTGGGAAGGTGCATATGTAGTAGCATTTAGGGGAAGAGGTGGGGAAATATGAAGACAAAACCATGTGGCGTTTAAGGAATATTTGACATACATCTAATGAATAGAGAGTTAAATGAGAAACACAAACCTCTAATTCGCTAAGATTATCAACAATTTCTTCAAATTCGGCTTCGCTACGAGCCAAAGGTCCCCAGTTGGTTCTTGCTCCGAACCTGCAACAAAAACCGAAATGCATGATGTAAATCCGAACGGCTTAAATCTTACATTGCACTGACACTTGCACGCACACAGCTTCAAAATACACAGCCATACGTGAAGAACCCACCTTGTCATTCGCTCTTGCTGTTCTCGCTGTCTTTTTATCTCTGGGAATTCTCGTTCATAAAACGCTCGCACTTTCGCCAACTTGGCTCTGGAACGAGAACGTTTTATTTCAATAAATGTTATTAGAAAGAAATACCATAAAAAGGCCATGTTGTGACTATATTAGGCAAGTTGTTGGTCCCTGAAATGTTTTGTTTCCCTTATAAAAAATTCCAAGATAAATCATGGGAAACAGAATATGTTCTATATGTATCATTTTCACCATATAAACTATACCTAAAAGAAACTTGTAAAAGCTGCAAACACTTAGAAACTTTTTGACAATTGCAGCAAATGTGCATGTAGCCAGTTCCCATAGTTACTATCAAAATGCCAATCAAATCGCACATACTTCCGTTTCATGTTATTTTCAATCCGTTCCAATTTCTTTAACCATGCCTCTTTCTGCTTGTTATACTGTTGTTTAAGGGCTTCATCCTAGGGAGAAAAAAGTCCAAATAAGCTAAAAATGGAAAATGCACGCCTTGCTAGACCCAAGGTTTTTTCACATGATGGAATAAAAATAAATCTACCTTTTTCACACGATACAGTTTTTCTTGTTGATTGCTTTGTGAATTCGACAAAAATCCCTGGATTAAGAACTGAAATCTTGAAGAGATCTGCCTTTCAAAACTTGTGAAAAAAGTTCTAACAGAAGACATGGCTACATGGCTATGTCACAAAAACTTAAACTAGCTACATGGCTCTATAGAGTCGTGTCAGATAAAGAAAACGGGGGGACTAGATGCATTTCAAACCATGAGGAAATCTAAAAACCAGCTCAAGAGAATTGTTTCTTTAGACCATTTTTGAAACACCTACTAAATCGGCTTTCAAAATAAGTGATACTTATTTACAATGGCGGCTTGCAGCGGTACTAGTGGTACCAGTCTAGTACCATTTTATTTAGAAAGCTTAAAATATTTTGTATGATTTTTTTCTATGATAATTGAATTAAGGCAAAAAGGGAAGAGCAGCTGAATACACAATACCCTCCTCATCTTAATTTTCATTGAAATACTGGTATTGAATAAGCCCTTTATGGACACCTGGGTACTAGACCTCCTTCATCCAGTACTGCAGAAGTCTGTCCCATTGTCATTTGTGACTCAACGTGACGTAAAACCGTTTGCCTTTCGACAATCCAACAATGAACAAATGTTCGCAGTACTAGATTCCTCTTTCTAGTGATAAAATGCTGCGAGGCGATTTTACCTCTGAAGCTATCACATGACATGAGAAAAACCAAGGTATTGTATGACAACTTTTGACCCACCATTTAAAGAAAATTTGGCCATATTAGCTATAAAAACAAACATATTCCAGGGACCACGCCCCTGCGCCACCCTTTCTCTAGCTGTTTGGCTCTGCTAGCAATTTTTTTTGCTTTACTAGCACCATCTTATTTTCGTGCCAGCCGCCACTGCTTAATTTTAAGATAATTTCAGCTGACAAGGGATTTCAAGTAACCCCACAAAAACAAATGCTTTCTCTTGATAATTGTTGGCCAGTGCCAACTTAAGCAATTGGCCTTTCCTTTTCAGTTTATACGCAATAACCTCAATCTTTCTCCGGCTGTGCTTATTATGAAATTTCAATGTAAAAAACAAAATGCCCAAATAAATTGTGATTCGGCTATAGGTCAACATTTACTTAGCAATTCAAAGTGTGCCAAAAATACGGTGACGACAATTTTAAGAGCCTTAGGCAAGGCCGTTTAGGTGTTTTGGAATCTGTCTACATAACAACAATGGATCCCGACCTGTGTAGTAAAAAAGAGTTTGTTATCTCTCTCGGATTCTTCAACTAGGTGAGAGATTAGCGGCTGTGATTGGTCAACAACAAAGAATCATTGAAACGCGCTATTCTTTCTCTCACGTTCTTTCGATCCACGAATGGATATAAATTTCTGCTTAGTCTCGGTCATAATCCGACGTTTATACTCTGACCAGTGTACTCAAGTATTGCATGTTTCCGCTATTCCGTGCTACTATTAAATTCAACATTTAAAAGTGAAAACAATACTAATTTGAAACCCACCTTTTTCGCCTGGGCAAGTTTTTTCATTTGCAGAAACTTCACGAGCTTCATTCTAAATCGCTTGTGCCTAAAACAGAAGCGATTTCTTGATTCTTAAGAATTGTATCATATTGTCCAGACTTTTCAGAATTGAATTTTTTCAGGAACGGATGAATTGGACTAAATGGTCGAAGAACACGTGGAAAAATGGACATCCTAGCATCAGCTTCATACAAAAGATTGATACAAATGAAAGTTTGCATATAGAGAGGTAAACTGTGATGTATGGTACAAACCTTCGTATATTGTCAAAGTAGAACGGCAAGTCAGAGGGTTGGTAATACATTGGCTGAAAAATAAATAACACCACCGTTTAAAAGATGTTTAGAGGTTACACAGGAATTGACTGTATTGATTGGTTGGGGCTGTGTATTGATTGAGGGGAGGGGGGGGGGGTCTATACAAAAATTTGAATTTCGCTGGTTTTTCAACCCTGATGATGGCCTGTTTCGCATTTCAAATTTGGATGACATTACTTGAAAAAGCACCATGAAACATATTGGCAATATCTCAGGCTGTTTTATTAAGTGAGTGTTTTATAATCAGTTTATTTGGTTTTATTCAAACAATTACCAAAGCAAATATTATGACTTCATAACGATACCACAATGTATTAGTAAATTCTGTTCATACATTTTCGCATCACTAAACAATTTCATGCTTTTTGCTGTTCTTCATCAACCTGCGCCGAATTTTCATGACGAATGTTAGCAATCATACCTTTGTTGGTATATCAGAAGTGCCACAGCTGATATTCGAGGGCCACAGTTGGACATCAGAGATTGTTGCCTTGATCTGAATAGAAACAAATCACATATCAGTGCCACGATTACAAGTTACAAAGATCAATTTCTATAATCAATCATTAGTAACTTCTTTATTTAAATGCCTTCAAAAACAACGAAGGGCAAATCTTTTATCATTTTTTTACATCATTTCAAGCTCAGTATGAAATTCTTTAGGAACTACATTCTTTGTATAGGCAGAAGGTCTTAGAGCATCCTGGAGCTAAATCGATATTTGAAAAAATATCAAATCCGGTAAAACTACAGACATCGTACCCCTCTCTCAAAACCAGATCAGGCTGGTACGCTAGGAGTCAACTTTGAAAGAGTGAAGCCCTGAAATCGTTTAAAGCAATAATGTCTGGAGGGGGAGCTATTGGAAACATGCAAAAATCGTCCATCGTACCCATATTTTCGACATGCATTCTAGATCAGTTTGCCGGACTTAAAAATCACTACATTACTCTGAATAATTAATATAAACATCCCCTTTACCTGATTTTCTTTGTACACTTTAGAAACAAGATCAAAGTTCCGTGGCCTGAACTTCTCGAAGAAGAATTGTAACAACTCTTCTTTTTCATCCAGGATTTTTTCTTCTTCAACCGGCGGAACTTGTTCTTCTTTTACTGTTTCTAAATCCTCCATTTTCTTTTTCAAGTCAACCATTTCCTTTTCCAGCTGTTGCTACAAAGAATCAGACAACTCGTCAATCCTATCTCTATGTCCGTTTAATTATGTCATAAATGAAATTAGGTAATTCCCACGTCATGTTTGGCTTTAAAGTCAAGCTATTTGGCAAGACCATTCACCTGCATTGTGTCTAAATTCTTGATATCCTCTTCGCATTCAACGATCTCTTTGTCCATGCTGTCAAGTTTTGATATTAATTCCTCTTCCGTTTCCGGGTTTTCGGTACTTGGGAGAGATTCCGTTTCTAGGAAAAAAGTCTTTCAGTGAAACACGCTGAACTCTCGAAAAGCAGTGTAGAGATTAAGGCAAATAGCAATTGCAAAACAGATTATAAGGCAATGATATACGTACGAATAATCCAAATTAATAGAGGTATCAATAAAATAAGGTCACTTCTTCCTTGGTTTTCATATTTGTCTATACCTTTTACATCCAATTCTATGCTTCTAAATATTTTAGCAGGATATCATTTGTAGTTACCAGTTACCAGTCTATATGAAAGCACTTCTAAATTAGTTAGTTAGTTAGTTAGTTAGTTAATTAGCTAGCTAGTTAGTTAGTTAGTTAGTTAGTTAGTGAGTTAGTTAATTAGCTAGTTAGGCAGTTAGGTAGTTAGTTAGTTACTTAGTTAGTTAGTTAGTTAGTGAGTTACTTAGTTAGTTAGTTAGTGAGTTAGTTAATTAGCTAGTTAGGCAGTTAGGTAGTTAGTTAGTTACTTAGTTAGTTAGTTAGTGAGTTACTTAGTTAGTTAGTTAGTAAGTTAGTTAGTTAGTTAGTTAGTGAGTTGGTTAGTTAGTTAGTGAGTTGGTTAGTTAGTTAGTTAGTGAGTTAGTTAATTAGCTAGTTAGGCAGTTAGGTAGTTAGTTACTTAGTTAGTTAGTTAGTTAGTTAGTTAGTGAGTTACTTAGTTAGTTAGTTAGTTAGTTAGTTAGTTAGTTAGTTAGTTAGTGAGTTAGTCAATTAGCTAGTTAGGCAGTTAGGTAGCTAGTTAGTTAGTGAGTTACTTAGTTAGTTAGTTAGTTAGTTAGTTAGTGAGTTAGTTAATTAGCTAGTTAGGCAGTTAGGTAGTTAGTTAGTTACTTAGTTAGTGAGTTAGTTCATTAGCTAGTTAGGCAGTTAGGTAGTTAGTTGGTTGGTTAGTTAGTTAGTTAGTTAGTTAGTTAGTTAGTTAGATAGTTAGTTAGTTGTAGACAGGTAGATAGATAGTTGGATAGAAAATTGGTTTGCTTTGCAAAATACAACATTAATTGGAGGCAAACCTTTACTGATTGTCTTCACCACACCAGACTGATCTTCGTTGGTTAAAGAAACGAATGTCAAATCCGCAGAAACACTCGCATTTCCCGCATCATGTCCTTCCTGAGAAAGTAAACACTCTGTATCGCCAGAAACTTGGCTTTCAAATGGTTTGCTTGTCGCCGTGGCATGTCCTTCATAAACCACCCCAGATATGACTTCGTTCTGCGACACTGCAAGACTGGTATCATCTTCCAAGGGAACTGGGGATACGTTTTCGAGCTTCGTTTCGATCATTAATCCTTCTTCTCTATGTACAACCGGTTCATCACACTGCGATGTTGCCAACGTTAGCACGTTGTCATTCTGCTGCTTATCGACCGAAGGCTCCTGCCGGTTCTGTTCAATTTGTTTGGCTTTCGGGTCTGCCTCCTCAAAATATTTTTTCCTTTCGGCACTATATCCTCTTCTGTTGCCATCATGTGCTTCATTTAGGCCCGTTTTCAACGGACTCCTGCTATCAAAAAATCCAGGTTTTCCCTCAATTTCGGGGCGTCTATCTTCATCCCTGTCTATCCTAGTCGGTGTTAGGCCAATGTCAATAGTCTGACCTTCACCGGGTTTGCTATGCACCGACTGAACTGCAGCGTGCGGTAGAATCCTTTTGTGAGAATAATGCTCCCGTGCAGCGTATCCTCTATCGGGCAACTCAGTGGCAAGCTCGCTTTGTTCGTTGTCTGTGTATTTTCGCAATTGTTTATGATGCGACATGCCAAGCCTCTGGTAATCCCGTTCCATGACTGGCTTTGGGGTGGGTCGGTTGGGGTAGAAGGCTCTACCACGATTTGAATACGCTGACCTGCTATCATCAGCTCGATAATTAAACAAACGATGTTCGCTAACAACATACTGGGCGTGCTCAGGAAAAGGCCCACTTTTGACTCGAAAATCGTGACTTCTTGAAGGATAAGCATGCGAACGCCAAGAGTAGCTCTCTTCACCTCTGCTGAGTCCAGGTGGCTCATTAGGGTAGCTCACATGATGCCTCATTGGCATTCCAGAGGTATTAAGGCTGTGTGTCCCGGGATACATTGCCTCTTCTGATGCCCAAAAGTTCTTCGGGATCCGATGAGAAATGTGGTAGTCACCTGTGGGTCTCCTGCTGCCACCATAACTTCTTCCGAAGTCAGGATCACTACAACAATGAAGATTGAGGATATCAGCTGAGATTTAACTATGAAAATCCTTCTTTGTGCAAGGTTATACAATTTTAGCGTGCTCGAGAGAAAGTAATCTTTTCAACCCCTGCTTTCAAAATGGCTCTGTAGATCAAAGAGTGCAAATTCCTCGCAAGTTTTAGACAGGTAAAAAACACTTACCCTGGCATCTTTGAATCTTTATCAGAAGCGACGCCGAAATCTGTGTACAATCCATAATCAGAATCCTGTAATTAAAAACAAACAAAATAAAATCTGCTTCTACCCAAACTTACAAGACGGCGATTTGCCATTTTATAAACTAACACGAGAAGACTTCTCAAGTCATAAATTCCACAAAATTATTAACGAAGTTAGCCTTAAATGATAATTAAACGACTTGTGTTCAGACATATCGGTTGCAGAACTTCCCATTGCATTTAAATATGACACATTAGATAAAATAATCGATGTATCAGGGAGAATTTTAGCCAAAACAAACCTTTGGAATAGACTGGGGCTTTTCGTTGATGTTTTCATAACGCTCTTTGTGTCTTTCACTGTACCTGGATCTCTTAGGGGCAGAGCCAAACTCGCTGGTAAAAGCAAAGAAAACATGACATAAAATCATTGTCGCCATCAATAAATATTACTTTAACAACTGCTTATTTTGAAAGAATGTTATCTCTAGAAATGTTCACCTTTAAAGAGAATAAAAACATTGCAAAATTTTAAAACTTAATTACCTCTGGCAAAAACATTATAGCTGAAGCATAATTATTCCAATCGACAACTACTCTAAAGTTCCTAATTGTAGGGGGGTCTAATAAGGAGAGGGGGTTGCCATTTTTTAAAAACCCTAAAATGGGGGTCATAATAGATTGAAATGCTTAGATTTTCCGAAATTTTGTTTAAATTGGGACGAAATTATGTTTCTTATGCGTGAAATAAATAATTAGGGGGGGGGGTTAAGAAATGGAAATGGTTATGCAAGATTTTCTGAAAGCCCCCCCCCCCCCTTCAATTAGGAACTTGAGAGTACGCCAACTTCAGCAGCCTCTATGTATCAAACTTAGCTTTGAATGGCTGAGGGATTCAGTTTTAGAAATAAAGTATCACTTGCATCTCGAAAAAAGATAATCATTAAATGAGCAGGCCCTTCAAACATGTCTTGGTACTCTTGTACAGGCCTATCGCTTCTTTTCAAGACCATTATGGCAACGGGGTTATTCATAATTGCTACTGAAACTTACCTTATTCTATATATAACAACATATATAAGGTACTTTACTCTTACGTAATATGACGGTATATAATATGACGTAGCACAAATCTAGAGCCTGAAAAAGCAAGTACCTATTGGGTTCGCCTACATGATATTCACCAGCCCCATACCAAGAGCTTATGCCATATTGCTTTTGGTGCCCTTCTCTTCTTTCCCTGCCATGACAGAGCATCGAAAGGATTATTAAAGAAACAAAAGGTCACACAAAATTATGAAGGCCTGAAAATCAACACAGTAAAATGTGTCTCCTTCGACTTCCAGATACTTCTTATATTCAAAGGCTGCTACGTTCATATTCATGTATACACAAAAACAGTTTAGCAAGGATGCGAAAACACCCAGCTACATATACTATAAGAAATGACTATAAGAAGTCTTTGACACCAAAGCCATGCAGGAAATTCTAGGACAAAGCCATCTGCATGAACATTCTGCAGAAAAACACTAAGTTCTTGAGAAAAATTTTGCAGTAAAAATCTCACAAGATTCACGCTTGTCCTGTGATGTGTCACATTGCTTACATTAAATAAAACTCTGGCATGTGAATATAATTTGTGCAATCTCTAAAAATGCTGAAAAAGGCCATGGAGGTAGGTAGGGGGGGGGGTGTATTTTAGCAAAATGGATCAAGTTTGTCGGAACTTTATTGGAACTTTGACATATTTCTGCTGTTAAGGTGCTTGACCTTTGAAGATTATTTTATGATGATGGTGATATTGTTACCAAACATATTAATACCTAAATTATTTTTATGAACGTGTGGCATTCTCTTCAGAATTCGAAATCTTCTTACATCTGAATCACTGATATGTATCTACAATGCTTTATTCATGTCATTTCTACAATATGGCATCACTGTCTGGGGACAAACATATGACTCATACCTGGAGCCAATATTCAAGCTGCAAAAAAAGGCTGTCAGAGCTATTTCTCATCAACCCTTTCGTTCTCCCTCTCTTCCCATTTTTAAAAAGCTTAAACTTCTCAGACTTCAAGACATTTTTCAGCTAAGACTATTAACATTTGTGTATGAATCTATAAACAAGAAAAACCCCTCTTGCTTTCATGATTACTTCTCTTTCAATGCAAATATTCACCAACACTCTACTAGGCAATCTAATCGCGGTAATTTGTTTTTGACTCAAAGGAACAGTTTTCGGTATGGCCTGAAGTCTATTCGATATATGGGGGCAAAAATGTGGAATGACCTACCAGTAGAAATCAGAAATTCTCCTTCAAAATATTCTTTTAAAAACAATCTTAAAATATTTTTACAAAACAACATAGTAGTCAATGATGGTTTTTAAACTTAGTCTATAAATAGATGATATTTTTCTGTGGATGACTGATAGCAACTTACAGATAATTCTTTTTACTTTTAGAACTAAAAAATTAAGCAGAACGCATCTAATTTACTAGGGGGTGCTTTCTCCTCGATTAGTTTATAAACTACTGAGAAAGTTTCCTCCTTTAAATAATTCCCTGTTTACAATACTAGCTTGTTTCTCCTCTACTCTATATTTGTTATGTTATGTTTATATTATTTAACTTCCCTTTACATTGTTTATACTTTTAAGCTTGGATTATTTCTAATTTGCAACAAGTGTATGTATCCAGTAGAATTCAAAATAAAACTGAACTAAACTGAACTGAACTTTATGGCACCTTGATGCTATGCTTGTCAGGCAGTGTCCTGGTCATACTTTTCACAAACTTCAAAATGATTCTGTAAAGTGTTTTATTAATCTTTTTTAATGTCTTCAGAATTAGCTAGCAATTCTTAAAAATAAAATATGGAAGACACACTTTCGTCCTTTTTCCTTTCTGTGGCACTTTAAAAATGACTAAATCTACCCTGAAATCATATCTGCTTACTGGAATGATTCAAACTGTGGATATAAAGTCCTATCCTTGCAATATTGCACAATTTTGATAAACCAATAAAAGAAAACCACATACCTGTGACCATGAAAACTGGATCCTTGCCGAGACATGATTACACAAGTCAGTTGAAAAAATAAGGCATCCTTCTTGAATATTGTCCCCAGATGTGATTGAGTTAGCTGCTATCCATTTTTGGAGTGCAATTCAAAAACTTCTACCTGCAATGCAAAGCATTATGGTTTGAGAACATAAAATATATAGCAAGAGATAAACATTGAAAAAGAATGCATGAAGCTGGATGCATTTTGTCCAATATCCAGTGCCATAAAGTCCAACAAGGATTTCAACAAAAAATGAGCACTGGTACAGATAAACTAACACCAGTCAAAATGACATAAAAAAAGGAAATTATATTTTAATCTTGAGCATTCTTTCAAATATTATGAAAACCAAGCAGAAAAAAATATAGAGATGAACAATAAATTTTAACTTCTTGAGCATCAAATTTTGAAAAAAAAACTGTGAGCCACAAGATATTTTTGCTATTCAAAGGCCTCTATTAAAAAGAGGTGGTGTCCTCCTCGAGCAAAACACGCCCAACAGAAGGCAACAGCAAACCACTGTTGTATAATGCCAAGAATATCATGGAAATACACAAGCAACAATATAAACAACAGCATAAAAGGGATCTTCATTATGATGAAGATGTCTCGCTTGGTAGGAAGGGTTCTGGATGGCAGGGGATCTCGGACCGTAATCAAGCTACTGCCTGCAATTTGAAACAAAATATCCAAATAGCAAGTTGGAATGTAAGGTCACTCTTTCAAGCTGGAAAGCTAGCCAATGAGTCCAACGAAATGCAAAGATTAAAGATTAATATTATGGGAATAAGTGATGAAGGCAGGAATCTGTGTAACCAACAAAATAAAACTTATTCATTCTTGGGGTGAAAAATATGAGAGAGGTGTTGGCATCCTTTTTTATGAAACCATGGCTAAAAGCATATTAGGATATTGGCCTATATTGGACAGAATCATCCTTGTAAGAATAAAAGGTCAGCCATTTGACATCTCAACAATTCAAGTGTATGCACCAATGTCAATGAATGCAGATAGAGAGATAAAACGATTTTATGATGAACTAGATAAAGCCAAAAGCAATTGCAAATCAAAAGACGCCATTATTATGACAGGAGATCTAAATGCATAGGTGGGAAAAGGTAAACAAGATGACATCGTAGGAATGCACAGTTTTGGTGCTACAAATGAAAGGGGAGATAAATTAGTTGAATTGTGTAAAATAAATAAGCAAATTATAATGAATATGTGGTTCGAAAATAATGACTGTGGACATGAAAAAGTTCAGGAGGGGATATCAAAAACCAGATTGACTAGATCACTATAAATAGCAGGTTTAGAAATTCAGTAAGTCAGTGCTGTACCTACACGGGAGCAGACTGATATAGTGATCACAACCCAGTTGTTTGCACTATGAATGTTAAACCGAGAAAACTGAAGAAGCTAAATATTAAAAAAATGTTAGACTATGAACGAAGAACAAACAAAGAAATGAAACAGAAATATTCAGTTGAAATAAAGAACAGATTCCAGGTCTTGGATATAGAAAACACGAATACCATATATGAAAACCTCAAGACAGCAATTGCAAAATACATAATTCCCCCAAAAAAGATACAGAAACAGTAAGTAGATGACAGATGAAAACTTAAAACTTATGGATGAAAGAAGGAGGGCAAAAATATATAATTGATCCGCTTGAATATGAAAAGGAAACGTAAACAAGTCAGCAACATGTGCAGGAAAGCTAAGGAAGACTGGTTAAACAAAAAGTGTGAAACAATTGAATGAATACCACCAAATGAAATAGTTGGTAAAAATAATGTATGTACATCTGTGGATGTTTGAAAGCAAAGGACAGAACCATGATTCTAGAGAAAGAGGAAATAATGAAAAGATGAGAAGAATATATCAAAGAGCTGTTTGAAGGTAACAGAGGAAATTCGCCAGAAATTAAGAAAAACATGAAAGGATTGAAAATCCTACAATCGGAAATGAGATCAGCATTAAGTAGAATGAAAAAAATAAAGCAGCAGTGCCAGACAGACGGAACAAATTTTAGCCATGAAAGAGTTTGGCATCGAAAAACTAAATGATGCATTAAACGAGGTTTACGAGAGCGGTTCAATTCCAACAAACTTGAGTAGATAAATTTTATAACCTTACAAAAGAAACCAGGTGCAGTTGGTTGCAAACTTCATCGAACAATAAGTGTTGTGAGTCATATCACAAAAGTATTTTACGAATCATTAAGATAAGAGGTAGAAGCAAGATGGAACCAGAAATCTTGTAAGAACAATGTGGATTCGAAAAGGATAGAGGCACAAGAAATGCAATATCATTGATGAGAACACTTGAAGAATGATCAATTCAAGTGCAGCAAGGGCTATACCTATGCTTTATAGACTACTCTAAGGCTTTTGACAAGGTACAACATGAGAAACTGTTTGACACGCTAACATCATTAGATCTAGATGGAAAAGACCTCAGGATCGTAAAGAACTTGTACTGGGAACAAACAGAGTAGAAGACCAGCCAAGTCAATACATAAGCATAGAAAGAGGAGTTTAACAGGGCTGGGTATTTTCCCCAGGTATCGCAAAAGATGCATTTATGAAAATGAAGAACATCCTGATTAACACAAAAATTGATATCAAAGTAAGAATAAGAATTTCAAAATGTTACATCATTCCAATTCTCATTCTACTGTGCTGGTCAGTATCTTCTATGACGAGGAAACAAATCGAAGCTTCAAAAATGTGATTTCTCAGATGAATGTTGAGAATATCTTCGACAAGACATGTTAGCAATAAGGAAATACTCTAGATAGCAAAAATACAAAGATCTTTGTGGAAAGACATCAGAGAAAGACAAAGAAAATTTATAGGCCATGTGATATGGAAAGAAGAGTTGGAAAAAATTGCAATGACAGGAAAGATTCAAAGCAAGAAAGCGAGAGGAAGGCAGAGGCAAATGATGTTACCATCCATCAGAGCTAAAAAAGTATTGGAACCTGGGAACTAGATTCCCAGAAAATTTTTGGCTTGGCAGAAAATTTTCAGCAAAACTTGATAAAAAACAGCTGTTTTTTGCATTAGCAAAAAATATTTTCTTGACTTTTTCAAAACAGATAAAAAGTTTAGAAAAATGAAAAGTTTATACAAAGGTCTATGCATATATTTTTTAAACCTTTATAAAATCTATTATTCCTTTGTCAAATATATATAAAAAAATTTGTAAAACTTGGAAGCAGCCCTCAACTTTCTTGTCCAGGACTTTTTTAAAAGATAAAGCTGCAACCTGAAGTAGGAAAACACCATCTATGTTGAAGTTTTCTGCCAGTCAGTAAACATATTCCCATTTGGTTCACAAATCAGCTTTACTTTTTTGCATAGTCAATCTTCGCCAGAGACAAAGAAGATGCAATGAACAACCAAATTATATAGATATATATTGGAAATTATATATTATATTATTATATTATAATAATATAATAATATTATATTGGAAATTCTCTTGAGACCCATTAAATTAGAAGCCCTTGCATAACAATTTGTGCATACTATTGGTAGAGCTATAGTACACAATACTTCACCTAACAGAAAAATTGTTGTCCTGTTTCCCAGGTTCCCAGAAAGAAAAATATTTTTGCAGCTCCATGGCAGAAGATTATATGATGACAACAAATGACATGCTACATGCTGCAAAAGATGGCAGAAAGTGGAAGGCCATGACCACCTATGTCCATGAATGGCACGAAGCATGAACTTAAATTAAATTAAATTGAATCACAGATCTATTTTTTATATTACTTTTTATAAATGTCAGACAGTGAACAAATAGAGACAAATGCATTGATGATATATGGCACTAAAGAGAATAAAGTAGAGAATTGCATCCAAATATTAGTCATATGATATTGCTTTATTTTTTATGATCTTTGCTGGAATTTTGGCAAATTGCATGCTTATTTATCTTTTTCCTGCAATCCATTATGTTGTATCAATTTTTATGGAACTTTCGCAATTTTGAGCACCTCATCTTAAATTCTTTGTTAGGCTGATTAAAAATTATGAAGTACTATTTTTGCATTGGTAAAGATTTGCGAGTTTGTGAGCAAAATATATATATAAAATACTGCATTTTGGGAAACTGGCTTGAAATGAAATAGTATCTATAACTCATGCTTTTATAAGTAGTTTTTAACACTTTTATGAGGAAATCGTTTTAACTAGCAATCTTTGAAACCATGTTGACACAAAATTGAAAAGATCAGCTAAATTCTCGAAGAATCGAAGCTTGCATTATACAACAATGCAAAACAATGGCGGCTGCGGACAGAGGAAAACCTTCAGCTATTTATATTTTAACCAGAACGCTAGAAAAATGTAAACTTAGTTAAGAATCAATATCTAGCAAGGTGGCAAGACTATAATCATTCACAAAACTGCATCTTCTCACTTAATTTTTTGTGACGTGACGAAAGAAAGTAACGACGAAACAGTTTGAAACTGCTCAGGCCTAACCCCATCTTACCGAGAGAAATGGTCTTTACACTTGGCTTTCCGTCAAATGACATATTGAAACTTTATGAAGGTTTGTAAAGCAATGCTCAATTTTTCACGTAACACAATTAAATATCTACAATAAGACTTACTTCAATCAATGATCGGTATTAAACTGGACGCAGCCACATCAATTGCCATCATTCGTAACGCCATATTTGCTTTCGAAACTTCAGCGCAAAGGCCTCTGGGATCGCACCAGCTGCTGCGCACAACATAGGTAAATCAGTGTCCCTGATCAAACATAAATAACTTAAAACAGTTTGGTAAACATTGCCCAATTTTTTATGCAAAAATGTTAGCTTATCATCTGCAAAACCTGGTTATTCATTATTAGTTTGTAAACAAATATTATACACCACTCCACTCGTTTCCAGCGAGAATTACCAGGGTCGGGACAGCCGCAGCTGTCAATGTGTTGATGTGGCCCCGGATAAGTTGTTCAAGCCATGCCCTTAAGTGTACCAGTTAAACCCTTTTTAGATAAAGTCAAAAATTAGTTCCTTTTTATAGGCTTTTATGGTTTTTAAAAAAACAAAGGGCGATCAACCAATTGACTGAAGAGAAACTATATGAAGTATGCGTTAGGCGTTTTGAATATTCACTTTCAGCTGTGTCATCAGACACTGAAACTGGAACATCGTTTGATGCGTTCTTTCACACAATGCAACAGACAGAGACTTGGAGGGTTGAAGCGATTCCACCGCCATTAAAAGTATTCAGGTATAGCTTGAAAGGGAAATTATTTTCAAAATAAATTAGTGAAAGCTGGGTAATTTTTGTAACGCTCAACGTTCCTATGTTTTTATACTTTTGTGGCTCAGTTGCTCTTAATTTTGTTTATATCTCAACATTGATTTTGCTACAAAAAATACTATCAATTGTATCTAAGATCATTAACTAACAGTTTTGCATGAGATTTTTAGTAGCACCGTAGATTACCTTGTAAAAGCTTTTCTCTTTCGTAAACACGAGATGTCATTCTTGTTCTTGAAGACACGTTGTATTTTGTTTTCAATTTTTTTTCATGTGAGGATGGGCGTGTTCTTCCATCAATTTTGACAGGAGTTCTTATAAAAAGTTTGTAGTCCGTTATTTAACAGGGGCCCATACAAACGACAGAGCAGTCCAAACTGCTAGTCAAGGTGATGTTGGGAAGTTTTGTTTTATGTTAATAGTTCACAATAGCTCAGCAAATTTAGAAAATTGTGAAAAACAGAAAAAAAATATAAACAAGGAATCCTTCGAAAAACAGTTAGTTTCTTGCCTCTTCACTAAAAATATTCACCCAAAAACACGCGAGGCCATGTTGTTCAGCTTCCTTGATTATAATCAAATATTTATCAGTTTTGTCCTTTAGAGAAGGGTACCTAGGCCCTATTCGCACTGCATCTAGAAACCTGACAATGCTAATCCCTTATTGTTCTATCTTCAAAGGCGGCAAGGGTTGGTCAAGAAGTAGTTTAATTGGTAGAGTGCGAACAGCAAAATCTGAAATCTGACAAATTGTAACGTTTCGACTAATTGGTCAAAGGTTCCGTCATAGAGCTCTGGAGCATCACAATCTCGTGAAAATCTATGATATGATAACCACCAATAAAAAAGTCCAGGGTGCTATTTGAAATCATGTCACAATTTAAAAAGGTACAATTTCTTAATGGCAACCTGATAACGTGTTAGATAACAATACAACATCTCAGAAAACTGCCTAATGCGAACAGAAGTCTGACAAACTTTGTCAATCTTGAAAAAGTTTTCTTAATTGGCGTGAGAATATCGGGTTTGACAAACATTATCATATTTGCAGTGCGAATAGGGCCTACAATAATAATATATTCTAAACAGTAAGCTGTGATTGACGTCAAAGAAACTTTTTCCCCAACACTGTGGTTATACGCTATTGGGAAAGATAGTTGACGTCATTAGGGGCCGGAACAGGTGGGTCTTCAAATGCTAAGCTTTTCGACTCCAGTCACTGTAGTTGGTTTCCGAGTCGGTTCCAAACCGCCGCCATCCGGGTTGTATACAAACCGCAATGGCTTTCGGGCCGCATCAGGAAGTGACAAGAAATGACTATATACCGTTCGATTACAATGCAATATATATTTTTTCAATGCATGAATTGAAATTAAATAACTTTTGATCACAGCCAGACGATAACATGATATAACATATCAAATTGTAATTAAGGGTTACCTACGCGAGACTGGGGCAAACAACATTTGCGCATGCGCAAATTCAAGGCTACATCTAAAAGCAATTAAATATTCTTAATTCCAGATTAATTATAATAAAATATTTTCACATGAAGCACACGACATTTATATGCCAAAATGAAATATAATACAACTACGGGATAATAAATAGTTTCCTCGATCAAAAAAGAAAAACAATTAGAATGCTTCAATGGTAAGCAGTCGGATTTAAGAGGAGTTTTGATGAAATTCAATTTCTTTAGGCGTTTAATGGTTGCTAACTGGAAACAAATGCGTGGCAATGCCATGGTGAGATGCGCAATTGGAAAAAAGCTTGGATAAATAGTCTGATATCTTCTAAAAGAAAACATCAGTGGTCCTTCACCGCGATTTTCCTAAAGGATTATTTTAAAGTAAAACTGAACGCACATAGCCTCCAGTCTTCCAAGCAGATTTCAATAGATTCTAAGATCTTTTGAAATGGGCAAGAGCTTTGCGACCACAGTCGGAAGGAACACCCTTTGAAATGAACGCCGCAAAACTACATTGCTGCAAAACTACAGGGCGAAGTTTTGAAAACATTTGATTCCGGTGTAAAATATTCTATTTGTGAATGTTGTTTCAAGGGAATTATATCTTTGAAAACTCTTCGAAGAAGCACAATTGAAGCTCAAATTTTGCAATGAACATTTCATGCAAAAACTTTTCAGCAACCTGTAGTCACTGCAAACGAGGCTAATCTGCCAACAAGGCTACCAGGCCATCGTCACATCTTCTATTATCCTTTTTGGAAATGGAAAAATTAAATTTCATATCTTTTTCAAATTTTTACATTTAATGTTTTAAAACGAAGCAAAGACCCGATTTTTAACCAAAACAAATGAAGAAAATTAATTTTACAGTGCACTGGCTTGTTAACGCTACTTAAACGAGCTTGTTTCTGGGTCTTCCCCTATCCGGCTGTACCCTTTCTCAACCTCACGAAGTTCCTTCAGCCTTCTGAACAGCACCACTCCAGCAACAACGCAAACAATAAAACCAATTGTGATGATAACAATGGCCGCTATTGCATTATCGGACAGACTTCTCTTTCCACCAACCTTACTTCGCAAGCCAGTCAGGGAATCGGTTTCGAGGCTGCTTTTATCCAATGACCGTTGCTCAGCAACGTCCACTTCGTCTTCTTTAATTGCAAATTTTTCTGTTTTAGGCTTCGGGTGTACGAACTGGCCTGCGATGGTATCCCCCGTCACAATAAAATCCAGAACTACAGGCATCTCCTTAATTGTAATGTCAACTGTCAAGCTTTTACCATCCCCTGTGCATGTTATTTTGTAAGTTCCAGGAAGTAAGAGGCGGAAGTAGTCACCATACTGCGTAGATTTAATAACGTGTTTATGTCCACTGACCTGAATAGCAGCGTTGGGGATAACTGTTCCGTTGGCGAATCTGAAAGGAAAGAATACCGTTAAATTTACCGAATTGCTGATTGATGTATTATTTTGTGACATTATTGGCTATCTTACAAACAATAGCCAATAGGATAAATTTGCTGGATCACCAAGAATCAGCAAATCCAGCAATCCAGTACACCCGGTGTCACAAATCAAGAGTTCAATGCCAAAACTTTGCAACGATCGAAAAGTCCCAATACTCAAAAACACCATCAATAAAATCTATCAATCAATCACAACTAGGAAGCTGCGTGAACGACCGCTAGGCTGATGCACATCAGTGTAGCAGGTACGGAAACATCCGGCTGTCAAAAATATGGATTTAACTTTCCCGTTTACCAGTGAATAAAAAACTGCGTACTCACTTGACCATTCCTTTGACACCCATATGAACCATTGACAAGAATTTGAAAAGCGCTCTTCTGTGGTCTTCCCAAAGATGTGGCAGTTTGCCCGAGGAGGGGAACTTGCAACAGGCCATTTCGACAGTAATTTCGAAGCAATTCGAATGGGCATAGTTGAAGTCCTGCATTCCACCGGCCACACTGTACCACTGGGCACCATTTGTTATTCCTGTAGAATCAAAATCAAGCTAACGTTATGACGTCATCATTTAGAAACATCCTCTATCAAAAGAAAAGGGTCATTAACTATGTCATGACATCCCATCATGCAATGTCTTTTTTTGTTTACCAAACTAACACATGGTGCAATTAATTGCTTACCGTTACATTACAACTGTTAACCTGGACATGGCTTGGAACTCATTTATTAATTAGTATTCAACTAATTACTTAATTACAAATAGTTATGACAGCATTTCTTGGAGACCACTAGCCATAAAACACAGTACTTTGTATAAGGGCCCAATTAGCATAGCCGCCAAAGCCTATCTATTTGTATTTATAGAAAATTAGTCAGGAAACATCTCAAGTGTTTCCTACATGGTCGGTTCATTTTCCTTTGCATAAAACGTACATAATGCTGGCTTGGGAATGAAATACAAAAAGTGAAGCGTTAATGCCATGGTAACTGCATCCCGTACTTGCTATAGGGTTTAACCAACCCTATAGCAAGTAACATCAACAGGAAAGCGAAATGAACCTCCTAAAAACATATGTCTGGTCTGTTTTTACTTGGACTATTGGGAAAGAATGATGGACAAGATTCGGGCATTCGAGATGTGGTGTTATAGAAGATTGTTGAAGATCAGGTGGACAGATAGGGTTTCCAACGAAGAAGTGCTATGGAAAATGAATGTAACCCGTATGCTTCTTACCATCATAGTAAAGAGAAAAGCTGCACTCTTTGGTCATGTGGCAAGAGGATCAAGTGGAGCAGTTTTTTGTAACATCGTGGAGGGGTACATTGAAGAAAAAAGATCTAGCGGTAGGCAAAGAAGGACTTGGATGGACGATATTAAAGAGTGGGTTAACATCCAGAACTATGGTATCCTGAAAAGTAGGTGTAGTGACAGGGTTTGTTGGAGGACCATGGTTAGCAATCTACGGATCACGTAGAAGCTACCTGGAATGAATGAATGAATAGCAAGTACGGGAAATATATTCCAAAATTTTGAAAGGCAACTGTATTTGAACAGATTCAAAATAAGTTGACACAGCAAGGTACACATTTACTCTTATCGATTCAATATTTTGAAAGATGGTTCAACATCCTAATCCCTGTTGTAGAATTCCTGCTATAATTCCTTTTTAATTAAAACTAAAAAACCTTCATGGTTAGTCATGATTTTATGTCCATAGCCTGGAGATTGACAAAGACTTAGGGCTACTTGACACCAGGCCATATTGGATTATAGTAAGATTGCATTTTCAGTGAAACTGCATGCTACAGCGGCGGACCAAAAGCTTTTATCAAAGATGATTATCGGCATGACATTAGGCTTAAATTGACAGGAAAAACGCCACGCCCAACGCCTAAATCACAAATAAGCCCTTAAAGAGAAAGAAACCAACCTCCCACAAATGTTTCATCGAGAGAGTCACGACACATCGGTCTCCCCTTCCACATGGTCGCGTGGTTCGTGGAGTAGGCCAAGGCCAAATGCCTGAATATATCATCATCGGGACTTCGACTGTACTTGTCTTTCAGTTCTACATTGTCGTCATAGGGATAGTTGGCAACGAGCGAACCGCCGTGTAGATTTGCAGATAACACGAATGGCACGCTTCTAAGCCAGTCCATCACTGCTTGCGTTTCTTTCTCGGCTCGGTATCCGGGTTTATTGTGGAATTGGTCCGGGAAGTTGCTACAAAAATACAGAGACAGTGTTCAGCGACAAAATATAGAAATATAGAGTATTTTAATGAAAAGAACAGGAGGAACTTTGATTGCAGCTAGCTCTATAGAAAAAAGATTTGCATCACTTAGAAAACAAAACATGTGGTTTTCTCTTCGCATTCACTCATGCAAAATCCAGCAAACATTCTGAATCCTGTGACACAGATTACCTTATTGGATGAGTTCTCATTTATAACTTAATAAAAAAAGGCTACTAACAAACGGTGCCCAAAAGCTATAAACATATTCAGATTCTCGATTATCATAACAATCCAGTTCCAAGAACAAGAAAAACAAAAAATCGCCTGAAGGCCTTAAAACATCACTTTTCAAAGAGCCTTTGTTTGTCTTGAGAAGTCATGATCAAGCAAGACCATACCAAAATTGGTGGTTGCACAGGCAATGGTTCGTGAGAGAAATATGTATTTTCTGGAACTATGCTCACAAAGCTTGATTCATTTATTTGTGGGAAGGATGAACACTTTTTTGAATTCTTGAATAATTCACAAAAAAGGATTTTAGGAAATTTTCCCGATTTTCTGATTAGGACACATCTGATTTGCATTATGTGAAGTTGTAAAACACCCAAGAAAACAACATTTATATCATTGGGTAATTGTCATTTTCATGTCTCAGTTCAAGAATGTCTCATTCAAAAAATGTTGTCATTCAGTTGTTAAAGTAAACTTAACACTTGACCCTGTGCTGTGACTAGCTTGAATAAAACCAAATAAATGTGTACCAGGGGTATCTTAATAAGACAATCTTTTTTGTCATTGGTAAGAAATGGTTCCTATACATACATCTAACCTAACCTATCAAAGGGCTAGGAATCATAGTAATTGAGATGCGTTTGCCTATCCTCCTCCTAGGCAGCAGCAGGTAAGTAAATAGGCGACTCCAAGACCATAATTAGGTGACTTCAAGTACATAATTAGATGACCTTATAATGTGATATGAACAAAGAACCAAAGCCTTTTGTGCTTTGTGTTGTGATGTCACAAAGAAGAAAGGTATGGCCTCAAGACAAACCACAAGATACAACAAGAAAGGCTTAATCTAGGTGTGTTAGAATTCAGCAGACCATCTTGAAAAACAGGAACAATTCATGGATTACAACCTCCTGCTAATAACAACATCAACAATAGTTTTAAAGTCCAAACCAGACTTCTTAAATTTATCATGATTTTTCTCATAATGTGGATGTTTTATAATTCTTTTGGGCTTAATAAAATAGCTTTTTGAGACAAAAACAAAATTTTGATTCTTATAAGAAAATGATTGTGGTTGTTCTGACTTTATGCTACAATGAATCTGTGACACAATCTGGGTTCACCAAGCCAAAACAAAGTTCAAGACAAAAACATTCAATTTTCAAGACAAAAACATGTTGATTTTCTACATTTTGCAATCAACTGTAAGTTTCGTTTTTTCCATTTGAAAAAACAAGAGGGTGTTAAAAAGGTTTGTGTTTTAGCATACAATTGTCAGACAAGCCCCATCATTTGGCATAAGAGCTTTGGCTCCTTCAACTAAAATTGACACATGGTAAATACAGCACCCCCTGCTGATTCAAGTGCCATAGGGTCAAGGTCGCAATTTGAACCCAGATCAGAAGTATCCCAGATCTTTACCTGACATTTATGGTAAGTAAATTTCCTCTACTCTCTCCATGGCATTCAATTTTAAACAGAGTTGCTACCCTTTGTTACTACCCTGTGCCTCCTTCCAGACACAAATTTCCATTACTAAACAATTACAGATACAATACTGATGATGATGATATCTCCATAAAATATCGACAATGATTGAACATCAAAGGACAATGTTGAGAGAAATAAATTATTGATAAGTCTCATCCACAAAACAAAGTTGTTTCGGTTGAAAACTGCAGATTTTCTACCACAGCATTAGTCAGCAAGCAACATATCATAAAGTGTATGGAATACTCCCATTGGCTATGAAACCAAGGGAAATGGAGTGTCTCCATGAGCAAATTACAAGACAGCTGCTGCAAGATTACTTGCTTTCAATCATGAATTATGAAAGAGATTTTTCAATGCAGGTGAATGTTAATGCTGAGCTCTCATCAACAGATAGGCTTGTATCAAAGCTACAATCAACAATGATATGATATATCTATAGAATTACATCAGACGACACATTATCACTTATTGAATAGAAATGAAGACCAGATGACACTGAACATGTACTATTGCTGATTAAGTTGTTAAATGACTCTTTCTGTAAACCAACTTTGCTAAACAGTGCCAAAAAACATTGAAAGACTGAAATGTGATGCATTTTGTCTAAAATATTTAATTCAAGAATAATTCAGAAATTAATAATCCAAAACAAATCTTTAATCAAAATCTTTCCAGATGTAAACAAAGCCTTCCACAAAACCAGTCTACAGACCTTCCAACTGGTGGTAATTATCAAATGGAATACACCACCAGTTCTCCATACAAAAACCTTGTGATCTTTTCAGATCAAGTTTCTTGAGACAGGTCATCCTTTAATACAAATATTTTACTCATTCTTAAACACAAATATTTGATTTGGTATAACGGACTGTGACTTTTCATATGGCTTTGTCTTGAAATTGGATCAGATGTCTCTTTCAAATAACATGGAAATTGTTCTCATTTAGTGAAGGGGTGTCTGAACATTTTGAGGGGATGTTTTGATGGGGCCAAACTTAAGACAGGCCACCATAAAAAAGTTTAACTCGAAACTGTATCCTTGTTGGTGGCAACTTTTGTGCTAGCATTTGCTCTGTGGCTTTGCTAAGTAAACTCTAGTTTTGGGGAAGTTTCGGACATCTTGAGAAATTCAATTTCTAAATGTGCTTTATAAATCAAACCGGGGGTGAACTCTTCTCTTTTTAGTTTAACTATTGACAGAGTTTCTGTTTTTAATAATTCAAATCATAATCATATTAATATCAACCCAATTCTTGACCATAGTTACAATAAAACTCATTCTATTATGAGTTCCGTTTTATATCTAGTTTTACATTTATCATTATTTTGAGTTGACAGTTTAAAGAATGTAAATGAAAACTGAATATTTAGCAAAAATAGCAAAAATTGAATACTTTTGAGCAGATGGGAAATCTAAATGGGGTTTTCAAATCGAAATACAATATCAAAAACAATTAATCATTGTTGCAGTTAAAGATGCCGAGTTCTATTGTGAAAATAATTTTGGTTTGCCTTCCTGTTTTTCACTGAAATTGAAATCCTGCTTAAAATTTTTTTTTTAGTATGCCCGAAGCAGATCCGCCCAAAAGTTTGGTTATAAATTATTCCCGAGATACAATTTATCTATAAAAAGATTGGACTTGGTTTACTAAAACAAAACGCCAAGAGTAAACTGATGAACTTTGGGTGGCATCTTACCGATTCAAATCGACATCATTACTGTTTGCTCTTCCAGTAACACCATCACAATCTCTCTCCTTCGACTTTGCATATCCATCGGGGTTCATCGTCGGCATAACGTGTATCCTTGTGTTATTCACTAAGTTCTGGATCGTCTTGTTCCCATATCTATATTCCGTACATATATTATCCAGTAGTAAAAGCAACATTTCTCTTCCAACAACTTCGTTCCCGTGCATATTTCCTATGTACTTAAACTCTGGTTCTAAAGGCTCATGAACACCAGGATTGTCTGACACTTCCATCACAATCAACTTTCTCCCGAGAGCTGAACTACCAATGTCGTAAAGTCTAGTAATGTCTGGACACCGTTCGGCTATTTCTTTCATATACCTTATCATATCTTCATGATCGTGGTGCCTGAACTCTGGTTTCGACATCGTTGTTTGCTGCAAGCAGCAAATCGAAATAAGAAATAGAACAAACCTTGAGAGATCCATTCTAAAAGAAAGCCGGATTCGAGTCAATGGCCTAAAATAAAACACAGCAACGATGTAACTTCATTTGAAAGTTGATTCCGAATATCAGTCAAACGTTGAGTCCCTCAATTACTAATTTAGGAAAACCAATTCTACATTCCTCGCCAGTTTACATCAAACTAGGAATAAAATCCAACTTTGTTTCCTTCAAGCCGCACATCATTCAAAACTCTTCCTCTTCACCAGCTGCGCGCTCCTCCGCACTCTTCTCCAAGGGGGCTGGCACTATTCATAAATTCTGACGTCAAGGAAACGAATGCAAACAGATGCCCACTCTGTTTAGGCAGGAAATCATGGAAACAGCGTGGAGGCCCGAAACAGCAGAATTTAAATGCAAAATTGAAGTGCAAAAAACACATTATTAAAAGTCTGTTTGATTTTTAAATGCATACTGCGGAAAGCCGAATACATAGAGGGACGTAATGAAAGTTCATATTTAATGGACAATACCAAGCTAAAAATAGTATGCCGTGCATTATTCTTGCGGTCTTGTCTTTTCCGATTAATGTGCTAAGTTCAATATTTGTCGCCTCATTTTGATTAGGGCTTGGTAACATGGCTGTAATTGGATTGGACCACTTCATTTAGTCGACAGCACTGTCTGTCTTGTGTTGTTCATTGGTCCATCAGACAAGACAACCAGAGAAGCTTCGAAATACGCATTCCGTTTCTAGAAGATTTGGGAAAACATGAGGTTACTTTGGGTAAATTTCATCCTAGCAATTTTATTTCAAATGTATCCGTATATTATGTTGGTAACACATGACTTTTTATCAATGATTGATTTAGCTAACCGCGGATAACTGTCTCAGACTTCTAGTTGACCTCGAGTAAAATTTTATATGAAAAATACTTACCTCTTTGACTCTTCTGAAAGGTTAGCTCCTCTTTCGGATTGGCTTTCAATTGGTTCCAAATCAGACAAGAGTTTCAATTACAGGATTTCGGGTTGCTGCGTTAGGTTTGCTCCGTTTCGAGCTCCAATTAAATGACGCTCGGTTGTTGTTGAGTATGAAGAGAAAAAGTGGCGTTTTCATTCTTTTGAACCTTGACCTCGGGTTCAAAAGCAGTGCTCAATTTTGCCGGTCAATGAGCTATCGAAATCTCATTAAAAATAGGAAAGAAAAAGGACGTCATTTTGATGCGGCACTTAAATTCTTTTCCTTTACCTTTCCCTTCTCTTTACCTCAATTTTGCGGAACCCTAAATTTCTTGAGGAACAAGATATTGGCTCAAATATTCAGAATTTTTTCGGAATGTAACGATTTTGTGTTACTAAAGCCATATCCAGAAAGAGAAGTAATTCAAATATAAAACCAATGCTTCCTTCTTCAACTCGGGCAACAGAGGCACAAAGAACAGCTCATCTTAAAAGCAAGATGATCAAGACAGAATATTTTTTAAAACAAACAATTTGCATTTCCTGTTAGGTTTCCTCAATCCCAAATACATCCGCTACTATCTCTTGGGCAGTAATCTTGTTCAGTTGCCAGATGCAAGGCTCTGGGACATAACCTCTCTTTGTACTAAAAACCGCGTACTTCTATTGGTAGCAACAGACTTTTACTTATTTTCCATGGAGCTCTTCTCCACTGAGCTGCAAGGCTGTATTATTAGAATTCTATGAAAAGTTCATGGAATTCATCAAATCATAGACTACAATCTACAAAGTTGATTTCTGATCAATTGATTAAAAGAGCAAGTGATTTCATAAAAGATGTTAAGCCTCGAAAGTTATTATTTAGCCCCTTACTGGCAACAAACCGATCTAATCTTTCCTAACAGCTTCAGCTCTTCATAAAATTTTTATTTTTTTCTTGATGATGCCCTGTTTAAAAGTCGTTTTCTTGATATATTGACTTGCAATTTTTTTAGGATACATTTCCCACTCCAAACTCTTTTGGGTCAGCTACTTATGATTTAAAATTTTAATTTTGTCAATTTTATAGAATATAAACACTGGTAAACTTAATGTTTGTCTCCAACAGCATTTGATGATTTACGCGATCAGGTAATGACTGGCTTTCCCCAAAGACAACATCTTGAAGGGAATATAACCTATCTATGAACCTAGCATTCAACAAGTCTATGAAAACAAAGTAAGTAAATGAAGTGAAAAGAGTCCTAAAGAAAGTGTTGTTATAGGTTTTTAGACTTTTAAAGAAAAGAGCGAGAAAACTAACATCTGTTTATTTTTACTGCCAATGAAAATATAACAAGAATTCAAAACGAGAATTAATAGAAAGGAAATGAACTAAACTTATTCGCATATGATTTTCAAACTTTGTATGATGAATGGTTGAAGAAGAATGATTTCAGATGTTTCAAAAATTGCTATTTTGATAATTTTTAACCAGCTGTGTGTCATAGGACAGATATTGTTGAAATAACTGACAAAATATATCGAGCATTATTAATATACACATGGATAATGACTGCAATTTCTTACAGGATTTTTCATAAGTATTATAAGTATTTCAAAACAAAAGATCGAAATGTCCAACATGTTTAAATTGGTATATCATTGTGTTAGCAATTGCTGTTTTACGTATCGCATTAATCTTTTTTGGTGACTATTGGCTTCTGTTTTCTGGGAATCAAAGTTTACGTATACTTAAGGATAGTATTATAGCAGGACACAAACTTGATTATGAATGTTCAGAATATTAGTGAGCTTTTCTCAAAACTTTGAAACTTCAGTAACGCTTTAATACATCAGCAAAATATCATTTGAAAATCTTATTCTAAATGTTCATACAATACTATATTTGGGCTTCGGACTTTGCACCCTTTTCATTCCTCATAAAAGAGTACACACATGTCGTCGCTCAAAATCATTTGAAGAATGCATAAAAGCTGAACATTGAAAATCTTTCAGCGTATCTTTGACCAAAAGATAAAGATATTCTTGTAAAAGATCGCGTAATTTCTTTCAAATCAGCTTCAAGTAACATTACGACGACTTCGAAGATGATAAAAGTAATTACAGCCTTGTGTTTTAAATTCTAATCAAACAGCGATTAAAAATGATGATTAAATGAAATTTAATCAGAGTTAATTTCACAAGGGGCTTTTGAGCGTTAACTAAATCGAATGAAATTGTTGTTATTACTATTTCGTTATGTTTTCTTGTGCTACGCTTCCTCGTGTTTTTTTTCTACTAGTTTATGGGCAATGCAGGGAGTCTTTTGGCCTCCTGTGAATTTGATTTGTATAACTAGGGTAAGATGTGTGTTTCGTGGCGTTTTCATTCCCTTGGTTAATCTAGGGGTATTTGTGGTTTTGGCATAGCGTGGGTCTCACTTTGCTTGGTGAAGCCAAAATACAACTAGGCTGTTTTATTGTATTTTCCCAGCCCTCTTTCCCTCATTTTGTTTCTTTATGCCAAATGCCTTTTCAGTATAACTTTGCGTGTTGAGTTTATTTTATGGCATCGTTAAAACCTCTCATACCTTTAGGCATCTTTTATGCTTCTTAGCGTTTTTTGATGCTATTAGGTAGGACTGGTGTATCGGCTATTAGTGGGGAAAAGAGGCTTTTCCTGTCCACTCCCAATTATCAACTCCCAATGTTCCTGTCCAATTATCAATCATGTTTGGGGGTTATTGTGTAACTTCCCTTAGTAACCCCTATATGGTAGGTTGAGCGATTTGCGTCGATGCACCAACGGCCCAACTCGCTCTCGATGATGTGGGAACGTAGCCTCATGACTGACCTTCTGTTGTCTATAGCAGTTTTTCTGAGGGAGCTTTATGCCCTTTATGTTGCATTGGTATTTCATTCCCGAGTAAGTAAATTAATTTCTTTATTAAATTTGTGGTTGGCCAAGGGCTAGACTGGATTTACAATAGAAAACTATCAAGTTGCATGATACACAGATAAAACTGAGAAAATCGAAAAGTAATCACAAATGAATTGTGATATAGCAAGAGGTTGCAAAAAGCCATGATCGGACTTCGGGAGTAAAGTGTCTTTTGTGGTGTCAATCCATGCAGAGACCACTCAAATTCTAACGAAAAAATGATAATGAAACTTAATCCTGACAAATGTCATCTTTCGATTTTTGGGGAGAAAAACACTGACGTATCAGTGCAGATTGGTGCAACCACAATAACGGAATCTGATGAAGAAAAACGTTTAGGTGTAACTTTGGATAAGAACCTGGATTTCAAGAGCCACGTAAACGCACGTAAACACACAAACGTAAAAAAGCTGGGCAGAAGCTGCGTGCACTTGCACGTTTTTCAAACTATATGGCTGTTGGGAAACTGGGGGTTATGATAGACAGTTTCAGTTTCAGTTTCATTTATTTATCACTCAATCCTAAATACAATTCTATAAGATAACACTTCAACTAAATACTTACACTATATAATACCACACAAAACAAATTTATATATTTATATTTATATTTAAGACTGATTTATTAAGAAGGAGCTCTCTAAATAGGTTAACTAATCGAGAGAAAGCCCCCCCTCCATAAAAACAAATAAAACTAATTATATATTTTAATAAAACTAAATCAAACATATTACCAGATGTTTCACAACGAGACTCCAATGAGGATATTGGGAATAACCTTTCCAGGAAAATTTGCCAAAAAAGTTATTAATAAGAGACAATAATGTGTGTTGTCAATTTGGAACGGAAAATTGCAACAGAGCTAGCGACACGGATGAATAGAGGAAGAGTGTTCCAAAGTTTAGAACCAAAATATTGAATTTTTGGAGACCGTACATAGTAGTATTTTTAAAAGATTTGAAGAGATCACCTCTGGTTGCCTGTCGGGTTCCAATTTTGTGAACAGTTGCATTAGGAAGGAAATAGTTGTGGAAGTGTAAAAGGGGATAACTTGTTGATTGCCTTATAAACGAAAGTCAAGGTATTTAGGTGCATTGTATCCTCAATTTTGAGAATTTTGAGAGACTGGAAGAGCTGTGGGGCTGAGAATGGTTCAAATTTGATACAACGTAAAACTTTCTTCTGTAATCGAAATAGTAGATTAAGGTAGGATTCAAAAGTAAGGCCCATACAGTGATACCATAGTTGAGGAAAGAAAAAAACAGCGAGTTGTGAAGGCTGATAAGGGTTGGAAGTGGGCAATAGTGACGGACTTTAAAGAAAATGCTAAAAGCTCTAGAAAGCTTTCTGCAAAGCTCAACTGTGTGATACTTCCAGGAGAGATGTTCATCCATAAGTATTCCTAAGAATTTTACATACTTGGTTCTTTGACTACTTGGTCTTGGTAACTTTTCTTGTAAGCAGAGTAAGGTCATCTGATTCACAATAAATGTTGGTGTCATCAGCATAAAGGAAAAAAGAAAAGAATTTTGATGTATTTGGCAAATCATTGATGTAAATAAGAAACAGGGGTGGACCAAGAACTGAACCGTGGGGAACACCACAAGATATGTCACAAAGAGACGAGGAATGACCATTCACAGAAACAAACTGTTTGCGATTACTAAGGTAGGAGTAAAACCAATTTAATGCAGTCCCTCTGATTCCAAAGTATTCCATCTTTTTTAAGAGTATGTCATGGTTTACTGTATCAAAAGCCTTTTGGAGATCAATGAAAACTCCACAGCCTATCCTGCTTTTGTCAAGTGATAGTTTGATGGTTTCAGTCAAACTAATAAGTGCATGGTCAGTTGAGTGCCCAGTGCGAAAGCCAAATTGCATACTAAATAAAACTTCACAAACTTCAAGAAATTTATAGAGACGCTGATGCATTACTTTTTCAAAAAGTTTACTAAAGACAGAGAGGAGAGAGATTGATATGTAATTAGACTTCATTGTGGCAAGTCCTTTCTTAAAGATTGGTACTACCTTGGCAATTTTAAGGATATCAGGAAAGGTTCCTGAGACAAAAGATTCATTAATGAGAAAGGCAAGATCACTGGAGATAGGTGTTTGAAGGATTTTTAGTAGTTTCACAGAGATACTATTGGGTCCACTTGACTTACTAAGTTTTAAAGACTGAATAGGAATAGATACTTCATCAGCTGTGCATGGGGAGATAAAAAATGATTTTAAATTGGGATTTGATAAATAGTCCAATGGGGATTTTGAAGTTCATGGGATTTTCTTTTTGATACTACTTGCAACATTAGTAAAATATTTATTGAATTCAGTGATTTGATATTTCAACAGGATCTGATATTTTAATATAATCCTTGTTTTTTAATATGAAATGGTTTCAATACTTCCTGGCCTTATATTAATTATGCCTTTTATTCCTTTCCGTAACATTTTCATGTTGTTTTTATGTTCATCAAAATACTTATGGTAGTAATTTTTCTTGCTTTCTTATATTTCATTCACAATGCGGTTTCAGAATTGCTTATAAGCCCGTGAGTAACTAACAGAATTAGTTAATTTGAACTGATGGAATAGATTATCTCTAATTTTAATCATTTTCTGAATGTGCAGATCAATCCATGGTCTATTCCTAAGCTTCATAGCCTTTTTTGTTAACTTTCATTTAGGGCAATGTTTGTCAATAAGATAGTGGATATTAAGCAGGAAAGTATCAAATTTTCTATTCAAATCAATAGCATCATCTTCTAGAAAGGATTCGCCTTCGTTGTTTCTCAGTTTAGCTTAATATCTGTCCACTTGTTTGGATGTTTCATGATAGGCCATGCCGGTTCATAAGAAAATAAACAAAATTCACGAGAGCTTTGAGAATCGCATACAAGGATAGTTGTTCTAATGTCGAAGAATTATTAACGAAAGAGATACAATATCCATTCACCACAAAAAATTGCAGTTGCTTCCTACTGAAAAGTTTAAAACTCAAAGGAATCTCAATCCAAGTTTCATTAATGAAATCTTTGTGGAGAAAGATACTCCATACACCCTTCGTAGTGGCATAGATATTTTGGCACCAAAACCAAACACAACAGGGTATGGTCTTGAAAATGCACGTTTTCTTGGAGCGAAGATATGGCATACAATGATATTAACATCAGTATAGTTATTCCATCATTCTTTATCGCCTATACCATTCAAATGCTCAATTGGGAAACCCTAGCAAGCAAACTGCCAAACGGACGCCACTCTTTGCAACAAATCACCATTGGCTAAATATCCCATAATCCAACGCGATGGAGTATGATTAGTTTTGTTCAAACTATATTCTTAATAACATTCTTATCTTTGTCAATCAAATTTTTAGTTAATAGAGCTGAACAATGTAATTAATTCAAGAGACATTCCTTTTTTCTGTAAATATCTTTTAAAAACCAAAATTTATTTTGGGTATTGTAACTTTAACAGGGAAAAGCCACCTGTATCGGATCTATTAAATATTCATTTTTATTATTATATTATTATTCTTATTATGTTTTTATAATTTCTTATAATAAGCCACGAATGGGTAGGAAAAACAGATGCATTCACCCAGTAACAAAAATCCTTTTGCTTTTTCGTCGTATTTGAAATGAGTGCTGAAAACAGCATTCCAAATCATTGGCCTAAGAATCCCTGGAGTCATATTCGTCCAAGGGGTCAAGTCGGCCTGGATCAACCTCAAGCGTAGATAGTTTACAATCGTAAACTCAATATGCCTGGAGAAACAACGTTACTTTATGAATGGACAGTATAGACGGACTCTTCATTAGATTGATATTCACACCGGGGTTATAGTTACAGAATAACTAACAGTGCTTAATGGCTACTGGGTGATGTGAAGGAGCAAGGCGACAAAGCACGAGAAAGCCAGCAATCTTTACTATTGAATTGAATTTCATATCTATAGCAAATGTGTAAGAAATATAAGAATATAAATTAATTGCACAGTAAATACAAAACTACTTGACTAGGCTTACAAAATGTGTTACATTTGGAAACGCGACAAACAAGGGCAGCGGTATCAACCACACAGTCATGAGCGACAGAAAAATGTTCTTTCTATAAAAAGCCGCGGTTTCCAAATATTTTCGAATTTGTTTCTTAAAAGCGTCTTCTTTATCAATAGTTATAATATAATACAGAATAACGAATCAGAAGAATCGACTAGAACACACTTTTAACCAAAGTGGGAAATAGGTTCTGCGTCCTATATCACACAGCCCCGTTACGGATGAATGACCGTTGGAAAATCCAAGCTTGAAGAGCCAACAAGAGTCGGTTAATATAACCGATATCACTAAAATTGAATCCATTTAAGGGAATAAATGGCTCTAGACAGTGTAAAAGAGGATACAGAAACACTTATAGCTGATTCTGCCAAAACGCGGCGGGGTGAGATAACATAACTGCAACGATACATCTTAAGAATAATACCTTTCTGATCCATTTGATTTACAAAAATAAAAATGATTTTTTAAAGCCAGATATATTATATTCATCAAGCGTTGCTTTTCAGATAGAAAGTGCTTATTGGTTAAAAGGATTGTAAACTAAACATACATTTTCAGGGAACTTTGAATCTGGAAGTCATGAGGCTAAAGTATTTCCTTCAAACCTGTCCACGAGACTTTTTACAGCTTCTCCCGGCGTTTCGCTGCCGGGCAAGCTCACAAAAACATCATGTGAGCACTTGGCCACATTATCATACTGAGCTACATCATTCATGCTGGAAGAACGACCATTCATGACCCCCTGTACGTCTGAACAGTTTCTTGAATTCAAACGCTCTCGTGAAGCAACAGTCGGATTCGGAGACGGGGGTGCCGATAAAGCTTTCAATGCACAGTCACTGGTAGGACAAAGATCGGAACATACTTCTTTGCTTGTTTTACTGTCCACGTTTTCAGTGTTCGCAGAATCTACACTTTCCGTGTCAAAGGGCATTGTCCCCTTTTCTAAATTCAATGAAATAGGGCGTTGGTTTCGTTGACTCCCTTCTATTTCCTGCAACCTCTCTTTCACACTCCTTCGCTTTGATCGGTCAAACGGATTGTCTCTAGCGGGGCCTTCTTTTTGCCCTTGTGAATCAGTCATCGTGCCCGAATCCAATGCTTTGTCGATAGCTTTTGAGAAAATCTGTGAATGTCTCTTAACTATACCCCGTTCTACAATATCAGCGGGCTTGCTTGTATCTGGCTGTTCTTCATGCTCATCTTCAAGCACTTCACCCCCGTCAATGATGCTTGGTGAGTTCGAGAGGAGACTCTGCTCTACTGTAGCAACACAAAAACTAGCATCATCAAAAAAGATAGTTGGAGTTTCTGAATTTCCAGGGGGAGAGGTTTGCTGAATCAAAGCTGCGTGCTTTTGTACTAACTTTTTGACTGAAACATCCTGGTGAGAACTTGCCTGTTCAGAGTACCCCGGTTCAGAATGGCCCTGATCATCTCTGTTGGGACCCTTTTTCGAAACAATTCCCCCTGAAAATGAGTTGTTCTTCTGCAATTTACTGTCGTTTGCAGAGCGCTTATGATGCTTGCTCTTGTCCTTCAACACACCATCGTTCAATGCTCTCGACTTCGTTTTAAGTTCACGACTATTTTCCGACCCATCATCTGTACTGCCATCCGCTTCTGTTTTCTGATAGCCCTGCTGGTTGCAACTGCCTTCTTCTTTGACAATTTTGTTCCATATTTTCGATTCCCCTATAGTGTGCCTTCGTGGACATCGTAAAATACGAACTCGCTGAGCCAACATTTTTTCTTGTTCCTCAATTAATTTTTTTGATTCCTTCACATCTATGAATTGGGGTACTTCTATCACATTATCATTTGCTGAAGGTTGATTCTCCGCATCATTTCTTCCATGGGTTGATGGAGAAGCATTCTCTGCAGATCCTTTGTCCTCTTCCTTTGCAGTACTCCCCTCTATGTTTGTCTCCTTCACAACGTCCGCATCAACAGTCGCCTGACCTTCTTCTTGAATAGCACCACTACAACCATTCTCGCCGTCATTGCGATCTCCTTTACTACAATCGCCATCATTGCGATCAACTTCATCACAGTGATCATAATCATAAAGCTCATCACCCTGCTCTGCATTGTCATCGTCATACTCGCAATATCGCGACACGCCGATAGTGTATGCCCTGTTCCTAATGCGCTTGCGTGAACTACTCTCTGCTTCCTCTGAAAATGATTTTGTTCTTTCAAATGGAAGCCTTCTTGAGAATGATGCTTTCCGCAAACTCGATGGCCTAATAATACTTTCAACCGAAAACTGGTTATCTAAAATCTCCTTAGTTTTCCTTAGGCCTTGAAGCTGTTCCAGACTGCGAAGCATTTTACTTTTCATGACAGATGCAGCAACAGCTTGCTCTAAGAGGTTTTCATCCTTGGCATCCTCCACTGCGCTACTTGACGAACTGCCCTCCTTCCCAGTGTCACCTGCTAAGTGCGTCATCAGCTGCGATGGCAATGTTTTTGCACGTGATATTATCCTTCTTCGGCCATGACGCTGTACTTTCACACCTTTAAGCGAATCTGCGTTTTCTTTCATCAGATTTTGCTGCTCCTCCTCAAACTTCATATTACCTACTTCATCACCATCCAGAACAGCCCTTGCATCATCTGGGATACTTTCGTTCTGACAAGATATCTCATCGATTGCCGATGGTATTTTGTTGACAATCTCTCCACGCTTTTCTTGCTCACTTAAAACCTCCTTAGACACATCGGGTGTCCATGATTTAGGCCTTTTTGCACTCTTAGATGCCAATCTTTCTCCGCCATCAGTTCTCTCCTCGTCCGCTTCGTCAATTTCCCCATGCAACTTTGAATCCCGAAACACTTTCCTTCTATCTCGAGTTGATGGTGTATCCATTTCGGACTTCGATCTTTGACGAAAGAGGTCACTGTGTCGATGCCGACTAAAAGGAAAATCGCGAGAATAAAGTGAGGCCATCTATCAATCAAAGTGAGGCCATCTATCATCCAAAATGAGGCGAAATTTAAGATCTAAACCTTGAATGGCTTGTGTTTATCTCAAATCTGCAGTCATAAACGGTAAGCCTATTGGGCATAGGAAAGATAAAAGTTTGCCAGGGTAAAACGTTTGTCTTATCAATTTGCATTGAAATACTTTGACCATCATTAAACATAAAAGCTATAGTCATTCCAACTGATCAAATGCAACTTTTAGTGCACAAAATTGAAAAGTAAAAACAATAAAAAAAGAGGCCACGAAAAACCTTGAGGTATCTTTCAAAACACTAAGCTCTTTGGCAATCTTTGACTAACCTCGAATTCAAGATACCCTCGTATATAATCAGCTGCTTTTGGAACCCAGCATTCGGTTCAATAATACTCCGACATTTCTTAACATACTCCATACTTTCTGTTAAAGACCATCCACGACTTTTCATGATATACGCAATGACCTGGTAAGTGGGAATAGACGATTATTAAAGCACTGTGGGGGAATTTACACCACTATACAGAATGTTAGGATATCATAACACAACTGCTTGAATTAGAAAAACGCAAGCACATGACCGGTATAGTTGACCAATCAGTGCCGCGTGCCTAAAGAAAAATTACCACGGAGTCCAAGAGAGAACATGAATTCCTTCCATCTACACAATGGCGGCTTTCTAGTTTGTTTGTCGATCGATTCAAAAATTACTAGATGAAAAGACGACCGGACTCTGCCAATTTTCTGAAACATGTCGTCATTATAGAGTTTTGCACAACCTGTGTTGTCTATAATGTGTTGTCCGATGGCAGAGTCACTAGTTTTTACTGTGTTTTTAGAGGAGGCTGTTCTCTTTGAGGGACAGTTTTGTTTCTTATGTAGGAAGGAACATGCTGTTTTATCCTATCCCCCAATCTTTGGGTTGTGCGTCCTACGTAGCCAGAATCACACTGGCACGTAAATTCATAAACAACGGAACTTTTTTGGTTGATAGGAACGCAATCCTTTTGAATGGATGGAAGGGCTCTCCTAGTACTGTAAAACTACGATGATTGACAGGAAAGAAACATTTTGTGATGGCCTGTTTGAAGAACTGCTTGAAGAAAAATTCATATTCTGAGTAATTTTAACCACCAACACAAAGACCTGTGGAATCAATCAAAAGCCCAAAATTTCCACAGGGAAAGTGAAATCCAAAATTCAGAAAGAATTTTAAGATAAATAATTACCGATGATGCAGATCGACTAATGCCTCGCCTGCAGTGAACAAGTACCTTGGAACCAGCCAATCTACAAAGGAATGTGAAAAGAAAAAATATTTGAATACCATTGACTTGAAGCGATCACCTCAACGACGGCCAAAGAAAAATATCAAGAGCCTGTTATAATGTACCTGGCATTATGAATAAAACGGTAGGTGCGATCCCAGTACTGCAACAACTCTGTGTCTTCTTCATCGTAAACCCTGCATGACAAACAACAAAGTATCACACACCAAGCAAGTTATGGACATGTGAAAGCAGCGAGGATCACACACCAAGCCAGTTATGAACACGTGAAAGCAGAGGGGGGCAAAGACCAAACAAGTTATGAACACATGCAAGCAGAGGGGGGCAAAGACCAAACAAGTTATGAACACGTGAAAGCAGAGGGGGGCACAGACCAAACAAGTTATTAACACGTGAAAGCAGAGGGGGCACACACCAAACAAGTTATGAACACGTGAAAGCAGAGGGGGGCACACACCAAACAAGTTATGAACACGTGAAAGCAGAGGGGGGCACACACCAAACAAGTTATTAACACGTGAAAGCAGAGGGGGCACACACCAAACAAGTTATGAACACGTGAAAGCAGAGGGGGGCACACACCAAACAAGTTATGAACACGTGAAAGCAGAGGGGGGCACACACCAAACAAGTTATTAACACGTGAAAGCAGAGGGGGCACACACCAAACAAGTTATGAACACGTGAAAGCAGAGGGGGGCACACACCAAACAAGTTATGAACACGTGAAAGCAGAGGGGGGCACACACCAAACAAGTTATTAACACGTGAAAGCAGAGGGGGCACACACCAAACAAGTTATGGACCAGTTGTGAAAACAAGCTCTGTCGACGATCAGTTGCGTAAAAATTGGCTGCTGAAATTACATGAATCCTAATTGATCACGCCGAAAGCGATTTTGGCCCTCTGCGGAGGTCATTTTAGCCCTCAATCAATACCTTTACCACATCTTTGTTTCAATTACAGAAGCGCTATATTATAAGAAAGTAAAGGCAAATGAAATGAAAAGTTATTGGCAAAAGCAGCAACAAAGTGGCATTTATATTTACATTGATATTTTTTGCTTTAATTACTTGACATACACGTATGTGGAAATCCCTAAAAGATGCCCTTCCTCAGTCAGCCAACCATTCTGTTTCTGTTATCAAATCCGGAAAGAAAGTCCTTTCTAAACCAGTTCAAGTTGCTGAAGTGTTTAACAAACATTTTACAACTATAGGTCAAAAAATCGCAAAGGCCTTTGGGAAAGGAAATAAAGATGCAAGAGGAATTTTGCAAAAGAAAACTGATAAGAGTTTCCAACTGGATCTCGTAACAAGCAATTTCGTGAAAATCCAACTGCAAAACTTAAAAACAAACAAAGCAATTGGCTTAGACAAAATCAGCGCAAGGTTATTGAAAGACTCCGCTGACATCATTGCACCATCTCTACAAGCCCTAATAAACAAATCATTTCTTGAAGGCAAATTTCCCAAAAACTGGAAATCGGCAAAAGTTGTAGCTTTATTCAAGAGTGGAGATAAAAGTAACTGTGACAATTACAGACCCATATCCATCTTACCTACAATAAGCAAGATAATCGAGCGAGCAGTTCATAAGCAGTTTTACGAATTCTTGCAAGTAAACAATCTCCTCTTCAAAGATCAGTTCGGATTTAGAAACAAAATGTCTACAAGCTCTGCTCTTTTACAATTTACGGACAGCCTCCTTGAAAGCATGGACAAAGGTCATGTATCTGGTGTTGTGTACTTAGATTTGAAAAAAGCCTTCGACACGGTCGATCATTCTTTGTTGCTTTGGAAATTGACAGAATATGGTGTCTCTACAGCTTGTCTGAAATGGTTTCGCTCCTATCTTAGTCAGAGATCACAGCAAACGTCGGTTGGGGACGCTCTCTCACTGAAACGAAACGTAACGATTGGAGTACCTCAAGGATCAGTTTTAGGTCCCTTACTTTTTCTTGTTTTTATCAACGACTTGCCGTTATCATTAAAATACTCGAACACAATCTTGTTTGCAGATGACTCAGTTATCTATTACTCGGGGAAAAACTGTAATGAAATCCAAAATAAGATGAATGAGGACTTGGCTCTAGTGAAAGAATGGCTAAACGACCATCGACTTACGTTAAACATCACTAAATCAAAGTTTGTTGTGGTTGGAGGAAAGCAGCAGTTAAAGCGTTTCAAAGATATGACATTGAAAATCAAAGAGGATGAACTAAGTCGAGAAACAAGTTATAAATATCTTGGTATAATAATAAATGAAAATATGACATGGGGGGATCACATTGCTTCATTGCAGCAAAAAGTAGAAAAAAGAATAGGTTTGTTAAAAAGAATTAGTCATCTTATCCCCAGGGCACAACGTTTAACTTTGGTAAACACTATGATAATACCATTGTTTGATTATGGAGATACTGTTTGGGGGGATAGAAATAACCAATGTTCGATGAAGTCTCTGCAAGTTCTTCATAACAAATGCGCCAAACTGGTATTGAACATGAAACCAAATGACTCAAGCACGAAGGCCTTAAATTTACTGCACTGGAAATCTCTAGATATCAGAAGAAAGTTCCATCGATGTGCCACCATTTACAAGTCGAAAAAAAACGATATAAGTTACACTTTCAGCAATAAAACAGGACACGATTTGCATAACATCCAGACAAGGAACAAAGAGCAATACCATCTATCTAAAGTAAGGACAAATTGGGGGAAGCAAGTGTCATCCTATCTGTTTGTTGATGACTGGAATAAACTGGACACAAACATTAAGTTGGCAGGAACTTTTAATATTTTTAAACAAAAGTTTTGGACAATGTGAACTGATTTTATCCACTATGATGAACTTTTTTAATTTTTTAAATGTTTTAGTAAATCGATATAATTAGTTAAATAGAGGACCCTCATGAAAAGCACCCTCGAGTGACTGAGGCCATCCTCTGTAAATATTTGTCTTATTATTATTATTATTATTATTATACACGGAGTAGCTAAGAGATATTAGTGGCAACCGCCAATTCACCCTCTGGCAGGTCTTACAACTACAGTGCTTTCAACAACGCAGAAGCATTGTTAAAATTCTGTGTATAACCATCTATTAGCAAAGCATGTTTTGGGGTTTTGTAACGCAAATATGGAACTCAAAGACGTTACTCAAATTGACCAACCTTATGTTGCAATAATGGAACGTATCAGGGAAAAAATTATCGATTTCTCTCGTCAAATTAAGGATATATCCAATTCTGTAAAGAAAGAGAAAATGCTGAATGAATTCTGCTATGATCAAATCAAATAAATCTTCAATACTTCAGTAAAGACATTGAACAATATATTATCTATTATAACATATATATGAATATAGAAACACAGAGTTATACCGTCAATAAACTCAACAGTTTTCATAGATGAAACAGTTCTCGCATTCTGCTCGTGACATTTAACGACATAAACATTGAATTGGTAGAAGTTGGCAATTAATTGTGAAAAATGCTGACATTTCTATGGAAGTACAACAAATAAAAGATTTGAGAATTTACCCACAATTAAGAATAACGCTAACCCAACTGAGCATTGTGCTGGCTTTAAATGAACTTTAAACAATTCGTATAGCAAACTACTTCAATTTTTGGGACATCGGACTTTTTTATGTTGTGCTCCCTCATTCCTTTTATTTGGTGGCACGTGAAATTTTCAGTTCTCTTGTAACCAAAACGTTTAGCTTTCTTTGTATGATTAACAGTGTATATATTTAATGTATATTTCATAATATCGAATGAGATTTGAGGCAGAAACGTCTTAATATTTTTAATATGGCCTGGTTCAAATGCAGGGCTGTAGAGCAGGGGGGCTTAGGAGGGCTCCGCCCCTTCTACTTTTTGAATGGGGACTGCGCCTCCTCCTCCTTTTCTGGGTAATGATTAATTTCTGCCAGGATCAAATCTTTGATTGAACCGACATTACTTTTTGCATTCATGTGTTACCTTAATAGCCATCTTGATAACTGATATTTAAATATATATTGACAAAACTTTACTACTTAGAGTTCTTTATTTTTAAGATTTTGCTCCTCAAGTAACAGGTAGACAATGGAAAATGTTGTGACCCTACAAAAAGTGAAAGGTGAAGAAGTTGATATCGAGGAGACATGCACATGAGAGCTACTGTTACGTTCATTAGCTCTATACCCCCCTTCTACATTTTCTTGGCTCTACACTACTGTTCAAATGTCAAATATTGAATGCCATAACATACTTGCCTCGAAGGGCTGTAAACCAGCTCTTGAAAATGAGAAATCTGTCTTTCGAATCAATCGGCATCAAATGCTTTCTTCTAGATATTTGATTTCATGGATACGAAAAGCACAAAAAATGTGTACGAATCAATGAGAAGACATGAACAACATACCCAAGGGCTTGCAGCTGTGGTAAATCGGATGCGTTCCATTCAGAGCCCTGAAAGATAAACAGTCATCAGAGGAATTCACCAGAGCAATCATTTCTTAAGCAAGGAAACTAAAATTTAGTCGGGGACGTAGGCAATCTTTTCATAAAGGTCTCTTGGAATCTGTCTACATAAAAACAAAGGATTTCGACTTGTGTAGCCAGAAAGAGTTTTCTTTCGTAGACTCTTCAAATAGGTCAGATATTAGCGGCTGCTGGTTGGCCAAATATAAGGCACCAATCAAACGCGCTTTTCTTCCCCTCGCAAAACTTTCGATCCGCAATTTGATATAATTTTTGCTCAGTTTTTGGACATTACTCCACGTTTTATACTTTCAAGATAGTCGAACGAAAACAATAATTGATTATGCTGCGTAATGATTTTCGCCTTTAATATCATGTGGCATGTTCATGTCCTTTTTCTTTCTATTTGGAAAAGTAAAACTTTATCTAAAAAACTGTTTATTTGTTTGCTGAAACGGATGAAAGAAAGAGCTTTTTCCTAACCCTTTTGTGACTATTAAACGTTTTATCATTTTACGAGTCTCAAATGAAAACAGTCCTTTCGCTGTGAAAAAGATGATACTGGTTTGTTGTCCAGTCATAATTCTTTGTGTCACAAAAAGCTCGAACAGAAAATTATAAACGATAAAACAGCAAAGTTTACACCTACCAAGTAAAGGTAGTCGAATATCTTTGAGGCAGAGTCCATTTGACCAAGAATTGTAAACATTTCGATATCCAAAAAAGATTTGAATTCGGAAAGGTCCATTCCGAGCTCATCTTCGCAAATGATTCTTATCTAGAGCAACAACAATGCAGCCATTATTGAAGAACTTGCGAATGCATGAAGCTCAGTAGCAAATTATCCAACAATGCAATCTAATAGCTGATTATAACGAGACTTATCAGCTGAACAGGTCAGGAAAAAAGGTAGGCCCCTCATCGTAAGCCTTCAGATCCAAAGTTAGAAGGCTTTAAAATCAAGTTAGAAGCACTTCAGATTCTAATTCGTATTTTTAATTGCATCTTTTGCAAGCAGACAAAAATAATTATACCTTGTTTTTCGGCACACTTGACAAAAACAGTGCCCTTGCTGAATTGTACCCTGGGTAAATAATTCATAAAAAAGCGGACACCGCCCAAACACTGCCCCAGAAACGGACACCACCCAGTAACGGACACTCCCCAATACCAGGCATCACCCACCAATAGACACCAGCTAGTAAAGGACACAGCTCAATACAGGAAACCCGTCCAAACATCGAGCAAATTTATCCCTTATCTCAAATCTCTTTCTGCTTTTGAAACTTTGTAGAAGTAAGTTCGATGGAACGAAAACCTCTCCGTAACTCCCTAGTAACCGCTTAATAGCGATCTCGTTACGTCAGTTTCAATTTAAAACAGTACCCTCTAACTGCACATTTAATCTGCGCATGCACATTCACATCTAAGTTTACTTTAAGAATGTGCAAGTGATAATGTGCCTAGGTGACTTCAACAGTAGTCCGTGCATTCAAATTTGTTTACGTAATCGCTTTTAGCCAGACCCAGGTCCCCAACAGACGCATCATAAATCTACCAGTTCCATATGCAACACATGGATTTGAAAGATGAAAACTTCCAACCTACCTGGCGACATGTAATTTCATCGATATCAACCCTGATCATCACCTGGTGACGTAAATTCATTACGATTATTACATTTTCTTGCATATTGACAAAATAATCATAAATGATAGTGCGAAAATCTTCAACACAGTTACCATGGTGACATAAATGATACCATATCTACACAATCAAAGGCTGATATAAGAAAAAATTATCTGTTTATAAACGTTCAGCATAGTAGCACGTTCAAAAATATTTTGAACATGTTTAGTTAGGACCTATAGGTAACTTCAAGTGTGTGAGTTGCAAAGCCAATGGAACATAGAAGCGAAAACAGAGATTGCAAACCAGCAAGTATGTGAAGCTTCGTTGGAAAATTGTATCTTGTGATCTTATAACGAAAATAAAACTAAAGAAACTCAAAAACACTGTAAAATATTGTGCCTGAACTGGCTCGAAAAATGCAATTTCATTCGATTTGAAATAAAATAGCTTTCTTTGGCTTGTCTCTCAACAACACTGAACTGTGCCATTGAGAGCCAAACGCCTATTACTATTAACAACAACAACCTTGCCATCTAAAGCGCATTGACTTGTGTCTAACTCCAAACAACCCTGCCAACCAAAACAACAATGTATTTGCACTCGATAAACACTTGAAAATAAACAGTTATTTATCGCAACCACCGCAATCCTAATGACGACTGGTTTAACCATTTCCATCTTCAGTGTGTTAGGCAGGCCGTTTCAGTTTCTCGTAAAATAATATAAGGACAAAAGCTGCTACAAGAGATACATACCTCCTTAAGTTTGGATCGTACAAGCTTTTTAACAATGGCTTGCTCGGATTGTCTGAGGAGAGGAAATGGCGGCTTTCAGTGTTCAGCTAGAATGCAATTCTTGATATCTGAGGGGCTTTTTACTAAGGGGAACTAGGAGAACATTCTAATACTTAGTAATGAAATGCTTTACTTCTTTAGCAAATTAGGGGTATCGGCACAAATCCAAAAGGAAAATCTTCTTAGAGAGTTCTCTTAGAAGCAGACAAATACACAAGTAGACAAGTGAATTAGTCTCTAGAGACAGTGTAGAGTTTTTGCACCCCACCCTCTAGTTCGATTTCGATATCAATCTCCTAAAGTCAAATACAGGCAACACTTATTGTTCTATACGCCAAATTTTCTGTGCTACACACTAGGTTTTTGCATTGGACTCAACAGCTATGCCTAAGAAAATAAGGGATACAGCAAATAACAAAGTCCTGCACAGCCCTGTGATTGTTTGTGATAAAATTTCTCAAAATCATATCAATAGATTGGACCTCATTTTAGTTTTAAAGCTATTTTGCCAGAACAAGGTAACAGGGAGACTCACTCTTGCTCTGACAAAACCAGGTCAAACTGCCTCGTTGACAACAGATCATCCATCATATTCCTTTAACAAAAACGAGGCAGATAGGAAATGGTTAGCAACAAGAGACATACAAAGCTAAAAATTCAGATCTAAAAAATTAAAAGGACTGTAGATAAAGCAGTTTCTTTTAAAATTGGAGGCTCCATACTTTTACAAACAACATTCTAAAATGCACAGTTCCTTTGGACGAATAAAACAAAATTTCCTAAGGTACAAAAATAATTTTATTGTTTACTAAAATGAAAATATGCAACTGAACATTAATTTTCAGCTGTTCGATTCACAAGCAACGATATATATAGTAGCTGCATTCCATGAAATCAAAACTCAAAAAGCCATCAATCTTGACTGTGAACTTTGATGCACCAGGTTTTATCAAATTAAATAGGTTTATTGACTCTGCCAGGGTAGCCACTCACCATTCGCTAATACTCGTGGGATCCGAATTGATTCTTTTTTTGTAATAGTCGGTAAATTCCCTGTAGCTGTCTGTTTCGACACTCTTTTTGGCAACGTCAATGCCTCTTTGAATTATGTGGATAGCCGACCTTGAAGAAGATAGACAGAAACTTTGAGAAAAAGCCGCAGGAAATCAGTTGACGAGATTTTAGTTGTGATTCGGGCGTTGGCTCTGCCCTGCTGGGAATGCCTTCTCTAGATATTGCACTTCAAAATGCATTTTCATGTTGCTATGGCAATAAAACAAGATAACTATCTGAATTGGGCAAACCTTGTCAGCATTACAGGCAATATTATCGAATTTGGGCAAAGTTAAAAATTTAGGAAAATGAGAATCATAAATATACAATGCAAAACGCATCAAATGTCCTCCTAACAGATGTAATTACAATATCTAAGCAATATAAAATTATTTGGGAGGGAAGTCTAAAAGGCTTCTAAAGGCTGAAATACACGATCAGTTTTTTCGTCAGTTTTTGCTCATCAGTCAAAATATGTGACGTTTTTTCGACTGACAAGGCAAAACTGTCAGTTTTTTCAAAAGTCTGACGTGCTTAACTTTTTAGTGAAACTGATCAGTGAAATCTTAATTCGGACGGGAAAAGAGTGGTTATCACACCAACTAACGGATTATCTATGACGTACTTTGAGTGAGCAGTCATATTTTTGAGGCAAACATCGGGTAGCGAAACTTCTTAAATTAAAGCTGAGTAAAAACAAGCTTTAACATGGCAACGAAAACGAAAAAGGTTGAGCGTTTCGAGCAAACAGAGTTTTTCATTAGCGCTTGGGAAGCAGAGCCGAGCTTGTGGAACGTGATGTCAAGCGCGTACAAGGATCGCAATGAAAAGCAGAAAAGCTTGAAAACTCTCGCAGAGAAGTGTCAAATGACAGGTAAAGTTGCTTTTATTTTTTTGCCTTTTGGCAGTACTTCGTGCTTTTGTTTTACTTTGTGTTTTTTTCTGATAAATTCAACTTCTGGTGGTTTGTCTTTTTTCAGAAAATGAAGTAAAATCGAAAATAAACACACTGCGCACATATTATTCCAAGGAACTGGTTAAAGAAAAGAAAAACAACAAAAGTGGTGCTGCTACGAATGAGGTTTATGTTTCAAAGGCAATATCATTTTGTATCAAGGCCAACAGTTCATCGAAATTTTCTGATTTCATCCTTAAAAACTTCTTGTACTCATCATTCTCCTGTTGGCGAAATTCCCTCAACAATGTACATACATTCCTAGTTGCGAACGTTTTTGTAGCCATGGTTTTACCCATGTGGACCTCTGCTTTCTCCTCCTTTTTCGTTTTGAAAACTGAAAAACTGAGGAATTTTGACTGATCGTGTAAACACGCGCGCCTTCAGTTAAACTGATGAAAAAACGGATATAAAAATTTTTTAGGAAAAACTGACAGAAAAAAACTGATCGTGTATTTCAGCCTTAAGTCAGTCACACGCACAGCTCTGGGTATGAGTGAAGCAGACAAAGAAACAACAACAACAGTGTCTGAAATAAGCACCTGACCTTAAAATTAAGATTTATAGTCAAAGGGGGCATCGCACGATGATTTAAAAAACCGATCGGTGTCATCCTTCTTCGGGAGACAGCTTGAACTGTCAATACGTGAAATTCAAAGCAGAAGCTTGATTTGAGTGACATTTTGCGAATACGAAACCTATTCTTACTAGTAACCTCATTCCCTTTTACTATGAATCCAATTAACATTGCGACCATCAACTCTTAGTTTGACTGATCTTAATAAGCTGTCAAGGTCGACATAACTCGTTTTTCATCCATTCCTGATATAAAATTGAATCTTACTAATGAAGTTTTGGTTGATGATATTTAACCTGGGACCTACAAAAGGCCATTGAACGGTTCTGAAGTTGTTGTTGATAGTTTTAGGGCAGAGAGATTCGTAGCCATAAACAAAATGTACTGGACGTAAATTAAATTGGAGGTACCAGGAAAGAAAAGAAAAAACTGCAGTGTTAATGTTAGTGTTACAGTTAAAGAGAAAATAGCTTCAACACGAAGGTAAACATGGAGTATAAAGATCATGGAGTCTTAAAAGCGGCAATTGACAAGGTCATGAAAATATATTACATTTTGACAGTACAATCTGAAAGAACATCATAGAATACCAGATGCAGGTAAAAGCCAGTGAATTTTGATACAAGCTTGCCGAAATATGGCCAGCGAGAGCCTTAGCAATGCTAACAAACCATTGTCGTTTAGATTTGCTATACAAATTATGAAAATAACATTGATTTGGTTTTGATAGTGAAAAAGCCTGAGCTCATGTGGCTGAATCTTAACTAAACTTAAACAGATTCAACAATTAAGATAAATCGTAAGACAACTTGGCAATGCCATTTGAATATCTACAAGGTCAGAAATCGCGTCTCATTTGACCACTGCTTACCAGAGGGTCTGCACTGAGACAGGCTTGAAGTAGTGACCAATCTCTGTTTCGTAGGACACATGAAATCCGCTACAAAAAACAACAACTTTTAAGAATAAGATTGAGTTTTTTCTGAAGCACATTTGAACTATTCAACCGACCTTCACAGTCCTACCCATAAAAAGATCAATGCAACATATTTGCGTAGCAATAACAAAACAATAATTTTTCTTTCAAGGTTATTAGAATAATACATTTGCTGAAAAACAGAAGGAAACAAACGTTTATTGGTTTATTTGTGTTTTAAAGAGAGACATGTTAGATGATTAATGCAGTTTGCTGTTGTTTGCCAACTAGTATGTATGTTGCCTACAACTGAGGTATGTAGGAGAGACTGCATACTCACCCATCACCGCCCAGCTTGGTGACTGTTGATCCATGCAGCTCCAAAACAGTGCCAATCGTTGGCCTATGAGCCAAACAAATTATCATTTGTAATCTTTGTAGGTCTTTATACAAATATATAAACATATATTATACAAGTAAGAGTCTGAAATTCATGATAAAGCTTGGGACTTTATACATTTAAATATACTCAAGGGCAAAGCAAGGAGAACAGAAAGTGCTTACAAAAAAGAGACATATTGGCAGTAGCAAAGAAGGGTTTTCAAAAAGTTTAAATTCTTAACTGCTAGCTTAGCTGCATATCAGGAACTTATTAAGACAATACAAAAACAACTGAAAATCTACTAGGTAACTGCAAAAGGTTGCATCATATTAACCATCAATAAATGCTTCTCCATTCTAATTATCAAGAAATGGAATAAGCCCTTTGGGAGTCTCTTGACTTTGATTGTAAACGGACAATTATGGTCAGCAAGATTTTAGGTGGCAGCCTGTACTTGGAAATTTCCAAACAGCTGACTCACCCTTTATCCCAATCAACACCAATCAATATACATTGATCTTTGGAGTTTGTCACTGCAGTTAGGTATCTCTTCTTGTCGGGTAGTTGACTCTCGATTCTAACAGCCTTTAACGAAATAAGAAAAATGAAAATCAATCTATCAGGAAGGTTATACAATTCAGAAGAGCAAAATGAGTTTCTGGGTACCAGACAAGAAGCAAATTGTCAAACTGGGTCCTTAAAAAATTTTCTGCAAAATAATTGGCTTTCAAAATTTGATTGATAATATCTGGCTAGCAAAATTTGCATATGCCTTATTACAAGGTCCTGCAGAGATTAAACTTAGAAATGGAATTTTGGAAGGAGGGAACAGTGGAAGCAGGGGCTGAGAGGGGGGCTGAGAGTTGGGAGGGAGAGTTTTGAGAGGGAGCTGGGAGTTGGGAGTTGGGAGCTGGGAGTTGGAAGATGGGAAAGGGAGCTGGAAGATGGGAGAGGGAGCTGGGAGTTGAGATTTGGGAGGGGAGCTGGAATTGGGAGGGTGAGTTGAGAAAGGGGAGTTGGGAAAGGAAGCTGGGTGTTGGGAGCAGGAGCTGGATGCTGGGAGGGGGAGCTGGATGTTGGGAGGGGGAGCTGGATGCTGGTAGTTGTGAGTTGGGAGGGGAAGTTTCGAGAGAGAGTTGGGAGTTGGAAGAGAGAGCTGGGATTTGGGAGCTGGGAGTTGAGAGTTGGAAGACGGGATTTGGAGTTAGGAGATAGGAGGGAGGAGTTGGGAGTTGGGAGCCAAGATCAATACCCCTCTTTAGTACCCTCTTACAAGATCTGCATGGAATTATTACATATGTTGCCACAGGATATTAACCATGGATATAGTTAAGTGAGAGTATAAAAATGTCAAGCGCCAATTTTTTAAGATGCTTCATTGTTACTAAAGATTGAGGGAGACAATGTCATTCAGAAGCCATTACCATCTTAAGAGAATCCTCTTCTCTAAGATATGTTACCATCTCCTGTAAATGCAATTGTAATTCCCCTAGAAATAGCACAAAAAATTAAAAATGAATAGCATAAATGAATAAATATATATATATACATATGAATAATATGCATGACATAAACTAAAATAAAAAACTTTCAGGCTTTTATTATGCTCTAGAATGATAAAAAGAATCATGCAAATTCTGTTCTGGCAACATTGTTTTGTAATGGAAGTAAATCACGAGTCTGTACTTTTTCCCTGTTGTTTTATTGCAAGACCACATTTTCTGGAATGGATCATTTTAAAACTCCCAAAGTAGGAAAAAACTTTTTAAGTGACATGCCAATATTCTAAGCAAATGCGGAACCTCTGTGAAATGGAAAAAAAATTGAGTCAGTAAATTCATTACAGTAGTCGTTCAAGAAAAATGCTGATGCCTTTGTAATTTCTGGGTTATTTTACCCTTAAGAGAACTAGTAATCTCTGCATTAATCTGAGTTCAAAGCTAAATATTTACAAAATTAAAGCTAGGAACTTAACAGTCTATATAGCTAAAGTCAAGAGGCAAATACATTTGAGCTTGGTTTAGACTTTTTGCCTAAATATTTGACCTCTTTTCAATCAAAATAAACAATTTGACAAATTCTAAAGCAATTATTGAAATAACCTCTCTTCCAAAGATCCTAATCGAGATAGCAAATACGAATATAAACAAGAGATATAAACAAAAAATGATCATACCGCAAGTCTTTTTATGAGAATTTGTGGCTGTTCTTGTCTCTTTTCCAACAGGAAGGGAAACAGCTCCTCCCCTCGAGGCAAAGTAACCAGCAAAACTTGGCCTGAAATTGTTAAAGAACAACAGATAAATTATCATCCTAGGGAAATACATGCTTCGTTTTTCTAAATGTATTGCTTATTGTAAATGCTACATTTGCTTAAACTAATCCTGTTTGGGCTAGGCATGAAAAATCATTCATTTCTTAAGCTGCAATGCCTTACTTAAGGAGGTCTGGATATAGCTTCAGTTGAATTGAGTCAGTAAATTCATTGAGACAATATAAACTAAACATATATATTTGCCAAATCTTTAATTATACAAGCATCCTGAAACTGCATTTTACATTAAAGATAATTTTTGTTGTTTTTTGATGACGAAAGGTATAGATATATTTCAATATTTTAAGACCAAAGATTGAGAAAAAATAAATTAAAAAGATTATTTGTCTGTATCATGACATTAGGGCATATTTTATGGCAGGTAAATAAAGTTAGAAGCCAAACAAAGAAAGAGCTTGGGCTGCCATATTGTCAATGCTGAAAATACTCTGCCAAAGAAAGCTAGGTGCAATTTTTACTGCTCAAAATCACACATCAATCATAGAAATGTTATCTAGTCTATTGAATGAGCTGTTAGATTAAAAGAGAGCATGACATAATTCCACTTGCATACCAAAGTATTTACTCAATCATACCACAAAACAATAATACTCCTTGCAAACAAACAACCTGAATGATAACAATTCGAATTATTTCAAAAACAAATTATGAAAAACTCTATAAATAACAGGCAGCAGAAAACCTTGTTTTTCTATTCACCAAGAAAGACAATGCATCGTTTTAAAACATGGAGAAAGTAAAGATATATATACCAAATATAAAAATTATGACACAAGTTAAAATTACCAAACATTTTAGTGACTCAAACAGGAACCCAACAGGCAGAAACAAAACATAGCCATGTCATTCTCTTTGTTGTTAAAAGCTTCAAATTAATTCTACTCAGACGAATTGGTATTCAAAACTTACGATCTCATTCTTCCAAGTTTGGGGGGCCGTGGGGAATGAAAGTCTGTGGCATCATCTATCTGGGTGACATCTTCCTGATCATCCTACAAGTCAAGAAAAAAAAGTTTTTATACAAAAGGGAAGATTCTGTCAGCCATCTATTTCCTACAGATAACAAAACTTGGTGAAAAGATCAGAAACTAAGTATGTGTTGATAAATGAAGCAAATTTAAGTTGCTGGCCAATGTTTATATTTATATGATAAGAAATGTACCATCATGATTGAAATGAATCTCTGGGATCTGTTGCTTTATCATTATCAATATCCTTGTTTATAAGATTTTAGATATAAATTGCAAAAAAATTATACATTAACAAAAGCTATCAAAATACTGTAAAAGCTTTATTAAGCCCCCTATCCATTAAGCCCCCTTACCACCAACAAGTCCTTCTCTATCACACCTTCCTTCTATAGTCCTTGATGTCAAACATGTGCATTAAGTGGGTCCCTTGATGGGTGAGATAATGATAAGATCATGTGCGTTAAATATGACCCATGTAAAGACTTACTTGTGCACCTAAGAATTCAGTCAAAATTTGTTTGGAAGATGTCCCAGGGTTATCAATTGATCCTGGTGGCTCTGATGATGATGAGGACAATATAACTGATTAACTTTCGAAGCAGCTAGGAAAGTTTTTGAGAACATTTACATGATATTCTCTAATACGGGTATTTTTATAACATTTTTACTTCAAATTATTAACAAGCCCCCCCCCCTCTTTTAAGCCGCCTTCTAGGACTGAAAAAATAAGCACCCTTCAAGCTTAATAGAGCTTTAACAGTAGCATAAGGAAATATTGGCAATAATAAATTAAAAATGGTATATACTTAAGGAAAATGATGTCAATTATAAAATCTTATGGCCAGGCTAGCTTTAAAATCTTATTTTATCTTATTATTAAACAGGATTGATTTTCTGGTTTTCCTTGGTGACAAAAAATTCTTCATCTCACTGATAACAAATTATATATGATATAACAAATTTTATATGATATAACAAATACCACATAATATATTAGAGGCATGGGTACTTGCTAGGTAACAGTGGCATCTCATAGCTCTATGGTAATCAAAACAAGCATTTTACAAATATTGATGGCTTTGATTTGCCAAGAAAAGAGAAAAAATAATAAATCAACAATTTAATTATAATTTATCTTACGATAGAAGTGACATGGTGAAGTAATTCTGAAAGATGGCACCAGAAAAAAAATTTTGAAAAAAAAATTTCTGCAAAAAACTGTAAATGGCAAGACCACACTGTAAAACAATGAAACCCTTCAGATCCTTTTCATTGTAATAGGTTAATAGTTTATTAACCTCGTAAATGTTTGTTTGTAATTGCCCCCTGTTATCATTACTTGCTCTCCTTTCCTAACCTGATTGCTTCATCAAAAGAATTCCAGTCTCAAAAAACTGGAAAAGATTGAAAATTAATAAAAATGCCTTTATTGGTCTAGCCTTTTGCAACAGTAGTCCTTTGCTCTTAAAAGTTTAAACATTGTCAAACTTAGGCTTGGTATTTATATATGCATATATATTAATATATTGATTTTTTAGAGAACCAACTTTACAACCTTTACAATATCTGGACACACAATTGCTCATTGCTTCAAATACAATTGTGAATGTTTTAAACCCCCAGCTGTGATTTGAATTTGTGTTTGCATTGACAGGTAATAATGAACATGATTCTGTTTCATTTCAAGTCAGAGAAAATGGTCAACTCCTCAAGCAATACAAATTACATAAAAACCAGTGGACCCAACTAATAAAAATCTGGAATACTGATGTTGCATTACTATCGTTCCTTTGAAGTCTATGTTGCAGATCTAAATACAAAACCATTAACCATTATTAACGAAGTAGTTGCAACAGCAAATATTAACTCAAAATCCTGTTTACTCCGATACTGCTGATACTTACTTAGAATCTCACAAGGGTAGCTTGACGGTTGTATTCTTTCTTGCCCTCGTATTTGTTTACCTCTAACGCTGGGGATTTGATTTCTCTTACAATCTTATCACTTGCCTACCACAATTTTGCCTCAGCCCGACGGTGTCTGCTATAAATTTGTAAACATTCCCACATCACTTGTGGAAGTTGATTGATTTAAAGTGATAAAACAATGTAATACAAATGACATGTAATGTCCTAAATCGATAAGGACACATTGCCAATCACCAAAACAAATCATGTTTCCTGAGGAATACGCGAAGAAACAAATCTATTTCCTGATTTATCAAATTGCTCACCGATTCCTCACTGGAAGAGCTCAAAAAGCCCTCGATGGACTGCGATCGTTCCACTGTCAAAAGTGCCATTGTATGTCAAGATACGATCACAGCCTTCAGTCAAAATCCTTTTATGTTTTGAGCTTGCTTTCTTTACAAATCCTTCGAAATGTTTGGCATCCTCCGTACATCGCCATTTTCGTTTCATGCAACCCAAGTCTTTGGGCATGCGCGATCACACCCATGTCGCCTTACCAGAAAAGGGAACAGTTTCCAATGACTTTCTCCCAGAGGCCCCTCAATTGATCTCTCCCACGGTTATTAGCAGTCAAAATGGGTGGGAACTGTTAATTTCACCAGTCCTGGCTTATTTATTGCATAAGCAAAGAAAAGGTTATGTATACAAAAGGCCTAATTGACAAAGTGCAGAGTGGCTTCGTAGCAAACCCGCTTCTTCATGCATGTACGAATTATTGTACGAGTTGATGCATGAAATGTACCAGTTTCCTGCACTTCTGGCAAATGTTAGCGGTGCTGACATTTAGGTTTTAGGAAATGCTGGTGAAAATGTACAAAAATTTCGATTAAAAGAAATTGGACGCATCTAGAAGAGCTTTTAGGGGATGTATTTTCCGTTGTGAAATTTAGGTTTAAGGATTATCCCTCGCGTGCAATTAAGAGAACAATAGCACGTGAATAAGTGCGAATGTCACAGATTAGCCTCATAAAGGAAACAATTCACACATGTGATAGGTCATAGGACCAGGTCATTATGCCATATAAGGTAATGATGGAAACACCCATGGGCGTAGTAGATCAGTTAGGAAGAACAGTAGGTAGTCAGTTACGTGAAGGAGCCTCAAGAGAAAGGTCGTAATATAGAGAAAACCACTCCCTGGCGTAGGCCAGTTAGGTGTAACTCACATGGATATGTCAAATAATAAAAAACCGGTATCTCGATAGAAGGGCTTATGTAAAAAGTGCAAATATAAGTATAAAAACGTCAACAAAGGTGTCGTTTCTGCCCTGAGAATCACGAAAGAGAGAAAACCTTTACAACATTTACCAAAAGGAAATTTAGCCCCCGCATTCTTCTAAATGACAAATTGAAAGATATGCAATTTTTACAATTAATACCGATAAATACCAAAACGAATAAGAAAAATTCAATTTGGAGAGAAAAATTTCTTAAATTTCTCAGTTTAGGAAAAACGAGACTCAAAAGCGAAGACGCAGCGAGGACACCCCTTACAGAGGAGACACAGGTGGGAACTCACTAAAAAGGGGATTGAGGGAAAACAAAATGTATATAGAATAGTAAGGATACGAGGTAGAATAGTAAAGGTTAGAAATTGAGAGCTCGTGAAGTGCAGTTAAGGAGACTTGTAGCAAGTCCAAGTTAAAGGGAGAAAAGGACAATCACGAGAAAAGAACCACTCATAAGAAAGGCTGAGGGGGCAGAGAGGGTGCTCGTTAGATTAAAGGGAGTCGAGGGTACAGCGCGAGTACTCATCAAAAAGGGAGGTACTCGTTCAATTCTTTGAAATTCAAGTACACTTGAATGAGGCTTCGAAAGTCAAGCGATATAGGTTGTAAAATCGCAAATCTATCGGCAAACTCTTATGATAAGATAGTTGAAGTTATTTCAGTGAGGTTTTGTGCATTTTTGAGTGCGGATTGCGGTTTTCTTAGTTTATAATTTCACGCCGCTTTGCAATTCGGCCCCCGGCAGAAGATCCCAATCCCGAAGTCACGGTTAAATATCATGGTCTTAATTTCCCATGGTTCATTTGATACTGAAATCAATACACTGTTTTTATATTTCCTATTGCTAGTAATTCATTATTTACGTTTTTCCAACCATACCTTGCATTAGGCACTCTCATTCTTTGTATTAGGTAGTATATTTTGCCAGGGCTGGATTTCGCAGGGGTGTGGGGGTGTGACACACCCTTCAATATTTTTGTGCTCTTCGGCAAAATCTTAATAAAACCAGTCACCTGAAGTGAGTTTCACAAAATCCAATCGTTATCTAACGCCCCCTAATCCTTGCCGCGAAAATTCGTCCCGGCATTTTGCATTTATAACAAATCAGTGCCAAGGAAAGAACTTGTCAATTTTGCAATTTATCTGAAACTATATGGGACAATTTCTCAGTGAAAACCTGCCATAAAATCTCAGGGTGAAAAAGATAACCAATTTACAGCAACCAAGTATAAGATTGGCAATAATCAATCAATACTTTGTGAAAAATTGAATACATATGGTTAGTGCATCACAATAAAGTAACACTGACGAGACAGGCTTTTCTTAGAACTCTAACACCAAAATGACGCCACACTAGTGTACATTCATAACAACATTTACAACGTTAAATAACAACACTTTGCTAACTGCGAAATGGCATGGATTCCATGTGCAACCTCACTCTCAGCCAACACGAATTTGCAATATCATCAAAATCGTACGTGTCACGTCTCTGCACGATATTTTTAGGAAATTTCCTCCAGGTGTTTAATAAATCTATATATTATTTAATAACTATCCCTGACTGTATTTACATACAAAAAAGTTTCAGTATTGTAAACATGACAAGAATTAAAACCAGCTGAGACTGTCAATAAGTGTTTATTTCATATCTCGCGTGTATTCAATACTCACATTTACTTAATGTCTGTCTGTCCTGACCATTTTTGTTCGTCTTTTCCTCGCTCAAATCCATCAAATAAAGTTGATTTTGCCAAAATGCGCTTCCAGTTCTTACTCAAGCGAATTTATAACTGACTTATAACGGGTGGAATCAAAATATTTCGAATTTCATGGCAACCATCCATACATATCAAAGGATTAGAAGGTCTAAAAATGCTTTGACAACTGCAGCAAAAATTAAATTGTGGGATACTTTTGATATGACAAGACGTCTAGCCATAGTTCAGTGAAATAAGACCTTTCAATAATAAAGCTTGTTTCATTCTTTAGGCCACTCCGACCAATGAAGTTTTGAATGGGGTTGAACTTTTCCAAGATGAGCTATAGCTTCGAAGTTTATTGATGAATCTTTACGTACATAAAACAAGCAAGTTTTCTCGAATAGTAAAATAGCCACTTCAGCTGTTGATCAATGACGGTACAAGGGGTAATTGGTGGCAATATCCCCCAAATGTTATCAAATATGGTCATCAAAATTCTTCTAAAAATGACTAATAAGCGTAGGACTTCTGTTTTGAGAAATAAAGCATTTCTTATAAATTCATTCGGCATGTATGAAGCAGGTTGCAATCGGAAATTGCAATCGGAAATTGCAAACGGCCCAAGTGAAATAAAATCTAACAAAACACATCTCTAGCAATAGGTTTGATTAGCAACAAATGCAATGGGTTTGATCTGCATATTATAAAAGGTTTTAATGGATGATTAAATATTTAGATAGTCTGGGGTGGTTTAAGGTGACAATCAGGAATGGTGTCAATAAAAGAGACCTTGTTAAACAGCAATGGGCACAGGAGTCATCCTTGTATAAAGTCAATGTCCATAGTGGTGGGGCTTAAAGACCAATCTGATTTTTTTTATGCAATAGTCTTTGATTTTACATATAATTTTAACATTCTTTAATATAAATCCTTGGATGTTATTGTTCTCAATTTGTGAAGCAAAAGTTTATATCAGCCATGGCATTTACCTCTCTAAGGTCTATGAATGCTGTGTAAACTTTCAATTTCTTTGCTAATTACCTTATCAATCTGTATTTTTGGTACAATATGAGCTTTTGAAACACAGTTTGTTTGAATTGTTCAATTTGAAACACAATTTGAAAGACAGTGAAAGCTGATTGAAGGAGACTTTTGTTTAAAAGCATGAGTTTATTAATGAGCACTCAGACGGTTGTAGGGTCGATCTAAATACCAAGCTGAACAGTTTGCGAATTGATTCAACAAGTATCCTTTCGCCGTGGAAAATGAACTTATTGTTAACTAGACTAGTATTAATTCTCGTGGTGATACAGCAATGATAAAATAAAGAAATGAAATGCTTTACTTTGATGGATATCAGTCTCAGAAATTAGGGAAGCATTTATAATATTTCTGGTCAATTGCACTAGGATTGTCGCTAGTTAATCGGGGATCTTGTAAAAGAACCAACTTTGTCCTCTTGAAAACACGACTTTTTAGAATTCATTGATAGTTTTTATTGCAGAATTAAATAAGTTTATCTTCGTGAGAGTCACAATAATTGTAGTTTTTATTGCTTCTTTCAAAAGGGTTATCTCATGTCTTCTGCCCATTGCCTGAGTGAGGTGCAACGAAAAGCATTTAAATCTGCATTTGGGCAAACAGTAATAGAAGTTGTATAGTGTTTTCCCATTCGTTGGCTTTGGTATAACGGAAGCATTCCTTGAATAAGCCATTGATACAAATGATAACAAATATTTAATAACAATAACAGAAAATTCTGCATCTTGTCATTTGAAAGTGTCTGTTCAGAAAAACCTCAATTTTGGCAATCTCTACTAAAATATTATCTCTGCTTTGCTATCTTACAACTACGACAACCTCGAACCCTGCCTTGGCTATAGTCGGTGTTTTATATTGTGAAATCTATCAATTTTAAATGTGCTTATGTCATAGGATGGTTCCTTCTTCTTTGAAATTTCTGCCAACAATTTGCCAATAACTGGAGCTAGCTTGAAGCCATGACCTGCAATAATAAAGCAACTGTGTCTTTTTGACGAGAAACAATTGAAATTGAATTAAAAATTTCCAGCCCAGTCTATATCGACGCCACTTGGGGGTGTGGGTGGAGCCCAGAGGGCATTTTAACTTGTGAGGGGGGTTCTTTCATTTGTTCAAGGCCGTACATTACAAGAATAATAAAATCTTGGAATCAAATGGCAGGTAACCTAACGATGATATCAATAGAATAATGCTAATCTAAATTTTTACTGGCGAATCAAGAGGAAAATAAGCAAAAATCTTTCAAAAACTCGTTGAAGATGTGATTGGGCGATATAAAAGAAACAAAGAGGCCAATCAAAAAGGGGCAAAATGTTATACTAGAGGAGCAAACGACTTTTTCGCCACTCACTCTATGGAACCTTGCACGGCATGGTTTGTTAGAAAGAACTCGATTTCTTTTGTATGTACCAAAGGAAAGCGGAACTGTAATGGTTTCTACATTGCCACAAGTGTCAAAGAAGTTAACCTTGTTATCCTATAACATATTCAGGATTCGGTTAAAATTCCATGAGTGAAAATAGAAAAGAGGGTCTTTGGTGACCGCAACGAATTAGGCCAATCTTGGTTGTAGAATGTGGAATGTCGATATTACCTGAGAAGCCAGCGCCAACAACGATGTTAGGATGGCGGGGATGTCGATCTATTATGAAGTCATCGTCTGGCGTGGACTGCAATGAGAAATTGGACGAATAGGAGTATAGCGAGTCACATGGCAAAATGGTACTGCCACAGCCACGGTTAAAAGTATCGATTTCAGAAGATTTTATGTGATTAGATCACTGAACAATGGATTGGATCAACAGGTCCTTGCAATATCAAAGAATTATTGACTCTGGTGTAATATATATCAGATCTCAGATTGAACGCAAACAAAATACCACGTTTCCTCTTCGCCGGAGCCTTTGATTCTACCCTTACTTCACGGGGGTCTGGGTCTTACGATGGACATTATAATAAAAGTAACTATAAAACACTACATCTGGTATATTATAAACGGACGATTACCCAGTGGCGGCTCTTGCTAATGGGCATCTGGGGCAATGTCCCCTCAAAAAGATTCAAAGGAAATCTATGATATTCATATTTAATTTTGAAGATAGTCTTACTGTGGTTAATTATATAAGTTTGTATCTCTTCTAGAAAAAGCTCCTTGCTATCCAGTCTCGTCCTTAGCCTCGCTTCTGGCCCGCTAGTGCCTTGAGCGATGATGTCATTTTACGAGCAAAATTTTTTTGCCCCTAGCCGACATGCGCACAAGCCAATTTTCGACCTCGAGCATTGCGAAACGCGGCCTGTGATTGGCTTATTTGGAGGAATTCGGGGCAAGAAAAATTTTGCCCATAAAATGACATCATCGCTAAACAAAAACCACATCTATATATGCGTTTTCTTCTGCGCTCCATGACGATCAACATCGAACCATGAATACAGTGAAAAATTTGCAAACGCTGTAGCAATATTTATGGTCTGCCCTCCCAACTGTTAAAGTCACGAGCCGCCACTGCGATTACCATTAGCAGACACCTCCCATTAAGAAAACCCTAACATTTACGGACACTTCAACATAAACGAACACTTTCCATTAATGGGCACTTCTCATTAATAGACACTTCCAAAAAACATACAAATAGTCTTGTCCTTAAATTTCTTTGCAATAGTTAAAACATTCTCCAAACAACCTACACATTCCTTCAGTGGATGGCAACTCTTAAATGCCTTCAAAAACCTAAGGTATCATCTAAAAAGAGCTCCTGAATCACTTTGACTTTAATCGCATGCGTTCTGGTAACAGCACAAAACCAAATGATTCTGATAAAAAACTAAGGAACATTCAGGAAGGCACTTACTGTATACATGCATGGCTCAATAATACAGGGTCTGTCTTCCACGTTGGCAAAATGTTCTTGAATATATTTGGCAATTTCAAGCACGTTTTTATCCTGAGAGGTCACTCTGTCCCTAGAATCAGGCGATACAGTCATACCATGATGCAGGCAAATCTAGAAAGGATAAAAAAATAAATCATCAGAAAAGCCTTTCAAGGTGCAAAATTAAAAATGACACGAAAAAGGAAGTAACATAATACTTTCCTAACGGGGACAGTTGGCTGATGCTTGCATTAAGCTTGAAACCCAGGGTTGCAACTTACAATAGTTTTGTTCTATACATTAAAGCATACACAGCGCTGCCTAAACAACTGATGCAGACTGGTAAAACAGTAGTTATCATCACTTATACTTAAATTTTTCATATCCGACATATGAAGAGATAGAGAAGCACCAGCCTTCTTTCTTAATCTACGCTTGGTGTATAGAACGGTTGCAAGTTGCTTCTCCAGGTTTCGCGTTTAAGGCGATCATCCGGCAACGGGTGTACAGCTCTGCCAATACGGCATCGAACACTTTACGACAGACTGATAAACAGTAATATTCATTCTTAATTGATCTTTATGTATTTATAGCGTTTACTTCTGTGCCACTTGCAAACGTATCGTCATACCACCTATCAATATAAGAAACATTTTCGCATCTATGGAGCAACTCCTCGTTTTACGCTTAAACCTGCACCAGCCTTAAACCAATAATTTTCAATTTTAAGTGCAAAAATGTCCCCCTACTCGTTTCAATGAATCATTTTATCGAGTACTTCTATGTCTTAAGACTTTTCCAACCACAGCATAATCATAATAATTACCTTTAACATATTTGGGTATTCAATGCAAGGCAATCCATAGATTTGACACTTTTTGGCAGTACCAGTTCCAAAATCAGCAAAGGCGGGGAAACATTGATCTGCCCGGTAGCGAACATCGTTTGTTTTCCAGTAGCAAACCGAAATCAAATATGGCTGCAATTCAATCAAATTCATGGTAGTATCATTTCGACAGTGATAATTAAAATCTGTTTAATTAAAATCTTCCTCATGATACTAAGGATTCACTATTAACCATATATAGGCACCCGCTTAGTCCATATACCGACACTGACATTTATAAAAGGTGTTTGGCACTCATGTTGATGAATACAATATTACATGTATTTATTAGAGGATATAGGTTTGTTATAATGACGACGTAAGGAATGCATAATTAGGAATACCGGAAATTACGTCATTTGATTTGATCGTTACCTGTAACGGCAGCGCAAGCCCAGTTGGCTTCACAAGCTCGGATGTCCATGGGCCTGTAACACAAGAAGAGGAGCCTTGCAAAAATACAGTTTCGAAGAGAGAAGGATCTGAATTGGATTCTTCTTGTTGAATGTAACCTTTTAAATAATTGAAATAATGCAAAATGCGTTTAAAGTCATCATATTTTCAGAAGATAGTCATTGCCACTTACATCGTTATCTTAAATTATTTTGAATTATAGAAATGAAAGATTCCCGGGTAAATACGTAGAGGTACATGAAATTTATTGTACATAATATTGTACAATGAACAGGTAAAAAGGCCGGCTTACAGTTGATGTGAAATCGATCATACATATATCTTACGCGAAGTAATGCATTAGATAAATGTCAGGTATGATAAGGAAAAGCCTAACCTAGGTACCAGACTCACTTTCTATAAAATAAGAGAGTCTAATTCAGAGCACCCGGACCTTTTTCCAGTGAAATTATTTGAAAGAACTTCTGTCAATGCAACAGACAGGAAACTAGGTCTATCGCCTGCGCAACCGGACTGTCAGATAAATAACAAAGATACTCAGTAGTCAGTGAAGTTTTGGGAAATCTTAAAGCAAATGTATTTTATATAGTTCTGTAAAGTCGCCATTATTAATACAATGATAATAGACTTTTCTGCCTAAAGATTCCAATCCAATCAGGTGTAAAGTGCCATTTGGCAACAAAGGCATGTGCGAAGCATGAAATTAAAGTTAGCACAATGCAGGTATAAAATGTTAACCATTAATAAATTGCGTATAAAACTTAAAATAAGTTTTCTGTAATTTTTCTCAAAAATTGTGTGTACTTTCAAGTCTACTTTGTCATTGTGAACACAGTGGTTGTAAGCATGAGCACGTTGGAAGTTTATCACATGTATGGGTAATACGAAAAGCGCAGCCCCGTATGCCGGGCCGTAGTATTAGCCATAACTGATTTACGTGCGTTTGTTGTTGTTTGTTCTCGGCGCCTCGCGGTTCTCCTTATTTAGTACATTTAACTATTTCCCTTCAAGGCCTAGTTTCTTTGCAATGAGTAACCCTGCTTGAAATATCCGAGACTTTCAAAAGCCGGTATTACGGAGGTTTCCCTTCTTTCTACGATCACTCTGTCAATCCTGTCAATTGTTCTTTCTTAATTTTCCACAAAATTAGAAGAAAAAGAAATTCTTTGATGACAGTTTCAACAGCATCTTCAAATGTAATCGTTTATCAAACGGTCGCCATCATTAGTTGATATTTATGTTCTTTTCTCTTCAATGTTTAACACAAGGGCTTTTTTCAATAGCGTTTATTGCTTCGCTGTGACCTTTGAACGTCTCGAAATATGTAAACTTGCTTCTGTTTTGTTAATATCGGCACACCAGAAGGAGCAGAGGTGTGCACTGATCCAGACTCTTTCTTATTTTATACAGAGTGAGTCTCTTTCCCAGGGTAGGAACAGCCTTACTGATTCACAGGACCGTAGCAATACATTTCACTGAAGCTTTAGTGCAATCACTTTATATTGATGACTCTCTGCAAAGGTTCAAACTTCAATGACTCTACATGGACGACTCCACTTCAAGGAATTATTCACAACACCGTTACCTTTAAGGCATCACGTGTCTACCAAACCGTAATTCAGAATGGAACACCGTACATACCTGCGGTGATAATGAGATTCTTTGCTTTAATTACTCGCTTTGTCGTCTTGATTTGGATGATGTCTCCTGGGATTATTTCATGAACCTTTTCATTGTCCAACAGGGAACCACCAGTTGACACGAACAAATCCTGCAAGTTTACAAATGACTTTAAATGGCGCGTCGTTGTATCAAACCTAGCAATCAAAGAAAACGCCTTAATATATGTAATTATGTAAATAATTGATGAATAATATATGCATACCTGGTATGACTGGACACATCTATTTGCCATCAGGACTCCTGCTTCGTTTTCAAGGACAGCTCCTGTCCCGTCTGGATATGTCAGCATAGGGTATTTGTTTTTAAACTCGTTTCCTTGCAGCAGGGAAGATGTCAATCCAATCGAGGCTAGGTTACGCTGCACTTGCTTCGCATTGTCAAGTGGAAGTGCATCGATGCTCAGCAATCCGCATTGGCTGCAGGTTAAACAGGAAGCTGATGCAGGCACCGCGAAGCAGGGGGGACAAAAACTTTTTGAGCGTAATTTGAGAAGAAATACTTCGGTAGGATTTACTTTTACTAAAGTCCCTTAGATTGGGCAATACAAAAATATCTATCAATGATACAAATCTATAACTGCGAAGCTAGTAGTAGAAGCATTAAATACAAAGCTGCTTTGAGAGACTTCGATTTGTGGGTGTATAGAGAGAAAAGGGTCGTTACATATTTGCTCTATTAATTGGTGTTATGGAAACAATAGTTTTCATATCAGATTCAGCAAATATGCAACAATGAAACAAGTCAAATTAAAGCCAATTGCTTGTAGCAATTATTGAAAAAAACCGGCGTATTGTGATCTCGGACAATTTTCGCTTGAAGATAAGTCCATCTCTAATTTAAGAATAAAGAAAGAGCATAAACATTGAGAAAGAAATGCACAAATGAAACGTCAGCAAACATACTAAAGCAGTTTATTTCCAGTTTTCTCTTCAAGCTTCCTCCATTCCTTGAAGCACTCAGGCATCATGCGAGCATAGCACTGTTGGCCATACGAGTGGCGAATCACCCTGCTCTGTCCATGAGAGCTTCCTCGAGTGTGAGGGAGAGGAAACTGCAAAAAAGATGATATGTTAAGGCCCGGCCAAACAAACAAAACATCCGTAAAACAATGTCAAACATCAAACAAATGCTAAACATCTGTTATGGTCAAGCGCTGCACAGCTTCCTACAGTTACTGCGTTGTATTTGCGGAATTTTAATCTACTGCGCTTGCGTGAGTAAAACATATGTTTTAAGGGGTGGCCAAACGAACGCAACATTGTTGATCAACAAAAGAGATGTTTGACCAAATGTTTGATGGTAATCAAATTTTGCAAAACATCATAAAACATCGTAAAACATCGTCAAACATGGTGGCCAAACGAATAAAATATGTTTTATTCAACAATGTTGGATGATGTTTTATGCCGATGTTTTATTCGCTTGGCCAGGGCTTTTTGTTAAGGTGGTGCAATTCCAAATTCCAAACCAAATTTGGTCCCTGGCAGTGGTCCTGGAAGCCTGAAACTCTTGGTTATAATTTTAAAAGGAAAAATCTTTAAAAAAATGTTAGTTTTCAACAGGCTCTCGGTTTAACAAAACTTTTCAAAATGACCACTAGTTAAAACTTAATTAAGATTAATTTCTAATGATCAGTTACATAACGCAGAGCACTGAGGTTCATCATGGATTTTTCTTTAATTTTTTGCTCTTTGACAAATATTGAGAATTGATCTTCTTACATGCAATGATGCGAAGACCTAGATCCGACCCAGAGTTACGACAAAATCAATTAATGGAGCTGTTGGACAATAAAAACCTCCATCTCTTTAAGGGGCAAATCTCTTATAAGCAAAGGCTTGCAGCCCTGTATGAAAGTCCATAACAAGGCCATACATGGCAATTGCCCCAGCATGGGCTGTAAGCAGTTGGTCTGTCGACTTCTTCGCAAATGAAATCTTCACTCCTTCAATCAGCACTTTCTCCACGTACTGACTAGAAGGGTCATTTCCCCTCCATCACTTTTTAAAATTAGCTTTGGAAAAATCAAATATTTTTACGGCAAACTGAAGCTTTTCAAAAGACACTCTTCATAGTATAAAACATAAAATTATGGGTCGAAATTGTGATTTATTAGACTTTGTATTTGCGTGCAAGACTTATCGGGTAATCTAAACTTCCACAATTCTCAACTGTCCCGTGATCGTGTTTGCGTGTTTTGCTCGTATTTGCGTGTTTTGATCATTTGCGATTAATTGGTCGATCGATCGAACTGCTTGACAAATAATAAACAGGGGCCTGTCATATGTTACCCTGGGTACTAGAGTCTCGAAGAGTCAAATGAAGTAAGAAGGGAAGAGGAAATTTTTTTTTTCTTTTCTCTTTCGCAATTCCTCTCCCCTTCCTATCCGTATTTGTGCAAAACTATATACATAGGTAAATCTCAATCATCAGGAAATTTTCTGGAATTTTATGGTACACTGCTGCTGACTTTTCAAGCAGCCCCCACCCCCGTCCTCTAGTGCCGCTTGATAGTTTCTAACTATGGCCCGCCGTTGCGGCAAAACTCGCCATTAGCCGCAGCACACCTCCCAAGCATCATAGAGGCTAATACCTCCCTGAATCGAGGCTCCCAAGTTCAGCCATTGTTATTGAAATCTAATGAAAATCATTGACATGATCACTAATCATTGAGATTGCAAATCATTGGATAATCATCAACGTGGACAGAATATCCTGGGAAACAGAAAAAGCGCGCAAATTTGCAATCATGTAGGCAGCGCTCGAGGCTTAAATAGGGGACAGGGTAAAATGAGGAAATCGGGGTAATATAGGGAAATCGTTAATAACTCGAAATTCGGAATGATATCTTACAACAAACCTCAGAATCGGATTCGGCATGCTTCAATCTACCTTTCAGCTGTTTTTATAGTTCAACTACGGTAATTTTAGCAAAATAAATGACAATGTTTTCTTTTACATTAATATTTCCCCGTAGCTTCGGGAGCAAAGAGACACAAATCGTTAAAAAAACATCGTTTTAATTCAAAATAAATAGCAAAAGGTAGAAATCGCAAATAAAAATACACAGAAGCTGAGCAAATTGTTATTAAATGAATAGACCACAGCACCGGAGCTGTTTCACGGACGATAAACAAATATATACTTTAAGCAAAGAGATTTAAAGAATAAAACGAGAAAATAAACAATGCACAAATACAGAATGCAAAATGGCAACTTTAATGCCTATTAAAAAATTATTTTTTTTATCAAAAATTGTTAGGCCTTTTGATTAGAAGGTCTTTTACCTTTTAAATCCAAACGATATGCACAAATGTTCAATGGATCTTATGGCACTAAGACAAGCGGATTTAGACCGGTTGCACAGGTTTAAAAAAGCCGGTCAAATTTTAAGAGCTATATTTCTCTGTTAATCTTGAATTTTTGATCTAAAATTGCTGCAGTTCTCCCTGACTGATTACAGTTCTGTTTACATACTGAACTGAACCCCTGCAAGATTCCGACAGAGTTCCCAGCTTTTTAATTCATCTTTTAACCCAAAGTATCCGAAGAATTTTATCTATGACCATGACAATAAACCAAAACTCAGACTTTGGGATAGTTGGAGGGTCATGGTAGCCATAGAAGATGGTACCTAATGATGATGATCCGAGGAATTCAAAATCGAGGAAATCAGTCGAAATCAGTGACAGTCTGGAGTATGCTATCTATGCGCCAATATTGAAACCGGTGGCTATCGTTTTCTGTTTAAAAAGTGGACGCTTTCAGGGGCATCGCGACCGGGGGGTGTGTGTGTGTGTGTGTGGGGGGTGGTCCCCAATAGTATCTCAATAGGAAATTTCAGGTAAAATCCGCTCGGTGGAAGAAACGCTTTAGGTATTTCAGAGACCTTCCTGTCACAAAATCAATAAAGGATCAAGCAATCTTAGGTAAAATTGTGCCTCGTGTTCGTTTCTCCTAAAGTTTCTCAGTAGAAGCGTCAACTGCAATTCACTATGAGCTCCACATTCAAAAGGCATGCTAAGATGGAGAGAGGGATCTAAATTTAGAAGTAACTGACAACCTGGTATTTTTCAAGACCACGGCGAAATTGTTGTTTTTATCTGCTGTAAAAAAGTTTTGCAAAAAGACAATAATTTTCAATGGGATTAGGAGGATTGCTTTAGTGGAATCTGCTTAAAAGAGTGCATTTTCCAGGGAACTAGAAGCATCACAATTCGAAAATTTCCTCCCCCTTCGGCGGCAACCATGGTGCCGCCTCAGGTAGTAACTATATATTTTGCCCGTCCCGATATAGAGATTTGACAAGATTATAAGGAAAGTCGGTTATCTTACAGAGTTAGATTGACAAAATGTATTGCAGAGGTTTGTGGCACCAGCTAAAAAGTTTCAGGCAATAATTTTTTAATCAGGTAAATTTGCATTCCACATCCCCCCCCCCAACGAGACTTGCCTCGCGACGGCCCTGCCTGCTATATGGGGCAAATCGATTTTTTTTTCTGTCGGCAATTTGACACATCCAGCGTCGGCAGTTACGGAGAATATAAACTTCGGCACCTTGAAGGTTTGTCTCTAGCGCCACCCCTGCCGACCAACCCAACATGTTTGTGGAATCCGGGGTTCATCCTTCCTTAGATGAACACTGCCGGTGAACTATGCGTTTCTGCATGGTCATGCGTTTCTGCATGGGCCGAGACGCATATGCGTTTCAAGTGTTACAGTGTAATGGCGGACATGCAGGGCCTAGCTGTGAATGGCGTGAAGCGCATATGCGTTACAGGAGCGGATCCAGACTATAGCAACTGTAGCTCGAGCTATAGTCAAAATCTCAGTGTTTGATTTTCGGAATTCACATTTGAAAGCAGCGGTATAGGTAATCAAATGCGATTAACAAACATGCACTGCTGGCAATGTGTCATCACAATGCCTCTCCAGATAAGATATAAAACACTGAGCGCAGAATGGTCTAATATTAAAACTTAGACGAATCAGAAGTTTCGTTCTTTGTTGACAGTAACCAACCAGAATTGAGCTACAGTGGATATTCCGAGCTATAGTCGGTCTTGGGATTTGCTCTGGAAAAGGCTGTTTCAACGGATGTGCGTTTCCTAACAACTTTTAATAAAGGTTTCTGAAATGATCCATCGCCACAAAACAATCGCCACAAAACCTTAATAACAAGTTTAGACTTGTTAGTTAGAAAACAGCAACTAGCTAATATAAAGCTAAGAATATGTGATATAATCATGCGTTATACGAATAAAATTATGCAGATTTACACAAAGAGCTTCCTCAAAAATGATTCCCATAATTCTAAAATAAAAAATTAGTGAAATACTTGTTACAATAAACAAACCAAAATTTGAATAAAATATCTTACACTATCTGCTTTTGCATGCTTTGCATTTATGGGCTTTTATAAATATATATTTTGAATATCTAAAGGGAGTCTGAGTTTTCAACTCTGGTTATAGTGTTTCTCGTACTTTTTCCTACAAAAATGATGGTTTGATATTGATTCCAAGGCAAGTTGACAATTGTAGTTCATCAAGAGACGTTAGATTGTAAGGAATTTTTTCCACCAAAGCTAGCTTTATGAAGCTAGAACATAGATGTGATATTGTTTTGTAGACCTCTACCAAAAGCAAATACAGGTTCAACTGATGAACGCTAAAAGAGCTATCAGTTTCAAATAATTTTTCAAAGCTAGAAGCATCATGAATATATGCTATTATAAGCCCCTCTCTTAAATTCTCTTTATCTTGTTGTTCAAACTTGCTTTCTCGAAACACCCAAACCAGCAGGCAATCTGAGACATCAACGGTTTTAGTCTCTCAGGCTCCATGAAAATTGAAATACGAGTCAAAGCATGACTAAATGTTTTACAGAACAGTTGGACATGTTTTTAAAGCTCGATTTCTTATTCAGATTGATGCCTAATTGCTTCTTCTCATCACCGAGGGTGTCTCGATCAAAGGGTGTGGGGTTTGGGTTGTCACAGCCCCGCAATAGTAGTTTTATAGGAATTTTCAGGGTAAATCAGTTCAATGG